GCCAGAGCTGATACTATGGAGAGTGATGACTCCTGTGTAAAGACTTGAGAGACGTAGTCTGCCACTACTGCTTTTTCTTGATTTTCTTCGATTATGTCATTGTTAATAGTCAGGTTTGGGACACCATTGGATGTCTTATTCCTGAAGTACATGTACGAGAATATTTTCTTAGGTTGTGCCGTTGCATTTTGAGCCAGATGTGCTTCAAACTTCATCCTTGATTGGCGGATTTCCGCAATAGCTTCATTCCTAGCAGTTTTACATAATTTCCTGGTCTCAGGAGTCTCAAGTGTGGCAAAGAGGTTCCAACATTTGTGTTTACGTCTGAGTAACTTACGAATCACTCGGTTTATCCAAGGGGGGCAATGTTTCCGACCCTTTGGGACAGACCAAGGGATGGAAAGTTCAGTTACTTGGGCATAAAGTTGTTTAAATTGGTTCCATGCCGCTCCTACTTGGGACTCTGGGTTGCTGTACCAGTTCACTGAGTTGGCTGCTGAGACAGTCACATTTATATCAGCTTACCAAACGTTTGGTTGAGCTGGGGTTTTGGCCCTTGCTGCTGTTACTGTGAACTTGAAAGTGAGCACAGCATGACCACTTCTTCCTAAAGGAGGAAGGTGTTGTATGAGATCCACATCCTCACCGTGGGAGAACACTAGGCCCAGAGTTGAGGAGTGCTGCGAGTCATAGCGCATGGGCTTAATGACATGTTGGACAAGGGCTAGCGATATACTAGATTCCAGCAGTTTATGATCAAAGGAGTTGACTGAAGATGGCCTTGTAACGCTCGCCCAGTCAACTGTTAGGGCGTTAAAGTTGCCGACTACGAGACTTCGACATTTCGAAGTCTAGGAGCCTAGCTTCTCTATTAGGAAGTCGTCTGCACTGCAATCAGGACTGCGCTATATAGCAATGAGGTCAATATCTTGGCCTATGCATTTAAGTCTGCAGCGTAGTTCGCATGATTCACTTTTGTGAGCGAGTGCTTCGATGCTACGCACAGTTAAGCATTTCTTGAGGTAGATGACTATGCCACCTCTTATGCGGCTTAGTCGGCCCACTCTATGCACTTCGGAGTTTGGCAGGTTAACTTCGTTATCAGTGACATCAGGTGTGAGCCATGTCTCTGTGATGATAATTACGTCCGGATTTCCGGAGTCTATCATATTACTCAGTCCATTTGTTCAACAGGCTGTGGGCATTCGTGTAGCAAACTGTTAACTCAGTTTGGTGCTTCAGCGGCCTGACAGCAAATAACTTATGTACAACAGCAAACATAGTTCAAAGTTATAACGCATAACGTAGGACCTCTCAAATAATTTATTTGTATTGAAAGACGACGAGAAATCTGAGTGTTTCTAGAAAATCCCGTTGTTGTCATTGTTCGATGCAGCTACCGGTCAATAAAGCAGGCAAAATATCTGGTTTCATCACGGTGGTTGCCAGCTCACCTGTTCAATCCAGATCTACATTTTTCGAAAGTATATTTTAGAAAATTCAATATATCCAGTACTGGTCTATTGTTGTTCAATTCTTATGCGTCACAGTTTTTATGTAACCGTCCTTGGGTGCCTAACAATGCGGTTAATAGCAGTCCATATCTGTTACGTGTGCTTATGGTTTTGCTCGCCGAAGCAAATCCGTAGTTGTTACAGTTGGTGTAGACCGAACCTCATCTTACATACATTCCAATATTGCATGTAGGTACTGTTCACGTTATGACAAGTGTCTAAGTAGGCCGTATTAAAACTAGTATAAGCGGTTAGTTCGGCATTTGCCAAAAGATTCAGATTACAACAAACCAGGACCATGTAATTCTAAACTCTATTGTTTTTGGTTTTTAGGATGTGTGTATAACTGAGTCTGGTGAAGAACTCCTCAATCGTATAACTACATTACTTAAAAATGTTGCCGATTTCACGAATACGCACACAATCACTTTTCATCCAGTTGCAGCGCTGCGCACCTCGCCTTAATCAACCGCCGTTAAACTATACCAGCACAATTTCACTTCAGAAGTACTCATTTAACTCTCGGAAATGTGCCTGCAATTTAAGGACAATCCAGAACAGGCAGAATTTCTGTTCGAACAGTTCAACTGATGCCAAATGCGTATTGCCAGCTGTAACGCCATCAGATACTAGTGACACATCAAATGAAGCTGACGCAAAAGAAGGGAAAATGTACATAGAGTTCACTTGTAAAGTAATAAATTATTTCAGTTTAATTTTGTAAAACCTCAAATCTTTTTAACTACATTAGAAATGTTCCACTCGATCAAGCAAATATTTTTCAAAATTGGCATATGACAAGGGTGTAGTTATAATTCGCTGTGATGGATGTCAAAGTCTCCATTTGATTGCTGATAATCTTGGATGGATCAAAGACAAACATTGGTTTGTTTTCTTATTTCACGAACTTTCTTTTCTAATTGTTCATTAAAGGAAACTGGAAGATTTTGTCAAGTTTAACAAGAAATCTATATGCGTTGCATGAAACAGCGAGAATCGGTAGGTGAAGAGTTATGAATAAGTTCAATCAACCTCACTCGCGGTTCATCATGTACTGTAAGTTTCACTTCAGGTTTATTTCCCTATTTTGACATCTTAGTACATGATGGTGTAATACACTACCAAGGTTTCATTTTCAAGTTAACTGGTTTATATTCCGGCCTGACTCAAGTTTTGACTTATCCACTAGTTTATGCATCGAGACCCTGCCACATGCATGAATAGCAAATAATATACTTAGCCCTTAAGTCGTAAAAATGACTTGTCTATTATCAAATGTCGCATTTCTGTTAACTATGACCAACAATTGCACTTTGTGCAAAAGAACTATTATACTAATGTAATCTTTTTATATTTCAGGAATAGATTAATTCCAGAAACAAGTCACACGTGCTTTAACTTTAGCTATGTCATCAGTATTAGATGTCAAGATTAAGGATTCTACAGACAGATTGTAATCGACAACTCTGCGCATATATACACATGGTTGCTTAGCTGCTATGAGTCGTTTCCTCACGTTTGTTGTCGTATTGGGATAGATGAAGCACATTCTCTCAAACGACTACGTATTCATTTCCTCCGATAGGAAGGTTCTATTAACTGCTTTTGAGAGAGTTTCCACAGAAGTGAGTCGCAAATGTTGAGATGGTGGATAAGTAGTGACCGTCAAATGGAGTTAGATAATAATTATACTAGGTAAGAAGTTCACAGGAATGAATAGCATGTATGTCTTAAGAAGCAGTGGAAATGCGGCTGCAAACACTCTCCCCTAGCGCCTTATCAATTAAATCTCAGGTCTTAAAATAGCTACTTTCTTTGATCTGAGCGTTTTGTGAATGTACCAGTTTTTAGATAAGCTACAGAATCACTGAAGATTGCAGTACACAAATTTTTATCAGTAGGTGTAGTGTACTTCGCTGTTCTCATGATGTACTAGTTATGCTAATAATAGATATAATAATAAATCTCTTTTCACTAACGTTTATTTTACTCGATATTAAGTACAGAAATTGAAGGACATGTTTCACATTTCGATTTTGTTTGTTTCTATTCATCAGCTAGTTTTGCGTGCAATCTGTGAAAAAAAACCTTCTCTTTATGTGACTTGATCGGCAAATCGCTAATTTTAAGGAACCGAATTGTCAAATCACAACTGTAATAAAATCTCCAGTTCATAAAAGAAGCCTTACAGAACTACAGTACAATGAGAAGCGTTTTCATTACTGCATAAACACAAGTTGCAAAAAATACTTTACTGCATAGAATATTAACTTTTACACTTGAGACTAAACGCCAGTTTACACTGATTACCGTTTTTTCATTACAGAAAAGCATTATTCAGTCAAAAGCGGGAAGTCGCTTCCTTCGCCACTGTACCTACATCAGATATCTTCATTTTACCATGTTTGTACAAAACAATATTAAATAAACTGTTAATAAAGTTTCTGAAAAAGTATTCTACTATACTCTTGTTTTATCTATAATGTAAATAAATGTGTAAAACAGAGACTAACAGATGACATGGAATCCTTGTAAAATTGTTTAGATATGAGGTGATCAATAGGACTAGTAAGGCTGGCATTTCAGAATGCACATAGTTGGAGTTAGACCACTAAGCCTTTGTTTTGGGTAGTAAACAATGTGCTTCATAGATCTGTCTAACCAACCAGTCAGTCACAAATTTGAACCCTCTAAACGTAGTCTTTAACTAATTGCTGAGAAGCCTTAGTCCGCTTGTAGTCTCTGAGTGGAGCCATACAATAACCAACACATGATCGTCTGAAGGTCAACTTCATTTCATTATCAAGTATCACACACTTGTCAGTGGTATACACTTAAATCCTGTAACAAGGTAGGAAAGACCATATACGCAGCATCAAACGATAACGGATTGTCTGAAATTACCTTCCCTACAGTGGTATTATTCGTGTAGGATAAAAAAACGTAGATTAGTCGAGACAATTAACAACAAAACAAGGGGCTACATTAAAGGCATACGAATTCCAGTATTCGAAGAAATTCTTCTTGAAGTGAGGTAAATGGGAGGGACGTAACATTCAGCTCTGACTGACAGGAGGAGAATTATTGACCGTTTTGCATTCAAGAGCACTGTAGTACCTCGATAATAAATATGAGGACCAAGAAAGTTTTACTGCAGCCAAGCTTTTATTAGTATACATTTTATGACCCAACTTGACACCAAAGCCTTGCCTGCGCAAACCGAAAATTGATGATCACTAAACCAATGAAAAGTGAATAAGTAAACTGCTTGTGTCACAAACTATATGGAGTTTTAAGTAAATTAAAAGGACTAATAGGTTTCCGAGAATCAAGCATTAAACCAGTAAGATCACTAGACACCTCGTGGACTAGGGACATTTCGTTCCTATCTCGAAGTCCTGGCAGTATTAAATGTCCAAAAATGTTGAGATTACTACACTTCTTTTGCAGGTGGATCTGTCTATATGGAGAAAGAATGGGAATGGGACCCTAACCTTTCTTGTTACCTTATTTTTAAAAACACTGAATTAAGTAATAATGTTACTTAGCAATCACACATGTGCTAAAGCGTTCAGCGGTGAGCCACATTACTAATATAAAACCTGAAGGCACTACCCACTTACTCAAACGAGGGGCGAGGTTCGAATTCGCCACCCGTTAGTCCCAAAACGTGTGTAGACCAATGAACCATAGGGTTTCTAACTAACTGTTTACTTGTTATCTAATTCTATAATTCAGTGACAGATATCTGCTTATTTACAACACGGCTGAATACTTTTAGTCGAAGTCGTTAATCTTGTGCCTGTCATCAATGTGTGCATATAGCCAATACGGAAGTTTAAAATGAGAAAAAATAGGAGTGCATCAAAAATAACTACTATTTTTTCCGAAGTACCATAAAATACATGATAAGAACAGTATATACATAATTCACTGGGGAGATGCAACTTTGTTTTTCCGTTTAGACTTAGGACCCCAATGTTTTTCAGGATTTACTTGATATCTGTAAAGGGAAACAAAATGATACAATTACCAATATTCAATAGAAGTTGAGTAGTTTTTATGCTAATAAAAATGTCTGGAGAAGGCAATAACAACTCATGGTACGGGATAAAATGGATTCCATAAGTATCTTGTCAGCTGAATACAACCTAAAAAGAACTATTTAATTTCAACATGCGTTGTTAATGCTTTGCTCAAAGTCAACAGAGATGATTGATACATAAAATAAGTGTTTTAGATGATGGAATAAGCGAAAAAATATGTATTAATGTAGACTATTGATTTTCCAGTTAACAATTCGGAAAGTCAGCTTTTGTTCTGTCTGCTCTCAACAGATTCCTAGCACTTCTGTACCAATATCTCATTTGTTTGGCAGTTTGAACAGCCTTGTCAGCCTCAAAAACAGTGCAGACATCTTATATCATTTATGCTTATTTTGGCTTTCATCGAAAGAACATATGTCGACTGGCTAGCTTTCCGAAGATTTTCACCAACCGGCGATATTCCGCTTCCACGACTGCAGTGGTAAATATTTTTTTGTTTTTTTCTATGCTTCGCGGTTTTCGAAACGGTTGCGTTAATTTTCTGGGACACGGTTGGTAGGTCCAAGCCCAACCTCCCCTCTCTTTACCCGCTTAGGACTGGTTGGGAAACTAGGCGATATTAACCTATATGATAGTCCAAAATTTTGCAACCAGTGAGTATGTTCAAATGGTACTGTCATGATCTCAGTTGCTTCACTACACCTCACCTTTAGGAAAAATAAAAATTCGTGGTGATTAAACGCGTGATGAGAATGCCTAAAATGTCGTTGAAGCAATTCGTTATCATCAGCTTGCACATATGGTATGTATCGAGAAACTATTATGTAAATGTCTCTGGTGACTAAATAATGAAACAACTTACTGACAATGATGCATACTTACATTCCAGTCTGCGTTTCTGTCATTATAAAAATTAGGTATGATTAATTCTTCCTTGAACTTCCTGCACTCACTTAAGCAGTCTGCTTTTAGCTGATGGACCCAGGGTTCGAGTCCCATTCCACTTAATTGGGCTTACGTGTATGAGTAGTATCAGAAGCTCTCACGCAGTATATATGGACCATAATCGGTCTTTATTAACTGATATATATATATATATATATATATATATATATATATATATATATATATATATACTTACCTCAGTAGTCCATTATTTCGTGAAGGTGGATTGGCGAGCGGATGGCAGGTGAAAGAAACTGATGGATTAATTGGCCTGGTCAATAGGCTGGCGCGAACTGTCTTGCGATCTTCACCACTATTTGGCTCATAGCTTATGTCTTCATCTTCTGCGTTATCGTTACAACTACGTTTACGTCTCGCACGTCTCCTATCTCGAATACTAGTTTTTTCTAATGTTTCAACTACTTCTTTAGAATGTTCTTCACTATCTGAATTTTGATTCGAGTTCTTTAGTTCACGGAGTTTTTCGTAGTGAACTCGAAAACAGTCAAGTACAAACGAGTGTGGCGCATCAGTTTTTAAAGAATTCTTATCAGCATGCGAACAGGATACACGATAGTTGGCATTGAGAAAACAAGAGCTGCCCGTTTGCAAAACAAAGTATGGTAAGACATCATTTAAAACTATATAAATTATAGGATATAAATGTTACTGGTATATAATATGAAACTCTGAAACATATTTGTAACTCAGCGATTATATTTTTTCCAGTAATTTATCCCTAATAGGTCATCGGTGGTCTCATGGATAACATGTACATTAGCCGTAATAGTGGAACATCTGCATGAATAACAAGGTGTCTATGTGTACAATTAAGTTTCGGTTACTGTACAGCTATAAATGAATAATACTAACCAGGTGCAAATACAAGGAATGCGATGCGTCTATTACGAATGCCCAAACAACATATCTGAAAGTCAAATGCCTAGTATAATGAACTACATTTCTTAATATGAAAATGGACGCATACAATTTTATAAGTATTTACATATTCAAGCCTTCGTCTTGGCTATACCATGAAATTTTGAATTTGGTATAAGCATCAAAATCTAACTTTTACTGTTATTTCAAAATGACATTTTAAGCTTTCTTCGTGTTTTATAACTGACTAATTCATTTGTGAAGAAATCAGTGGATTCGAGGCATATTGTACTTAATTATTCTTGTGGCTTTATCAAATATATGATTTGGAAACTTTGCCTTTCGACATCAAAAGATAATCATCAATTCACAACAGAATGAAAATATCCCTTTTCAACAATACTACCCTTTAAAGTGGTGGAAAAAGTGCAGTCGAACGTAAACTAATGTTAATGTGCTTCTTATCCTTTTTAAATTTCAGCTGCCATTGCTCGTCGAGCAGAGAAGTGGCTCAGTATTCATAAAATAAGTCTTAGGCGTAGCTTATTCTGTAGCTTCCCAATCTCATCTGCTGAATTACCCTCCTTACTTACCATTCAACAGCTCAATTCATCATTACTAATCATATTACTCCATTATTACTTATTTATCCAACACCAAACTGTACATTATGGGCACCAAGAGATGTGCCACACAAAATAATAACATTAAAGTATGAGGAAAAATGGTCAAGGTGCATCAGTATAAAAACAAGTAAGCATGCTTATCAAAAGCATTCAAAGGATAGTTTATTGCTTCATAGTGCTTTCAGGAACGAAAGAAAGAAGGGGAAGTGGGATGTCGTTAAACCAACTGGTTAACACCATTGTGGATAGACATATAATGTCATGTAAGAAACTAGTGGATTCTATATTGTCAGACCCCGAACACCCTCTCTATACGCAGCTCTCTCCTTGCATTTCATCTGGTAGAACTAGAAGCAACTATAGGAGGCTATATGCCAGGACTACCAAGTACAAAAACTCCACAATACCTTATCTGGCACAGCTGTTATGTGATGAGAAATCCGTTAGGTATGACATGATCAACTTACTGCGGCACTCTAACAAATAGTTCCCATTAGCTTTTGTTCTCCTTTCTTTGTTACTGTTATATTGTTGCTCACATATTTTATTACACACTAATTTTATATTTCATATCCTGTGGTGCATTGTTTAAATATGTGAGTGCAATGCTGTTCTTTTTTATTTCTTTTATTTATCTTTTTTCTTTTTGTTGTTGTTGCTTTTTATTTTTAAAATCTTATAAAATTTATGAAGTAATTAGATGCAATATTGTAATGCACGCTGAAAATTCCATACCTGTACCACAAATACTGTTTGGAATAAAGCTATTATTATGATGATTATTATCATTAAAGAAGGGAACTGCAGTATTTCGGTCACCGATTTCAATTCTTAACCATATCTGATAAAGTCTGAATTCGCTGAGACGTATGATCCAGAAGGACACGATGAACCCAAAACGATTACATTGCTGATGATCTCGGCCCCAAACGAGAGAAACGGCGGTCCAGTTCACTTCGATATAGCTAGCGAGCACTACTAACTGATGTGAATAGAGTGTGCAACGACTCACGTCAATTAATCAGTACTATATAGCGTCGAACACACATTCGCCTAAATTACTCAGGATTAATAACCGCGAACCCCATGATTTCAAAACACACTCCTCTAAAAACTTCTCACTTAACTTTTCGTTTGGTCACAAGCTTACATCAGATTCTAATGTAACTTCTTCAAATCTCAATTCTCTTTTAGCTACGTTGACTACGAGAGAAAATGGAAGGCTGGACTATTAAACACACTTATCCAAACCATTTCGTTGGGTAAAAATTAACGAACTTGTAGTCTTAATTGCGATTACTACCCATCGCACTACATCAAAAGTCACCATTGCTCATGAAAGCAGTACTCAATAAAATCAGCTACTGGAGTCGGAAACCCCATTTCAGAGCTAAACCGTTATTAGAAAAATTAATAAAAGTATCAATTACACGTTTCTCAATATAGAACTTACTGTAATTCTAATAATTTAGGGATAGTACAACCATAAAGTGATGCTAGTTGATCAACTGCATAATATAAAGGCACATCAGGCAGTTCTTCATACGCCATAGTCGCCATACCAACAATACGTTTAATTGTACCGTAGTGTTTATTTGATACTAAGTTACACTGGTCCGACAACTGAGTTTCTGATTCATTCGGTAATTTTGAAGACTCTTCATCTGAATGGTAAAATACATGAAACTAAAGAGTGACAGTGGCATAAGATAGAACAGTTTCTCTCCGTGCTAATAATATTATTCAGAGTAAAAAAACCGCTACATAACAAAACATGTCAAAAGAATGACACAAAATATTCACTCCTGTATATAGAGGTTTAAGGGTGGTTAGACCTGTTCAAAGTTACTTTCTACCACTGAGATTAAATAATCCCTCATTCCGCTGCCTTTTTCTTTTTTTCATAGGAGTCTACAGGCTTTTTTCTTGCAGGGCATTAATTACCATAAGTTTATACTAAGGTCTGAAATGATTCTCGACGTATTTACTTACCTGTTAGTCTCATCTCTCGAACTTCTGTTTTTCTTTTCACGCATTTGAAGGCATTTTATATAGTGCTGGTAATCCATATCAAACGTGAATCATATATGAAGTGATCAGGTTACAAGAAATGAAACAGCTGACTGTAGGTTTTAATGGCACTATAGGGCTATCTGTTTTTACACCTTTGTGTCTGTGTGGTAGAAATAATAAACTCCAATAATCAGACTATGCATGCGTATAAAATGCAGTTGAAAAGGAACTACACCTATTGTGGCTATCCAAACCTGGTGGGGCGAGGTTCGAACCCACGGCCCACTGGTTGGAAGTCAAGCGTTTAGACCAATAAGTTACTGCTCCACTTCTCCGAATATAGCTATTTATAAGTATCGTTTGTGGGTCACTCATTTTTTAGTTTACCCTTCTCTCTGATGTACGATTACATGAACATAACGTACAATTATCAGAATGGTATTAGTATAACTAATATAAGACCATAATAATCACAAGAAGACAAAAATTAGTATTTGAACAAAGCAAGAACGAACATATTTGCAGGATAAAAAGAACTCTTTTTTCTACTTCACGGCCTTTCTTCAGTCGTAAACAGCCTAAAAATGACGTAAGTTATTACAGTTTTAAATTTATAACATACTTCGAAATTATTTCAACTCAAAGGGAGAGAACAAGGCTTATGAAGAAACAAGATAGTTAATATTCTAACAACCAGAGTTTTCTTTATACATAATATGACAGAAAATTCGAGAAGAAAGATTAGGGGTGAAAAGAAAAGGCCACTATTATAAGGATAACAAATATTATGTTTTTCAAATTGTAAGAACCTGAAGAGAATCTATTGAAAAGAGTCCTCTTCGTTCAGACTGACTTTTAATTTACGATATGGGAATATTTCACACTATTAAAAGTAAAACTATTGCGTAAATAGACAATTAAGTAAAATTAATGAGTTCAGCTAAGCGAGTGATAATCAAAAGATCACTTTCATATCCCTTGTTGAAATAATTTTGAAGTATTCTGTAGATGTACGTTATATAGACAGATAATAACTTGTCATTTTCAGGCTGTTAGCAACTGAAGAAAAGCCGTGAAATATAGAATGAGTTCTTTTTATCCTACAAACAGGTTTGTTTTTACTTTGTCCAACCTAATCAAGGGAGTCGGGTGTATGAGAAATTCTGGTGCCTAAAAAGAGATGACTTAGAATAAAAAAATTAACGTGCCAATAATGAATTTGGAATCACTTACTGACAAGAATGTAGGTGAACGTAACTATTGCAACGAGACATTCATTTGGTAGAATACCTTTGCTAACAGTGCATAGTACTTTTTCACAAGTGGAAATGCAAGAAACAGTAACCACTTCTAAAACTATTTTTAATACTGACTTTGCAACAATAAAAATGATGCTCAGAATAAAAAGAAACATGAATCACACTTTCCTACTGAATAAGACAAATCACAATAGCACTATTTTAGCAGTTCTTGAAACGTAAGCCAATTCTATCAGATGGATGTATCAGAATAAACACTGACATTTTTTCCGAAATTTGGCTCTCTTATAGCATTTTGAATTAATGGGAAAGATTTGTAGCTCAGGTGGGTGATTTCGAGTTAGTTGTGTTCTCTGAGCTGGTTGATTTAATTGCGAAGCTTTCGTCGTCCTTCTAGAAAACATCTTCAGCGCAGGAGTGAACTCATTCATGGAGAATTCCAATGAGTTCACTCCATACTAAAACCTGCACTGAAGATGCTGTCTAGAAGGACGACGAAAGCTTCGCAATTACATCAACCAGCTCAGAGAACACAACTAATTCAAAACCTCTTATAGTATACTGATACTCTAATTACAGTAATGACACAATGTATATATCCCATGTTAGTTTGCGCATTTGGTGTAACACAATGGGTTTTTTGACTACGAACAATAAATTTTTCCCATAACATCATCTACTAAATAAAAGTATCAAAGGTAACAATAGGCAAAATGATTTGATTATCATACACAATGTGATGGTTGTGAGGTCAGGCACAAAAGCCAAACTGTAGTGTGTGCTAATGACAATATTTTTTAAGCAGTATACTGGTGACGTCCTCTGGAAGAATCTTGAATTACAAAGTGATTGATTAAGTTGCATAGAGGAGAAGTGAAGATGCTTCTGAAGCAATATAGAAAACACGAAGACAACATAAGCAGAATATGAATAACCTTTGCAAAATGAAGTCCCAAGTTTTGCTATCACTACGAATTATTTTGCCAAAGAAACAATTCCGCCACCACTCTGTTCTGTCGCTACAGATTAGTTTGTTGACGTCAGTAAGAATATCAGAACACAAAAGATTAGCTAAATATAAACTGATAGATCCCAGTAAAGTAGGCAATTTAGAAAAAGCTTAACTAACACAGTGGATACACTTAAACAAAGGTTCTAAAACTCAGCATAGTTAAGTAGAGACAGTAATTGACAAAGCTTTGCTTATCAAAATAACACTCAAAACATATAATGGAAATAATTCGACGCCCATCACATTTACCTGGTAAAACGGTCACCAGTCACGTAAGTGGTTCGAGTTCGATTCCCAGTCGACGCATTCTTAAACTCATTCTAGTTTACTAGTTGACAGTAGGCTCGGAAAAGAAGGAAGGCTGGCAACCTCTGCTCTTAGAAATAACACCACCGCTACTGAAACCTCAGAACTTAAAGCTTGAGATCCTATGTTTCATTAGGAAAACGGAAGAATGAAAAGAAAAATATAACAATAAAGTGCGCTCGAAATGACACCCAGTATGTAAAACTGTAACAAGCTGTTAGACCTTCACACATCATCGAAACATTCTTAATAGAAGCCAACGAGTGAACAGAAACCGAGCTATTCGATCCAATATAAATCGATCAATAAGAAACGCAAAATAACCTAGACAAATAGAAACTGTATCGATGTGTGATACATCAAATAAACAAACTAACATGCAGTTTACTACAATGCCCAATTTGTACTCATAACAATGTATACATACCCTTATCCGCTGTAGTTTGCGAAGAGTGATTTTCACTACCGCCGGATCCAGGAGGATAGCCCAAATCAGAAAGGAAATCGTATAAGAATGAACGACTATGTAAGGGTCCAATCCACATAGGACCAAATACATTAAATTTTGAACCGCAGTACGTGCATTGAGGACCTACAGGAGGACCACGAGCAGGAGCAATCGCTCTGTTATTATTAAGTGCCTCACCCAAAGGTTGTATATAGTACGCCTAAAAATAAAGAACCCAAAATAATTAATTTCGGAATCTTTGTAGAATTATCCAACTTAATGAGTGAGTTATTTCAAATAAAATATTGTAAGACAACGTTACAGACACTCAATTTTCCATCAAGTGGTTACGCACGCAGACCTATATCATATATAAAATTTGAAACAGTTAGTACTTATCATCAACCCTAATACAACAGGTGCAAGCTCATGCTCAACTGCTTGCACATAAACGGGGAAGTTGAGTAACGCTTTATTATACCCACTTCTAATGAATTCAATCAATCAACTTTGTGTGCATATCCTATGTCTACATAGACACTTTGAAGACTAATAATAGGTAGTATTTTGATCGTAGGGACTGGTAGAAACTAATCCAATGAAGATGCGCATCTCAAACATGTCAATACATAAATCTAACACATTAATTTACCATAGAACCGTCGTTCTTTAAGCTTATACGTGATTGGATATTGTTTACTGTTTCACAAAATTGATTTGCAGTCAGCAAATCAGATTTGAACTCAAATTCACCTACTGAAATTTAGGCAGCCACTGACAACTAAAAGTATGTATCATTCACTGATTTCATGTGCTGGGAAATGTTCTCACAAAATTGAAGTGTGTACACCTAGGGAATTGGGAGATTCCTGATTTCTAACGTATGCAGTACATAATCTCCAAGATTCGAAAAGAACGAATGGGATATGAACCCATTGGAATGCAGCTCACGAAGTCACTCTTCTGCCTTGTGGGACAGAATTCAAGTCAAAGGATCAAGAGGCAGTCCCTTAAGACAATCATCAGCTTTGGTTTGGGAGTCCGGAAATTATCTAGTCCTTACATAATGTAAGAAACAGCATTTCAATGCAAAGCAGAACTTAACTGTACTTTCCCACAACTTACTGCACCTGATACCTAATAGGCCATATATTTACACACTCTAATTATTATCACTTTTGGTTGTTATGTATGAGAATATTAGGACCTTGTAGACTTCGAGCGAATCTAACTAATGCGCTGGCTAATCTGTCCTAATCGCATATCAACAACAACAACAATATCGCCGGGCACGCAAGGCAAAGAAAGAAGACTGGACGTTGACACGAGAGCTTTTACTGTCTCTAACAGCAGTCGAAATGTTAAACAAAAACTCCGTATTTATACAATTAGAAAAATCAATGTCACATTTTAAAAATATTAACAAACCATGGGAATTCAGTAATTAAAATCAATAATCACGCAGATGCGGTAAATCAATGATTATGCTAGTGTGAGAAATAAATAATGAATATTAATGATTCACCTGTGTATACATTATTGGTGTTACTGTCATTTTCATACATGAGCTACATTCACTTAGTTCTGTCACCACATCTGATGAAAAGCATATTCTTGAAGGCCACGAAGTGTCAGATTACTATTGGTACAATGAGTGGTGACTGAAGCTGAGATGGAAATTTGGTTGGCAGGAAGATCCGACCACCAGACCACTATCCCGGGGCTCCATCAGCAGAGCGTGAAACCCAACAGCTAACCACACCATAACTTCATTGTAATCATCATGTGAACGTGTGGTGCGTAATTACTACACTAGTCTCTTATCTACTGTCAATTATAATCCTAATTATAAGAATTCTAATCATGATGAAGCAGAAGATATGTAGGATGTTGATCGGTAATCAAACTGTGATAAGCTTAGTATTGACAGAGGACTATTGATGGAATACATGGCAGCTGGGTTCCACCACTAAAGACTAGAGCGAAATGATTACCTAGTTAGCAGTAGCTAGGTTTGGACTGCACTGCTAACAAAGTGCTGAGTTGGTTATCCGTAATTTAATTAGGTGCTACTTATTCATTTATTTGAAATATCACTTTAAACATATCATTTTGGGTCACCACATAGCTACTACCAGAAGACTCACCTTATGTACGACATCCAGCACCACTATTCTGACACTAAATGTCACCGACAACTTTCGCACTGTGACCAAAGCTGGACAAGTAGGTTTGACCAAAACTTTGGAAAGCCTGGCTATTGATGTATACTGTATTTCAGAGACTCACATACAAGAATTCAGTGAAAAACTTTGAATAACTCTGTGTCAGCTCGAATAATTACATTTCAAGTGATCTGTATCCAAAAAGCCTGCGATATACGCATTCAGATTAGTTGGTATGTGGCGCACAAATCGGCTGGAGTCAAGACTACATTACTTGATAGGATTCCCCATTGACAGTTGTTCGTTCGCTGTTGTGCCAGGTTGTATTAGAGTGAGAAGCAACTTGCCAAATAATAGTCCCAAAATACCCCACGAAACTATTTTGCTGCAGTATCCTGAAATTTCTATTCATTTCGTCCTCTGTAGAAAGTACGTTAACTTAAACTAATGTATATTTGTGCGAAGTTCTATGCTAATTCATCAGTTAGCCAAGCGTTCAGCGCCTGCATTGGAATGTTAAACGTACCACTAATGAATATCAGCCTGTTTTACTGTGTAAAGTTACTAAAGTTTACAAATTTCTTATTACCTTTTAATTTAATTTAAATAATTATTAACTGTGGTTGTACTTACCAGACAACCAGGACAAGTATAACAGATACCATGCTTAGCTGCAATCGCTTTGACAGATATTGGGCTAGACCAAACACGAGCGAAAATTCTAGCATAGAAATCCACCGACAATGATAACAGTGGTTCAATGATTTTACCATATCGACTGGCAGCTGACTGTATGCCATTCAGAAGTATTCGTAATCCCTTAAATGAAATAACAAGAACAGATTTATAATATAGGAATACAACTGTGTTATACAATTTTATTATTATTATTGTTTCCTTTAGTTCCTAGAGTAACATAGGGCTTCAGCCACACGTCTCCATTGCGTTTGATTTTCTACCAACGTTTTCACCTGGCTCCATGTCTGCCTACATCCTTTCATCTCTTCTTCGCATGACCTCCTCGATGTCGCCCTCGGACCACCAACTCCCCGCTTCCCATTTGGGTTCCACTCGAGTGATGGACTAACCTGTGATGTCACTTAATGGTTTCCTCAGAGCATGGCCTATCCCCCTAACTCCATTTCTTCCTGCACATTTGTTGCACAATCGGTTCCTGCTGGATTGGTTAGCTCATTGCCAGAGATCTCTGTTGCTGATCTTTTCTGGCCGGCCATCTGATCTTGAGTATTGAGCGAAGACAGCTATTAACGAAGGTCTGTAATTTGTTCGAAGTGCTCTTCGTGACGTGGCGCCAAGTCTCTGATCCACATAGTAAGTAGCACTGACTTCACATTGGAGTTGGAAATCCGGATTTTATTTTTCATGCTGAAAGCTGTCGACCTCCACACAGACTTGAGAGAAATGAAAGCTTGACTTGCTTTCCCGATCCTCGCTTTTATATCCACGTCAGTTTCGCCTGTAGTTGAAACGATGCCTCTCAGGTAGGTAGGTAGGTAAAGGAGGTTGCTTCTTTCAGATTTCTCCCATTTATGCTGATTGTTGTCTGTTGCTGTTGGCCAGGAATTTTCATCACCTCTGTTTTATCTATGTTCACCTGAAGTCCTATATTTGATGCCTCTTCTTCCGACTTCTTGCTTTTTACTTGTATATCTTCCAGTTTGTGGGAAATCAGACATATATCATCGGCGAAGTCCAGATCCTCCAAGTTTTTGTGCGGGTCCATTTTATGCCTGTTTCCTCGCTGCCCACTGTCTGTCGCATTATTCAGTCTACCACAATCAGGAAAATCATTGGCGATAGTAGGCAGCCTTGTCTTACTCTCGCTTTCACTTCGAAGGATTCCGTGAGTTACGATTTTATTACTGAATCTAAAACAGTCCACCACTAACAGTGGGGAAGTTTGATAGCGTCCGGAAAGACTACATTCAATTTGTTAAAGGTTTTCAAGTGGTTATCTAATAGATGTTAGCTCATGATCAATTCTGTGACCAATCAAATCTCTGCAGATCAACACTTGATAATTAAGTAGAAGAGTCTACAAATAGTCATCAATCCTAAGAACATATTCATGACGCCAAATTACAAACTTATTACAGGTGATTCTAGAAAGCTGTTGAACATGAAGTTTTGTGAGAAATACTATATTGAGAGAGCCAGAGACTTAGGGCAATGAGATGCATGCTAACAATCATATCGAGCGAATGTGTAAAACTCAAAATGTCAGATTAATGGCCAAACATGTCATCTCAAATAAAGGTTCATATTTAAATCCATGTAATTTGTAAAGAGAAAAGTAACTTTGATTATATATATATATATATATATATATATATATATATATATATATATAGCGTGTGCCTTTATTTGCTAAAGGCTGGTTACATCAGATTCATAATCCAAGCTGTCTTCAGAAGAATAAGATTTTCACTATATCTCTGAAACAGTAACTGAATTAATCTCCAACTGAAAGACTATCCAAAATATAGCTTTTGCTATTCGACGAAAGTTAGAAGCTTACAAACAACTCTGGCATGAAAGTATTACTGTCCCCAGAGGATTTCGTTTAAATTCCCACAGACACTTGTGAAAGACTTCTTTTTTATAGTGTATATTTTCCATAAGCCGTTGAATGTTTGCAATGTTTTACGCCATTTTGTACTACTAACCTATTGCGACTTTAACATAGTAACTTTGGACGGTGTGTTCAATGAAACAGTATAAACCGCTGAAAAGCATTTGCGATACAAGAAATTTTACTTTTAAACACATACCTCATTTCAATTACCTAACAATTTATACTTCTAAACTGCGTGATCGTCTCATTAAAAAGACTTTCTGCTTAGTAAGTTCAGACCAGTGGACAAATATTTACACAGAAGTGCCAAACACAAGTGTACTAATATTTAATTGCAACCAGAGATATGGATCATTTGCTTAGGCGTCCGGCTTTCGGCCAAATAGTAGTGGGTTCGAGCCCCGCTTAAACAACTTTAGTCTGGGTAACTGGATAGTATCAGCCCTAACATAATACATGTGGCTCATAGATTGTTACATAAAAAATCTGTTCCAAGTAACTGAATTGTAACTAACTAATTGGAGAACTAGAAAAACTCACAACTTCATGTGTAGATGATGTTTTAATAGCCATCCCACCGTATTTGCCCATTGCAGTTCCAGGAGTACTGCCACATAATACAGCCATATCGGTTGAAGTTACACAAAGTAGTCCACCATTATGCAAACACTGGACAGCGGAGTCTAAAAATGGGCTTGCTGTTCCAAATGGATCGATGTCGACTACGTTAAACCTAAAACGTTACAGAAATCCCAAAGAAAATTATATGATTTTTTGGCGTATAGGACATAGTATGTCTGAAAGTCATACGAAAGCTGGTAAGGATATACACTTATCACATACAAAGCATACGTAAATGTTTAGTAGCTGGTGTACATTGACAAATATTTTCTGGAATCAGGCAAGTATATTACCTAAACACTTTCTTCGAGCTCTGGGGCGAGGGTTTATCACTGATACGAGATGCAGTGTTGATAGCCGATGTACCTATTGCTTATGGTACTTTGTTATCACTGAGAGACAATATCTACAGGTGTTCTTGTTACTCTATCTATCCAATCAAATAACCAAGCACAAATTTTACCAGTGGGAACTTCCATACGAGAGGTGCCACCTATGAGGGAAGCTAAAACGTGAGCCACTGCAATAGCCATAAGTTATAGGCTAATGAAAGCAACCGGAAATTAGTTCACCTACAATACTGTGTTCATATCTGAGTTATATTGGTCAGAAAATCAACAAATCTATATTTATAAACAAAAAAATAAATTTGGCGACAAAAGTCAAGAAATATATTCTTTACCCACATTAAATCTTAAATATCTCGTTTGGCAGATGTGACAGTGGCGTTTAGTTGGTTCATACTGCATTCTAAATTTAACTATTCCACTGGTAAATTCTTGGCTCATGTACACACGTGTGCTTACTAGCAAGGATTAAAAATCAACAATATGACTGACAGTTTTAAAAATAAAACTTTACATAGGAAGTGAAGCAAATCAAGTTGCTACACCATATAGCACACAAAGGAACTATTATTAACGGGAATGTACGGGAGAAAGAATTATCACACAAAGAATAATGTACAGTTAATGGAACTAGGAGATTACGAAGAGTAAATACATCTGCGTCATTCACAACAATTTGAGGTGTATCATTAATATTCTCAAGCCATTGGTTATTACCGTTTCGAGCACTTCAGTCAGATAGTCTACACATACGTAGCTCAAACTATTGGTTAAAAATCTCATGGATCGACGCTAGGTTTTGGTTTGACCACCAGCAACTTTTTATTTATCTAATCTTATGTCAGCTAACAGTGGTCAACGAGGAAGGCTATGATTTGGCATGAGTAACATGTTCAACCCAGGTTACGTGTAGTTTCTTATAAATATAGTTGCTAAACAGCTTCAAAACACCAGGAATACGGTGTTTGTTTAGTGAATTGTAAAAAACCTAATGAGTTCGTGGAGCTCATTAAGACAACTGTTAGGCACTATTGCCAGAAATATGAAATATTATCTAACTACATATTTGTTAAACAGAAATGAACTTACCTTTCAGAATACTTTCGATGTTGATACATCAAATCATTAGCATCGCTACAGACAGCACTAACGATTTTACTCACTTTGTTATGTTCGATATTTTTTTCAATCAACATAACAGATTCTGGATCTACATCGTTGGCGACCACACATGAAACATTTGGGACCTCGAGAGCGAATCTAACGGACCTGATTCCAGAAGCAGATAGTGCTTCAAGTATTTTTAAACTGCATGACTTATCACAGTTTTCTTAAGCGCATGCTGTTAATAGTTAAAAACCGAAAAACATACCATCCACTTGCTTCTTCAACAAGGATTCTTTCCTATGCATTTTGCCGAATTGACTTAGCATAGCAACAGTAATGTCCCTATTGAATTCCTGAACAGGATTGTAAAACACACCCTCCGGAAGTGCAATCTCCGCAAGACCTTCTCTCACTAACATCGCAACGCTCGACAACCTGCGAACAGACTGAATCGTTTTAACTGTCAAGGTCATTTTTAGAGAAAATTACAAGGTGAGATATCTGTTCAATATTAATTGGCTTTAGAGACCAACTTCAACTTCTTTTATCAGAAACAATAAACCAGCAATCTATTTGAGGAGAATTGACAGTATCACAGTCAAGGTCAATGTCTTTCAAAGTTGACCTTCTAAAACTAATTTGATACAGGGAGTGCTATCAAATATCACACAAAATCATGTCTTCCCTTTCGAACTTGGAAAGGATAGACACAGTATTCTACTTACTAAATAGGTAATTTTTCTACTAATGTGTACTGTTAGGAAGGACTGTGGCATTTTAGATTACGGGTTAGGGTATTGGGTTAAGGTGAGAGTTATGATTAAAGCTAGGGCTAGCAGTTAGGACTATAGCTCGAGTTAACAGTAGGTTGAAGAATAGTGTCAGGAGCATCAATGGATTTCAAAGCGCCGTAACTTAAAGTCACCTGGATGAATGTATATATTGCGCATGGTTCGATTTCTTTATAGGTCGTCTGTTTATTGACTGGGAAACATTCTTAAAACACATAAGCTACAACTATACGGTGCAATATCATGTTCAAAATATTTTTCAACGATTTTGCGATTTTCTGCATCCGATTTCTGAGTGACGGTTTATCTTTGCCCTATTTGATTGATTGGTATGTCGGCGAGTAAACTGTTTCTGAAGAGAAAAGGTGGTTATCTTTCTGTTTTTAGACTTCAAAACACTTAAGGATATTTTGCTGTAGTAATCATCTTATAAATAAATAAACAAATAAATTTATGCTTATAATACAGTACATGAGGGACGCCAGTTTACAGGCACCATCAAATTGTTACGGAAATAGAACCATATAATTCAATCACAATTTACAGGCGGTAGCAAGATATGCTTTACATGTTCACTGGAAATTATACATACACTTGATAAATATTACACAATAATAACAGGGTTTCAGTGTGAAACTTTTCAACGAATACTTTTTACAGCATGCGAATTTGCATATATGTTCAGACACCTTTTGAAGGTGCCTTCCTGAGGTGCAACGGGAACTTCCACGTATTAGATTTTACGTTTTACAAATTCTGGTTGGTAAAGAATTCACACAAACCTCAGCTGCTGCTTTTTGAATACCTTACCATATGGAGATAAATCTTCAGATGGTTACAGGTATCGACGTTCGCGAGTTGTACGGATTATACTAACGCAAGATCTTATACCAACAACTTCTATAGTGTTCGTTCTTCGAGTACCAAATGGTAAAGCAAAAGACCAGATTTTGTCGTCCAAAGTACGTAGTATATTTCGGGACAAAATCGCGGGTAGAGGTGAATGCTAAGCTAGCTAGTAATCGTGCACGCACGTGACACGACGGAGCACCAAATGGCGGGGGTGCTTGACCGGAAGCCTTCAGCTAAACAAGTCGACTTAAACAGTGATGGTCAGCATCCAATGTTGAGTGATGATTGCTGTGGTTAATAATTTTGGGGAATTATTTACCGCTACAAATCTTTTGATGTACCTTCTAATCAAAATCACAGATTCTATATCAGGATGTAAGGGACCAAGTGATATATTATGTGGCAATACAAGACATTCGAATCCAGCCATAAGACATACGATTGGATATTAGGGCCTTCTACCGTTCTCGCGCAGTTTCTGTGTTTCCCCAGATTTATGGAGTTTCTGTTGAGGTGCTAGAGCATAATCACTAAATCCTTTACCTTAAGTCACGCGTATAACCACTTCAGTATACATTACACATCCGGAATAAAGCCTGGTAGCTAAAGAAAATAGTAATAGCTTTCTGTCAAACAGTACTTTGACAGATAGAGGGATTCTCAACATTTATTACAATACAGCGCTTAACTTTCTCCTCACATCACATAATAAGAGGAAATACAATTAAATAACTGTGACTTTTAAGGTAATAGCAATAGCAATAACCTGTAAATGTGAAAATGAATTAAAAATTAATAGAGACACTGACGACAATATATTAAAGATAGGAGGGATACAAAAGAGCCACTTAGTGACTCTGCAGTAAGTTGACACTTCAACACCTAACAAATTTCTCATCATGTAAAATGTGTACAAAACATGATACCCTCAATTTCTTATATTTAGCCGTCTCGGAAAAAGGATGAGAGGAGTAACCAAGCAGCAACTGTATCGTATTTGTGATTCACAAGGCTCCCTCCATCTGTTGAAATATATTGAATGATGAATCCGATTCCATGTGTTTGGCTAGGTTTCCGTGCTTCTCTTGCTCACTGCTGTGCTTACAAGAATAATTTTAAAAACTTAAGAATGTATTCTGCATCAGTAGTGACTATCAGTCAAAAATCTGGGCATTTATTTTGGTAGAGAGAACAGTTACTAAGTTGGTCAACCTGATACCCTAACAACACGCCTTTCGTTACGTTGTAATCAACTGTAACTCATGATTTTTTCTTGGTTTTTTTCTCGGATCGTTTTGTTCGTACGCCTCATTTTGTTTGTTTCTTATTCCCTATAACGTCTCACTAACCAGCCAAAGAATTCGATTTCAAAAACCACCACCAAAATCAGAATACTTTAACTTCATCGGCACATGTGGGACTATGGCTTTCTTGAATAGAACCCTGTTTGGACCCTCATAGGATTAAGGCTGAGACAATCGGGTATAAAGATGTGTTTTCTCACGTATCCTATGAGGCCAGCAAGGAGGTGAGGAAAGTCACACTGCACCCACACCCCATCAAACACATGCATTTTCTAGGCGCGAAGTGACCAAATGCCTCTCTTTGTCTGAAAATCAGTGAATACAACGCTTGTCCCAAGGGAGGACTTGGGAGATAGATCCCCGCCACCATTCCTGCGCCAACAGCAACAGCTGGCGGGAGACATCAGTGAAAGAGTTTGTAATAAAGCGTATCAGCATGCAAGTTCTCCTAGGATGTGCGCGACAGGCACTGGATCTTCAAGACCCTAACTTCTAATGCGAACAGTGGTCACACACTGAGTGTCGAGTCGCAGAATGTCAGGTGTGCATTACGAGTAAGGATGGCCATCCAAAAATCATAGAACTCCTGATCAACGTTAGACTACTGGTGGAAGCACCATTACAGGTATGGCTAACGCGCAGCAGTCGAAGTAGATCGTGTAGCAGACAGCCACGTATGCCAAGATGAAGGCCCATACAAATCACATCTACTGGATAGTTCTTTTGCTATCACTAGTGGTTTGGTCTGCAACTAACGAAATCCACACGTCATTGCGCCTGGACTAAATTACCTCATAAACAATAGAGGGACGATTAACTCGGTCTCAGACAGCAATCACTGAGAAGAGTTGCGCGGAGAGTCACCCATTCTACGTTAGAGATACGAAATCTTGTCCAGACATCTTGTCCCGATACAAGCGCCGTAATCAATGCCTGCAAAAAATCAGACTGATTGGTGTCCTTGTGGTGACTACAGAGTCCTAAATGAGCAGACCATCCCAAGCAGGTACTCGGCACCATACAAACAATACTTCACTTATAGTCTTCGGGGTGTCACAATGTTCACTAGAATCTACTTACTTCGTGCTCATCACAATATTTCGATGGCTGACAAAAATAGGCCAAAATGGAAATTATCACCCCATTCAGAAAATTTGAGTTTGTGCAGATGCTATTTGATATTCGGAGTGCTACCTAAATTCTCAAAGCATTCACAGATGACCTACTCATTGCTGTCCAGGACATAAACACACATGAAGACCATACTCAAACAGTATTGTAAGGGCTCAAAGAAGTTTGTCATATTAATTGAGCGTCAGCTGCTCCACCTAAAACGATTAATTTCCTTATTTGTGCACAGTGAAACATACGGTGGGCGAGTGAATGTTCTGCGAAGATGATCTCGAATGCTGCGTTGTTGTGTGATTACGTATCTCTTTACTGTTTTCACATAACCGTGGAAATGTTTGTTCTTGGAGGGCTGTTAGGGTTATATTCTCGCTTCTCCAGTTGGAGCAGTGATAAGAACAGCCAGCCCACCAGGTTAGGTGGTAGAGACTAAACACTCAGCAGATAGTGTGACCAAACTTCAGGTCTGGGCAGTAGAGATGGCCCCACAGCAGTCATGAGAGTTATTTGTGGTCGAAGCCGACCAAAAACAAGTTCAGAGTCATTCCAACAGACCAACTAACTGGATTCCTCGACCGCACTCGTTAAAACTAAAGGCGTTAGTAAAGGCACTGTGGACAATAGATGGAACAGAGAGCAAACAAGAAGCGAAAATCAGATGACCACATAAACCTGTCAAGATTTCAGGATGGAAAAGACCCAGTTACATCGTGGAACCATCAGGCGAACCAACGCGAGAATTCACCGTTAGGGAGCGATCCGATAAAGCCTTATTGTTGCAAGATAAAATACCATCGGCAAAAATAATCCGAGGTGATATATCATAATAAAATAAATTTGTTACAGACAATTCACGAATAACATGTTGGAAAGAAGAACTCATGGACGTCGACCGAAATCAAAAACAAAACTTAACTGTTCAAATAGACTTGTCGATATCCAGAACAAAAGCAAGCGGTTCCAGACAGAATTATATTGATAACGGACTGTTGAATAACAGTAAGATTATTGTTCTATTAAATAAGATGTATCAGACGAACATGGCATAAACCTTCAAGTATGAGGTTACCCGGCATGCAAATATGAAGAGCACAATGGCTGAACCCGAAAATCGCCCACTATCAACAAAAATGGTCATTCGAAAAACGGCTCAATGAACCGCAAGCGGTCTAACTAACACAAAATGCAAAATGGAATGTAAACTACAACTTTACTGCTTAAAGGTGACATGTTTGTTGTAGTATATGGAGACAGCGTTCTGTGTCATAATGATTTTGTATTTTTCTTCTCAGTTATTCTTCGCAAAGTTCTAAATTCTTTAATCAATAGCTGTCTCTGAGTGATCGCAGTGTTCTTTGTTTTTGAGACTCTATGTCAGCCAAACGCCACTCAGGATGTCTTTAAGAATGTTTTAATGGCATGGTTTCTGGAGCCGAATTTAGTGTTTTCCATCGAGTGCATTTCTTTTTGACTGGCGATGTTTAACTTGATCTCAGCTGGAGCTCTGACAGCAGCCAACAGGTCGTTACTCTGAATCTCCACGACACAAAATTGCAGAACATATACAGCACACCTACACGGAAAACAATAGGGTTGTTAACCGAGTATCTTACTAGGCGAGATAATGCAATCATTCGCCAAGCTATTTTATGGGTTTTTTTCCCTATTCACAATTTCGTAAACCAGACTGTTATCGATCGCTGCATGGCTTAAACATCCTATACTTCACGACAGTTGATGGCTCTGAAATGATTTAGCTTTCGAGAGGACGTCTTCCAACACAATTCCGCATGGCTTTCTCGATCTTGTATCATTAGCCTACGCAAAGCTAACGGTATTCTGAGACTTCGCCACACAGTTTTCATTTGCAGCTCTATTGAGAGTACGATACAGGTACTTAGTAAGCTGAGATGCCTAGATCAACAGTATGAGTGACGAATTCGTCAATGTTTCGACATCGAGATTGTAATTTTACGCCACTAACGTCTTTATTTTAAGAAGTCGCAGTTTAGTCGATCTCTGGTTCACAGTGACAGTGCCATGGTTATCATTTACACCAGAGGATCGTTACCTTTGAGTTTTGTACCAGGATAGTGACTGATGCTTAGGGGTTTAACTTTTCAGTGGGAGACGAGAATCAAGTGCTAAGACGGCACACAAAATCTGGGTAAGTTGAGGAATAAAGTAGTTCGGGAGCTTCTGCGAGCAGTCTCTGACCATCGAAGAGGTTTTTACTCGGCTGAGATCCACTATACGATAAAGTAAGCGGGAAGCTAGCTAGAGTAATAAGCAGTTTCATGACTCCCTGTAGGGTGCCTTGCTGCTCATACAGAAGTTACACAGTTGTTTAATATTTTTTAATGTGAAGCTATGTTTGCAGTTGACGTTCTCACTAATTCAGTCCTCCAATGAAACCCTGTGGTCCAAAAAAAGAGGTAAAGCCAAGTGAATGTGCTTTGTAAGCAATATAAAACGGACACAGACGAAAGCAATTGCCCCCCATATTTCACAACCAAGTGTGTAAACGAACGTCTTTGTCAAATCTTGGTTCAGAGACATTAAAACTTATGCTATGAAACTGAACGTTGACCACTCTCAAATCAGAGCGGCATGAGCATGGCCATGGAGCGTGTATTGATAGAAAGCAAGAACTAGCAATAATATGGTCAGAACTGTTTAAGGGACGCTACTCTGGTCATAATTGAGTGTGACTAAGGCGACAGACTTAAGAATGTCAAATTGTGGTTGCTTCTTTCTAATGGGAAACCGCAACCTATAATGTCATGAATGTGTGAGCACTGGTTAACCGCCAGTTTTAAGCTTTGTACTGTGTTCCTAGAGGTTGTTTGTCGCACTTTTGTGTGTTGCGATAACTGTTACTTGTTTTCGGTATGCGAATTATCTATCTTCACGAATTAAGCGACTGAAATATTGGGCTAGTGGTAAAAATATTACCTAGTCAGATCTGAACATATTTAGAAGGACGTCAGCCATTTCAGCTACTTGTTGTACATAGCTTGTTGGTGTACTTTCAAAGATGTATCATCCATGATTGTATTTTTATACAATTTTGCAGCTTCTCAGGACAATCTCCTATTCCTGAAATAGCTGTTAATCACGTGAGAGCGAAGCATCCAAATCTAGGCTGTTCACTGGTTCACCATAATTACCAGTAAGAAAAGGGAAGCAGTTTGGATTGGCACTGAACCCTGACGGTGACCTTGGTGAAGGGTTTACAATCCAGTTCCGATTGCTTTTGCAACAATCCAACAATTTAAACTTTTGAAAGAGTGCTAATTTATGATACTTAAGGATTTTAATTTATAACATAACTGATCGTGCCTGAAAAAATGGCATGCATTTCTTGTAAACTTAACCGTTCATACGAAATATGTATTAATATTATAAAAATTTATCAGGACATAAGACCTTAGATATTTCTGGATATCTCATGGTGTGAAATATTCTTTAATTTTACCCACGGTACTGAATCTAATTTTCTAGTGTTTAAGTGCCCTTAAGAAGCCAATTGGAAAGCTACTTGCAACAGGCCACGATCTAAAGTACTTTTTTGGTATTTGCACAGCTTTATGTAACTCTATTGATCTTTATTCAACTCCTAGAGAAAAGTTTTGAACCGTCTTCAGTATTAATACAGGAGGCGCTAATATTGTTGTTTGCTCATAGTTTCAATAACATGTCAGTCACCAGCAGTCAAAAAGCTTTTGAAAATGCAAAATATCGATCGAGGGACTGTGCAAATATGGGAATGTCTGCAGTTGAAATAGCTTTTGGCGTCATATCTGAAGATGAGATTTAAAACCCCTATCACATTCAGTGCTTCTTGGGGGAGTATTATGTGCTAACAGCCACAGTTACACAGGACTTTTGAAATGGGCCTGTAGTCCATTCCTTCGTTCCCCTGGTAGGAACTCGAGGAGTCGGTAACTGGACAGATTAATGGCAGCACAAGTAGTGTAACTGTCCCTACGGCTGGGTTGGTAATGGGTGAATCCCACTAGTTTGTTCATTTTAAGGGAGTCATTGTGTATGGAATGCAAAATATCCGCCACTTATTACTGCCTCATACTCGGGTTCATTCTCAGAGCAAGTGAAAGACGAAATGGGATATCTGAGCACTATGCTCAGTTAATACTAATTGGGTACTCGGAAACACTCACAAATCCTTTAAAATTTGGAATTGAGAAACAATGACAGTGGACTTGTCAAATGCGGTCAATACAGAAGACAAATAACTAACATTTAACGCAGAAAAAACCTATCTCGTAACATGGCCTGTTTCGGATATCTCATGGTCCGACAAGAATACGCTTTTCTAAGCATATGCCTCAGCTTTTAATAACACTACGCTACCCTTCTGCTATCAAGGAGTATTTGCGAGTCAGGTGAGATTTCTGGGGCACCACCTACCAGACTACCCTCCACTACTACTGTCACGACCACTTATTCTGCCAGGGTGGAATATTTCTAGCACTCCTATGACTGTATAGGATCTATGGGTATATGGTTTCTTGTGGTGTCAGAGGAGTGACTATTAAGGGTGGGCAAACCATGGTGTTTATGAACTGCCGAAGGGTTGTGGTACTGTGTTTGCTAGTCTACTTACGCACAATGTACACTTATCAGCCATTAAGTACCTTTAAGGACTAAATAAATTATCTTGGCAAATCTTATATATATATCCGTTCACTAATCGAACCAAATAACATGTTTTAAAGACATGTTTAAATCGGACAAGGAACTCATTACATGAAAGAATACTTACAACCAACACTTCAGGAACAAAATGTTGGCAGTGCATTTATACCTCAGAAGTTTACTAGAGATGACGAACCTATCCAGAAGCTTGTGAAATGTATACGTGGAATTTTGGCTAGGCGTGATCTTTACCTGAGTAAATTTAAACTAGAAATACGAGTGGTTTCCGGTAAAAACAAAAGCCGAAAATATCCTCTGATATATTTTCGACATTAGCAGGAGAAAAAAACAAATTTATCTTGCCAAAAGTATAGTTGACCTAAGTTTGTTTAATGTAATCAGTGCATTTGACATTGACCAATCACGTTAAAACACATTTGATTGCTTTTCATTTAAGCGTCATTTCGCATATTGTTTAGGACAATCAACCCAGTCATGGGTAGACCCTGGACTTTATCGTTGGTTCCTGGTTTAATAATAGCCAGTAAGTTACATTAATTGTTCTCTATGTATTTGTAAAGCTGTGTTGGCTTGCGTTCTATGTGACCCATCATCATTACAGTCTGATGTCCCCATATCCAGACCAAATGAGGGACTGTCAACAGCTTCAGATACTTTGAATAAGTAGGTTGTGTGGGTTTTATATTTTACTGTGCACCAGAGAGGCCGAAGCTATCAGTTTGGATGGTCTAAGCCTAGAACAGCTGAAACAGGCTCGTGAACAAGCCGAAAAAAGACAATTCGAGGCGGAAGTCGATCGTATGATGAAGATAATAGTCAATTCCCTGTACAAAAACAAAGAGGTAAAACTGTTGTTACCCCTGACCTCGTAGATATTTCTCAGGGAACTTATATCAAATGCATCCGATGCGCTGGATAAAATACGTGTGCTTGCGTTAACGAATAGGGAAGTGCTAGATGAGGCTGATGAGATGAATATACGTATCAAAGTAAGTTTATTTTTTGCTAAATAGCATCTTCTGAAGGCTAACAAAGAAGCACGAACACTTCATATAATCGACACAGGAATAGGGATGACAAAAGCCGAACTTACAGCTAATTTGGGGACCATCGCTAAGTCCGGAACATCTGAGTTCTTGGCGAACATCACTCAAACTACATCAGCTGCGGAAAAGTCAGATCTGATTGGCCAGTTTGGTGTCGGGTTCTACTCTTCGTTTTTAGGTTTGTATAGCTTACTAATTTTCTACCTAAATCTTAGTTGCCAATAAAGTAATAGTGGTGTCTAAAAGTGATACTGATGATCAGCACATCTGGGAATCCAATTCCACTTCGTTTACTGTATACAAAGACCCTCGCGGCAATACACTAAAACGTGGGACTGAAATTATTCTCTACCTAACGGAGGAGGCTGAAGATTATTTACAACCTGAAACTCTAAAAGAAGTTGTAAAGAAATACAGTCAATTCATCAATTTCCCTATATACGTTTGGTCGAGTAGAGTTGAAAAAGAAAATGTTGAATCTCAAGAGGAAACCAAGACAAGTGATTCTGAGGCTAGTGTAAGTTTACCATTTTATTTATATTTTCCTTTAGGTTGAAGAAGAAAGTGTGAAAAGTGAAGGCAAAACAGTGGACAAAGTAGTCTGGGATTGGGTGCGCGTAAATGCCAACAAACCAATCTGGAGACGCAAACCGTCCGAAGTAACTGACAAAGAGTATAACGAACTCTTTCATGTATACTCCAAAGAATATGATGATCCTCTTGCCAGAATTCATTTCACTGGAGAGGGAGATGTGATATTTAATTCAATACTTTATATTCCTAAACGTTCTCCTTCTAACATATTTCAAATGCACAGTAGTCACAGTGACAGAATAAAAGTAAGTTGTGTAACGACTTCTTAACTGTATTTTCTAGCTCTATGTTCGTCGAGTATATATTTCGGATGTAGCTGATGATCTGCTTCCTAAATATTTGGCATTCGTTGTGGGTATTGTTGACAGTGATGAACTGCCCCTAAATGTTTCTCGTGAGATGCTTCAGCAAAATAAGTTGCTGAAGACAATAAAGAAAAGATTGGTCAAGAAAGTTATTGAGATGATTAGCAAACTTAGCGAATCGGACTTTGAAAAGTTTTGGAATGAGTATTCTGTAAACATAAAGCTTGGTATAATTGACGACCATTCAAACCGTTCAAAGCTGTCTAAACTTCTTCGCTTCTGGACGTCAAATAGTACTGAAAAGCAGTCAAGTCTTGCGGATTACGTCTCAAGAATGAAAAAGGGACAAGAAGAAATATACTACATCACCGCGGCTTCTATAAATGAGGCAAAGCTGTCGCCATTTGCGGAAAGGCTGATTGAAAAGGGTTATGAGATTGTTTATATGGTAGATCCTGTAGATGAATATATGCTTCAGTCGCTAACAGAGTATGACAAGAAGAAATTAAGAAATGTTGCAAAAGGGACGATTGAATTAGATAAGTCAGAAGACGCCAAAAGTCGTAAAGAAGCTCTACAGAAAGAGTTTGAACCTCTTTTGCAATGGTTCAAAGATGCTTTGAAAGAATATGTAGACCAAACTACATTATCTGAAAGACTGTCCAACACCCCATGTGCCTTAGTGGCGAATGAATTTGGTTGGTCCGGAAACATGGAGCGGATTATGACTGCACAAGCTTATCAGCGAGGTGGGGATCCATCAACCAGTTACTATTCTTCTATGAAAAAGGTTTTTGAAATAAATCCACGTCACCCAGTAATGAAAAAGCTGAACGCCCTCATAAAATCTAACAAAGACGATCCTACTATAAACCATACGGCCAGTTTATTGTTTGATGTTGCAGTTCTCCGATCAGGATTTTCCGTTAAAAACCCAGTTGCATTTGCGGAGAGAGTCGAGACAGTTGTAAAGAAAAGTCTAGATATTGATCCAAGCGAAGAGGTGGAAAAAGAACCAGTTGAAATATCCGATGAACAAGTAACTGAAACGGATGAGGAAATTGAAGAGGTAAGCTAGTATTTTATAAGTGCTTTACTTTTAGAAAACGGCTCCGATTGAAAGCTCGTCAGAAGATAAAGTCGAAGAACCTAAGCAAAGCAACGTAAGTTTAATCTGTCGTGCTTGGTATATTTGCATGTTAATTTACGGAATGCTAAACTTAGTTTTTTCATTTTTCATGGATAGGAAAACCAACCAAGTGCTCCAAAGGATGAGCTTTGAACGCATTTCTTATCTCGCCGGTCCTGTGTACTAACTTTTCTTGTTTTGGACCCCAAACTCTTCAAACTGTTCTCATATGCATGTAACTTGCATGTTTTGAGATGTATGAAACATTTGTTGTTTTTTGCTTCGTTTACTTTTTGATTTTAGAAATATACTTTTGTATTTATTGACAGTTTTTTGTTTCCAAACGAGTACCGTCTTCGGAACAATGTTAGATACTTACATTTTACACTCAGTTCTGGACGAAAACTTAGGGGTTATAGACTTCTAGTACCCAACTTATTGCTCGCTGCAGTTTAATATGGGAAAACATGTTCCAACCCTTATTGGCTTCGGTTAGCCCATGTACTGGAATTTTTACTGCACAAGCGGTGAACCCCGCATACTACACTATATTGATAGCTCTGAATATTCTGACGGAAGAGAAGTCTGTCCCTAGAGTCTTGTCAAGGAAAAATTTTATTTACTGTATGGTACATGAAGTTGCTATTACTCTTTTGTTTAGGAAGTAAGTCTATAGCTCTTGAAGTTTAGGTCTCAGTCTGCCACTTTCAAGTGTTTGAAGTGTGATTTTCCCTCTGCCACCACCAGCAGATTCTGTGTATCTGGGTCGAGTGTCGCTGTTAGTTTTCAATCTTCTGTGATGCCTAAGTCCACTAGCTTTTGCTGTAAGTTGTAATTATGAAAGTCTGCTTTGTTTATTTCTCGAGAGACAAACTTAATTGGATACATTAGCTGCGATTTCACTGATAGTGACTAATCTTGAAGTCAAGTTTAGACGGTTAGCTTAGGTTGTGTACAATCAGAGTTAATGGGTCACAAAACGACCTGGTCAGTAACAGTATTTCAAATGTCCACTTCAAGTTAGTAGGTGTGAGCTCATAAAGCCTTCTGTGACGTATACCGCGGAATATATTCTAGAATCGCTGAACTGTGATGTACACTTTCCTGATATGATTTAGGTCGTGATTAGACGTTTATTTGAAGAAAAATTAGATCGACTTTTCTATCTCGTCATTCAGTTAATTATGGGAAAATCTCTATGGGGATTTGTGATTTCGTACTTTGTGTTCTTCATTGACCTAAGTAGTAAACTGTGGGAGCAATACTCTGTTTGCATGAATTATTTACTGGACAGTAGTCAATGTTCTTATGTCATAATTACTGATTGCACATATTCTTTGTCACTCAGTTAAGTAACATGACCATACACTCTGCTAAGTTCTAATATATATAGTCGACTTATAGATGGCTTCTTGTCTGTGCTTCGTATGTGATGGAATTCGTCAATGGTTAGCTTTCTCAACCTTTCGGAAAATTAATACAACTTTAGGAGAACCAGGACATATAACTGATGGCTTTTGTGATTATTGAGCTGCTTCCCATTTCTTAATCACATATTCTGGAGCTTGATTTTGTATATATACACTTCTAGATGACGAATTTCTGATTACATTTGTAGGACCTTGTATTTTTGCATGTGACGGATTGAATAATTTCAATGTTTTCAGTATCAGCATGTCAGTTCGCTTACATATTTATAAGTAGCTGTGAATGTATATTACTACGATTATGTGTGATGTGTTTTAAGTCTTTACTCACTTGACGGTGTATTTCTATAAGTTGAAACTTTTAAAATATCATTATTTATCAGATAATTATTTGTTTCCTTAGCTACTCATATTAATTTGAGGGAATTTAATTGATTTCAAATGTTCGTCGTTATAACTTGACATCAACTGGATAATCAAGGAGCACCGAATGACTTTTTGTTCTAGTTTAGGTGCTGAAGAATGCCAAACTAAGATAACAACTTCCCAATGCACTTTCATTACCACTTGTTCGTTGACTGATGTCAATTTGTGGGAAAGTTCATCTTGTATATCAATGAACTTTGATTTCTAGTTATGTTCATATATGATGAACATCTTTGATACGGTCTTGAGGTCAGTCAGTAAATTGATTTGCTGTCCATATTTACCGACGAAAATGTAACTTGGTAACTGGAAACCTATTCATCTGCCTGCTTCTTAAACAGCACTTTAAATCTAATTACATCTGATCAAAACAAAGACTTAGACAAGAGAACCTTGTAATGTAGGTTTTCATGAGTGAATCCCTCTACACCGAATTCTGTCTGAATACTGAATAATATAATTAGCTTTAATTGATCAAGTGTAATTCACAGCGTATTACACAAGCCTGTACTGATTAGTTAAACTGTATTCATTCAGGATTCAACTTCTGATCAATCAACCAAGTGAAAATAAACAAAACCTGTAACACTAGTGTTTATGATCTCTTTTCCCATAGTGTGTGCCACCAGTCTTTTTATTTCAAACAACCTGATGTTTGATTATCACACACGGTACAATGTATAACTTAGTACAAAAAACACACTAAATTGATCTGTCCAGCTGGTAAAACTCTGTAAATTAGCTTTCTGAAAATCTGTGTTCATTAAATTTGAATATAAATATTTTGCATAACCATTACGAATGCTTTAGCAATACCACATTTAACCCGGTTTTTGACATTCTTTTTACCACTGAAGAATGCAACCTATAAAATTATCGATTTCAGTCAGATATGCGTTCCAATATAAGGGTGTATAGAAATAAGGTTTGAATAAAAGATTATGAACTTTGGTTGACTTCGGTTACTAAATATCTGATAGAGGTGGTTGTGCCACTGAATTCTAATCCCTCTTTAGGAAGCAATTATGAAGCGCTAATTATCGTAAAGCAGTTCATCTTTCGTCTAATTAGTAACTCTAAAATTAGACGTTAGTATCAAAGTGAGTTGCAGATAATGCAATCTAAGAGCTTGTAGAAATTAATTTGAATATGTATATATAATATATTCATTAACACCATTCTTAGAATGCTGTAAACTACTTTTTGTAAGTTCAACTGAAAGCAAGACCATAATTATTTATTTATTTAAGAAGTATGGCCTCCTAAAAATACTGTGGAATTATATATATATATATATATATAATTTGAATTTCTTAACCATAAGCTATACTCCACATTAGAATTTTAGTTGACATACGCCCTGATATCAAACTGGACAGCATATATATCATTTTTAACAATGTATTTCAACCACTAACCTCACATAAGGTCAACTGTATTATCAGATAGCGAATGAATCGATAAGGGTTGTAAAAACCTGATTCACTGGTGAAAAGTATGACATCTGATATTAAGGGTTTAGCGATTGGAAATGATTATAAGTTTGCAGAACCTCTACATTGTTAATTAATATTCAAAAAGGCGTATGAACCGAACTCCGGTCACCGGCTGCCAATGGATAGTGGACTCCCTACTCCACACCTACTGCCTTGCAGGTCACACTTGGTTGTGTAAAGGCTAGAGCTGCACTCTCAAACAAAAGGCCGAGCGATTCTGGGGACATCACTCGTACCAAATTCCCATGAAACTTCATGAACTCTCTTAATTGGATAACCCTGTCGCAAAACGTTGTGTCAGATCGCCGCTCCTGGGCAGCGATGATTCGAGATGTTCATGAAGCTGGCTCATCCTCCCGTAGGAGATAGCCGAAGTAAAGTAAAAGTAAATATTTTTCCTATCATCCTCTAGGAAGATGAGATCACTTTATGAAACCAGAATTTTCTTAAGTAATGGGATAAATATACAGGAGAAATTAGTATGAATTTTGTTAATATTAAAAGAAAAGACGCTGTCATCAATAATTGTCCAAAGGTGGCTAAGTCTAAGCTATCTTAAAGATGAACGAATGTTTAGTCTCTTCACAGACTGAGTTGCCAAAGTGTGAATAGATTGATTAGGCCCATATAACACATATAAGATTAGGCAAATCCATGTAGACACCGACAACTTTCACATTTAAAATGAGATAAGAAAGTTCCAGGTAATAGTTATGATTCATTCTGATTCTACCATTGGTAGAAAATGCTTCATTATTGATTCACTAATCTTTCATATATTTTATGACTGACAGACTAGAACAAATATTTACATGGTTACCTAATTAAATGTGTAATCAGTTAGTGGAAGCTACACCTTTGTAGAAAAAATGGTGTGAATAAAAAGTCAAATGCTTGCTCCCTAGAAATAGGTGATTCTGAGGTTAGAGACGTTAAGATAGATGGGTTACCTACCACAGTATTCAAGTCACTGGCTATAGAGATAATTTGCTTAGTTTCAGAAGTTTGAAGGAGTGTAGATTCAGAGACTACGGCAGCATTTCACTGACAAATACCAATATTTGAAGTTGGTAGTCCCATTGGTTTTTCTTCAGTAACGTAAAGTCAAATAACATAAGCTGTGAAGACGCAATTACTACTCTTATAAATTTCTCTCATCTCATCAGCCCTTAATTTACATTAATGTAAGTGTAGAACTTGAGCATTTGGTAGAATGTAATTCCATATTAGATAAGTTTATTTTAAATATCACACAGTGATGCAGTATTAACAACTGGATGACGAGCATTAATTATTGCTCATAACCATATCAATTTTAGTCACAAGGTTTCACAATTTATCGTATGTATATTTTCTCTCTTTCTATCTCTCCAATTTCTCTTTGTTGCTTGTTGACACTTTCCATATCTCCGATATGGGCGTTGCGTCATTCCGATCACACGTGTGCGGCATTGAATCGATAAACAAAGCTTCAGTGAATTACGTAACTTACAATCGCATTGAATATGCTTTTACACAGTTCACAGGTCTATCTCTTTATCTAGACACCCTGATAATATAAACGTCCTCCATTCCTTCTGGAGTTATGATTCTACTTGTGACAGGCATGCTTTACGATTCTACTAAGATTCGTAAAGACGATTAAGCAGAAGAAAGCTCTACAGGATAAATATACGTTGATATAGAAGGTGAATGAATTCCAATCGACAGGACAGGCTTATTGACCCAATATGAGTCGAGCTTATAAACTGCTTACTTACAAACTAATCAGAGTTGTAAAATTTAAATTAATCTTATCTTTATAATACACTGCAAAACACTATCAAAAATTCAACTTTTATTTTCATAACTTTGATTTCTATCAATGATATGTATTCCGTTATTTCTCAACAAATAATTTAGTTTTATTTCAGTAAGTAACTTTAAACTATTACTCAGTTATTTTAAAACCAAATTTAACTAATTTGATTTCCTGAAACCAGGGATTTACGGATACATTGGAGGAGAATAGAACAGAAAGTACTAAATTATATTCATCAAATGAACTGGACAGTATATCAGAATATAATACAAGATTACCTATAACCAGCTCTTCTGAAAGTGATATTATTCCTGATTTTGAAGTAAGCATTTTTACAAAAATTTGTACTAATTAATTACTTACATTTGATTTGATAAGCTCAAAGATTGTAGACATTTATTATCATTATTCTACGTCCATAAGTTTCAGGTATCTTTGACATTTCCAAGATTTTATAGGAATCCGCTTAAAATAGCATTCTCAATGGTCAAATGTCTAAGAAATAATCCACTGTCAATACGCTTGAATAAATAAACCGACTGGTTATTAAGGTTTAACTAGAATATACTATCCTGAGTTTTAATTATACCTGAATTGTGTCAACTAAACAGTATCTACTTTAAAGTTTGTCTGATCAGAGGCATCTTACGACGTATGTCCAAAATACTTACTGTACTTGACGTGAGTAATAATCATAATGACATACCTTCTTTATGTAATTATTTCTTTGTTCTGTTATATTAGCGAACTGAATACCCATTATTATTATTATTATTATTATTATTATTATTAATTACTACTGTTATTAAAATCAATCATTGGTAATTTTACTAAAAACCAAAAGTTATTGATTAAGAAGTTATAGATGGTTGAGAATAGCTAGAAGTTTATTGTCATAACTGTCGTGAACGCTCCACAAAGGGTCAAATATGGAACTTACCTGTTTAGTGATACAAAGATAGTTTAACACTAACCTATAGCCACGAAACCCAATTTTGTTTTCTACTTTGATTTACCACAAGTATATACTTGTGTGTTGGTGGCACAGCGGTTAAGACTCTCGCTGACCATGCACATGATCTGGGGTTCGATCCCCTGCCGACGCACACCTAATATCAATAGTTGGCCTGGAAAATTTGGGCTACCGATATCACATGCTGAAAATTCCATGCATGTACCGAAAATACGGTGTGGAATCAAGTTATAGTCAAAAATTATATATATATATATATATTTACTCAGCATTTGAAATCATGTTCAGCATACCTCTTTCTAATAACAAAAGTGTATCAGTTCAAGTTGAAATTCAACTAAAATGCTAAATAAAATATTAACTAAGAGAATAATAAAGCGCCATCCTGAACTTGAATTTATGTGCCTAAGAGCCACGATCTAATATGGTATTACGAAGCTACTTGTTTAAGAATCGACCTTCAAAAAGTCTAACTATATCCAGAAAGTAGCCAACAAATAGTAATAATGTAATTATATTACTTCGTTTAAGTCTGAATACGTCGTAATCCACAATGTTTTCTTCAGGCATCTAATTATCAAAGGTATGCTGCCTTAACAGTTGTGATGCGTTCATTATTTGCTGATACTCTGAGTGGCCTTAAAAATCAAATAAAATGAGTTCGTTTCATGGCGTGATATCATAACTTGAAATACGTCAACTATATTGGTGAATTATAACTCATTAGGCGAGATCTCGATTGCCACACAACTCAGTGACTGAAGACATTAATAAGTATAAGAAAAAAAGGCTAATAGTCACTGTGATGCCGTAATATCCTTGTGTTTTCTCATCTTGATACAGTGGTAGTGAAAGATTTCTGAATGAATTACTTCTTTTTCGAGCACTCAATTATCCTTTTTCCAATGTCTCTCTTTATTATAGTGTCCGAATATTTTAGTTGGTGCCTGCTTTGGTGTATTATATTATTATTATTGTTCCCTTGGGTTCCTAGTGGAACATAGGGCTTCAACTGCACGTCTCCACTTGCTTCTGTCTTGTGCTGTACTTTTCACCTGCATACATGTTAGTCCATACTGTTTCAACTCTTCTTCACACGATCTCCTCCATGTCACCCTTGGATGTCCCACTCGCCGCTTCCCTTTCGGGTTCCACTCGAGCATTGGCCTGACGTGCGATGTCACCCAGCGGCCTCCTCAGCGAGTGTCCAATCCATCTCCACTTTCTCCTGCATACTTGTTGGGTGATTGGTTCTTGTTTTGTTTGTTCCTATAGTTTCTTGTTGGTGATTCTTTCCGGCCATCTGATCTTCAGTATAGAACGAAGACAGTTGTTGATAAAGGTTTGAAACCTGTTGAAACTATTCTTGGTGACCCGCCAAGTTTCTGATCCGTATAGAAGAACTGACTGACTTGACGTTTGTATTGAAAATCCGAATTTTGTTGTTGATGCAAGCTGAGTGACGAAGATTTCCAGATTGGTTTCAGGTTGATGAATGTGTTTCTCGCCTTCCCGATTCTCGATGTGTATATACGCCACTAAATAAGTGAGTAAACTAATCCTAGTAAAGGATGAAATAAATACTCAACAAGCTCATCGATTTTCCAAGTCCGGGAAGTGTAGCCAACTTCAAACATACTAAACAAGAAAGAAAAGTATTTGGGAAAAAACTGGGTATAGTCACAAGTAAACATTACGTTGACTTGATTTCGGCTTTACGCAATATAACTGAACGGAAATTAAACAACTCTGAATTTATTTACAACTACTTTGTTTACCTTAGAATGTAGATTTTTGTCTTAATACCCCACATACTTGGGTGCATAATTCAATCATATTTTGAAATTAATCGAACAACGCTAATCTTGAAAAGTAGATTTTCTTGGAACTGATTTAATCTGAAATAAATATATTTGGATTTTTACAGGGGTCGAAACCGGAAATCCTATTCTACAGTCAGTGATGGTTTCTAATATAACATTCAGTGAAGTCTGTGATAGCACTTCTAGAAATAGTAGTAGCTTAACGCACCATTTGCACATGCATTCCGTGTTGTGCTACTTCTGCCCTTCATATTGTATTTCTTTGTGTTCATTTCACGTCTCCAATCTATCTCCACAACGACGTATCATTTGCTTTCTCTGACATCAAATCTATCTCTCTGCTATTTGGTGTTTTTTTGCCGATGAACGTCTCCTTATATACTACCGATAAGATTTATTAGTAGTAGTAAATGAAATACTGGATATTAGGGGTTGCTTATTTGATTCGTGTCCACAATCTAAACCTCTCCATAGGTGAACGCTATCAATTTTATTTTGAACAGAATAAATAAATCAGGGGCTTCAAGTAATACACTGTCAATCACTTTAATGTTTATCCAGCAGTGTACATTGAATAAGCAACTTACAGCTATTTTAATGTGAATTATTACTCAAGTTGTATGCATAGTCAAGATATGTAGCTTGAACAGTTTACTTCATACGACACTGAGGAAGAATCTCAAAGCCGGATATAACAAATCTTCGGCTGTTTTATTTTTCTCTGTATTTTATAATTCATCATTTGGCGTTAGCTCGTGGGTGGTTTACCTGAATCTGCAAATTATGTCTTCATAAAGTACTTTCAAATCATACGACGGCATACCAGAGACACACGATGATTTACAACATTATAACTATTAGACAGTTAGACGCAATCGGCAGGAAGCCTTGGACCTAGGTTTCATGCTAGTTGGCACTCGTCAGCAAGACGTATCTGCAACCTTGAAGGAACTCATGTCCCTTCTGAGATTCTGACTGATAGAATTCAATCTGCACCAAAGAAAGGACTAGACACGTCACACGAGTTACTAGTGTCCAATGAAAACATTAGAACTAGTTATAATTTCCATTGGTTTTGTTTTTGTTGTTGTCTAGAATTAATCTCAATACCATGATATTTAAAGACTTTGAGTTTAGTTTCTAGAGACGAAAGAGTCATTTTCTTGTTAGCCCACGTTAGTTGCCTTCTTATTTTTCCAATATGAATGATGCATTAGTTGTTCGAGTTTCGTTATTATTTAGTTTAAATTATATTACACTAGTTGTCCTCCTGGATTCAGTCGATAAAGTTATATTTCTGCTTCATTAGTTAAGTCTAGACAGACTGAGTGAAACTCGAAATGTGATCTTACTGGTTTAAAGTTGAATGCTTATATCAATTAGTAATAACTTCGGAATAAAAATAGAATGAATACATACATCAAAATGTTTTGAAATACGGAGAAGTTGATTGTTGTGCATATGCTTGATAGAAGTATGTGAAAAAGTTGAGATATCACAGATACAGGCCAAGTGATTTTTGATTTACTCTTCAAACAGTGATTAGCTGACTAAAATATACTTTTCAGGTTACAATGATTTACTGTGTAAGTTTTAGTTGCGATAGTTTTGGCAATGAATAAATTATTATTACTTTTTTGTTGTTGAAAGTATACTTTCATATCACACACATTTTTAACAAAATGAGCTACATTATGAATTGTGTAAGTTGTGGCTTCTTGATTCAGACAGGTGACTTTCAAACACTTCGTTATGAGTTCGAGCTCTACTCTGCCTACCAAGTTATTGGTAAACATAATGGTAATAACGTTAGATATTGTTAGTTGGATTATCTGAGATAACCTTGATCCAATAGATTGATCTGAGTGTATGTGAAGGATGAGTGAAATTGGAAGGAGTCTGAGCCACCACCACAGGACTTAAATCAATAACCTCATGTTTGACAGCTGATTGTTTTTGACGCTTGCAGATTATTCGTAGTGGGATTATTACTAAGGCTGATATTGTTTCCACAAGTTTACTAGTCTATTGGAGTGTATTAGCATTCTGAATGATGTAAATTTCAGGGTTTGGTCAGTCTACAACTAAAATTCATGGAAGTCTTTCTACACGGTGAATAGTATTTTGGATATCCCTGAATATCTTTCCAAATAGAAGGATGTGAGAAGGAAAAGAAAAAAAGGAGGCTACATTTGTGACTTCAGCCTACTGAAAGTATCTTTATTTTCACAGTGACAATAACGGATCACTTAAATGCTACCGAAAACACATTTACTTTTCTTTTATGTTACTTTCTCCAGAAAATATATCACTGATCATTGTTCAGTGATCAACTAGAACGGCCGAGTTAGTCTTATGGAGGAGTAACCGATTCTAGAATAACTAAGTGGTAGATTTTTAATCGTAATACTAAGCTAAATAGAATGTAATTTTAAAAGACAAGTCGGTTCCTCTGTGCCTGAAGATATGATAAGCACGAAATCCCCATGAAGGCATAGTTTTAATTGTCTCACCCTATCTTGGATGCATTACAGAGTCATTTTGAGTAACTTAGTTTGGTTACTCCACTATGAATCTGATCAAGTGAATTTGATCAACACTTAAAGCTAAACATCATGGTATATGAACAAGACATATAAGCGAACAATATTGTTTTCAATTAGATCTTCTTCAGGCTTTACTCTAATTTACATAGATTTATATATAAAAATTTTAACCAATGACGGTGATTTTGTGGATCAAATAATAATAATAATGTGGTAAATGTTTTGAACGAAGTTAATAACGATGATTATAATGATAACAAAATATTGATAATAAGGTTTGTGCAGGTGATGAGAATAACAAAGGTAGTATATGTATAAATGTGTATATGTAGACAATTCAATAAATAAATAAATTAGGTCAAATCTTAAAAGGTGAAGTGGAACGATAATCAGAGTTTAAATAAATATCATAAAAGTACGAAGGAGATGGAAAATAAGAAAGGGTGGGAGGGTTTTGAATAGAATTCACCTAGACCAAGGGAGAGACAAAGGTAAAACAAACTTCTTTTGTATGCAAAGACTAGGATTGTTCTCTCGAATTCCCATAGCTTCGGCTAAGTGTGAAAGACGGGTTCTGATTCCATTCGAAAGGCTCGATGGAATGCGATAGATAACTTTGAAGTCACTATTTTTGTCCACTTGGTGACCACTATCAATCAAATGAGCCAAAATAGGACTTCGTATGGATTTTATTTGACCTTTTCCGAACCATGAAGGAAGATGTTCACTAATGCGTTTGTTAAGCTGTCTAGTTGTTCGCTCTATATAGCTTTCTCCACAGGAGCAACTAAATTTATAGATAGATATCGAAGTGGCACAGCTAGATAACTTATCTTTCACTTGAGCACTCATTGTATTTGTTATTTGCTTGTCATTGGCCCGAAAATCTTACATAATTTTTGTTATATATCAGTTAGCTGTTAAATAAATCGATGGTATTCTATCTGAATGGAAAGTTGAACAGAGGCCAGCCAACTCTTAAATTTCATGCTTGTTGACACTTTCCACTATAACATATCTGCAGTGTAATATTTCCTCGTAAATCCCAACTCACATAAATCACTACCGAAGTTAGATATTTGAATACCAATCTGTTTAATGTTAAGTATTAATCTACTGTCCAACGCAGTCATGACACTGCAATGAAATTTTTGAGGCATTTCAAAGGTAAACTGTATGTTTACAAAAAAATGTAAATTCATGTTTTTACGAGTTGATCACGGATTGATATCAGTTAGAGAACCAAGGAAAACCAGGGAGTACTGGACAACTGTTTCATCCTAGTTTGGGAATCATCGGCAGTACGCACCCACCACCAGAATGGGATGAAACTGCTGTCCAGTACTCCCTGGTTTTCCTTGGTTCTCTAACTGATATCAATCCGTGATCAACTCGTTAAAACAAAACTAATCCTTACAAACCAACTATAGTAAATTCATGTAAAATAGTGGAAACAGTTTAGTGAATAGAGGAAAGCCTTAATTCCGCATTAAGGTAAGTTTATTTGATATAGCACACAGTGATGCAGTATTTCAAATAAACTCATGTAATATGGAATACTCTACTCTACTATGGTGCCCAAATTCTACTCTTACATTAAAAGCCTTAATATTGTATACTGTTTGTGTACTTGTGTCCTCTGAGCAAGTAAATTATATGACTTGTTGTGGTCTTCAAAGAGGCATTTCATTTCCACAATAACATGTTGTCTTAAACTAGTTTATACTATCAGAAGGACAATCATCAGGTCAGTAATCATAAAACAGCAAAGGGAATTCTACTAAATATCATACAGTACTTAATGACTTCCTATAGGAATTTCAGCATCGTTTTAGCAGTAAACTTCTCTGTGTAGCTGAATGTGTACATTCTGCTTTATATAAACCTCGTTAAATGCACTGAAAAGTGCTTTGAACTTATCATTGGTGAATTGCACAGTTCGACGGGAGAAACTGCCTCATTTTCCTTTGGATACCAAAAATATTCAGACAGCAATATGCGATCTACTTGATACTATAAATAGCAATCAGGATATTTTTTTGACTGTTTCGTCTGTCTAAGCTGAATTGAATAGGCTACACCTCCTATGAGGTCGGCTTTAAAAGAGAGCAGCTGGCTAGCAAACACTACTGTTTAACATGAGTGGTCTCCTACTAGTCGTATCAATCAATCAATCAATCAGTGGCATAAGGTATCATGTTCGGAATATTCTCATTTTCAGGTCTGACTGCACTCTGTAAGATTTTAATAGTCGTGGACTGCTGTTACACAGAGAATAATATATAACAAAATTTAATTTTCAAGAATTAGTTTGTAGGGATTCTATTTGTTTCAGGTGAGACCACGGATTTATATCAGTTAGAGAACCAATTAGGACCGGAAGGTCCTGAATTCAGCCCCTGTAGTGGGTGCGTAATGCCAATGACTCCCAAACTAGGACGAAACAGCTTTGCAGTACTCCTTGGTTCTCAATGGTTCTTTAACTGATATCAATCCGCGATCTAACCTGAAAAAGAATTTAATCCATTATAGTATTTATGGATGCCTAGTTATATTATTATTAGCACTATTGGCTTTATTATACTTTGAACTGCATGTTAAAACAAATAGTCACTTTCTCCAGTGTGGTATTTTGGTTAAAAGACCCGGTGGACCCAATTAAACAAAATAATATAATTGACAAAATAGCTTGCAATGACTGTGAGGTCAACTACATAGGCCAGACTAGTAGGTCGGGGGTAGTCAGATTGTAGGAACATAAGAATTTATTTAAGGTAGGAATGGTTGACCCCTAGAAGATAAGTAGTTTAGAAAAAAGCTCATCGATTGCACCGCATGCATTAACACAAAACCACACAATAGGTTGGGATAGGGTTAAGATTCTAAGAAGTAATCTATGTAGGTGGAGAAGGAGATTGATTACTGAATCCTGGTTCATTGAATCTACACCCAACATATGCAACATAAATGATTCAATGCAAATACCAGAGATGTGGAAGATATTATTGCCAGTCAAATCAGAGGATGATAATAAATAATCTTAAAATTCTATTTCAATTCGCGTACATCATAACATTTTAACAAGTTACTCATTTTAACTATAAAAACATTGTATTTCCCATCTGATTGTATTTGATTGATAACACTCATATTATTATTTCTGAATGTAGTTTATCTTAAATTGATTTTATTCAAATGTCTAATCAATTCCACTCATGTATATAAATGAAGTAAAAAGTTGTGTGAGTGACTTGATATGATTATGAACAATAGTTTGTGCTCGAAACGTCATCAGTTAATATTACTGTACAACACTGTGTAATTTGTCAAAATAGAATCTTATCTATAGTGGAGTTATACTCTACCATAGTGCCCAAGTTTTATACTTATATCAATGAAAGTAAACTTGTAATCAGATATAGGACTTGTTGGTAACTGGACAATTTCAAAGTAGACTTAATCATAGAGTGGTGGTGTTTATAAAACTGTTGAAAACCGAGAAGCAATAGGTACAGATGGTTCATCTTAATTTATGAATAGTCAAGAAACTGCAGACACAATCCTATTTAGGACCCATCTCCTGATTGGTAAACTTCAATATTCACTAACCATCATTCAATGCTGGATCAGCATCCTCTGGCCTGTGAGATCCTACTTCGTTCATTTCATGACATCGCCTGAATGTCATTTGTCATCTGTCAGCAATAAGATTGGTTGAAAAACTAAAAAGAAGGAAGACAGCACAGTGGAAATGTTGATTTCCTAGAATTGTATTTTAGAACATGTGACGTAAATTGAAAAATTATTCGCTCAGCTGAATAAGCAGCAGAAATTCGACTGTTTATATTAAAGTAAAAAAAAATGGACACCTAGTGCGTATCTGAGTGTTGTAAGTCAGTTACTAGAACTTAAGTCTCATAGTCTACAAACTACTGGTTAGAATCAAGTTTACAATCCCCTTTAATCTTACATGATGAAGTGAAAGTAATTCAACTAGTTGTGTGTGATAATGCAGTTTTAAGTCATTGAAAAATCGTTAAGACACAGTAAATTCTTAGAAGCACTGACAGATAAATGAAGTTCACTATGTAAAGTTTTGTTAGGAATAACAATGTTAAGTATGGTACTGAAAACGCCTTAATTTGAATGAAATGTATTTTCGCACCATTGATTAAGCTTCTGAATAGGAAATATTCTGTACATTTTTTATAAAACTTATTTCATCTTTCTTTTTCCTCTCTAGGCATTAAACAATTGTCCAACATGTAGGCGCCTTTTAGAGTGTAAATCTCATGGTCATCATCATTCTGCGAAAAATATCAAGGACAACAATAACAACAAAGATGAAAAAGCTCATCATAAGCAAATCGATACTGACGGTGAAGATGATGATGATGATGATGATGATGATGTTGATAGTGATTATCGCCATCATCATCATCACGATGATAACAGCGATATTGAAGACGATTCCGAAGAAAACGAAGAGGACAATGATAACAATGATCAGGATTCTGGAATTGATTTAGGTGAGGAAATTTCCCAGTCAAACATTAAAACAACATTTAAGCATTTGCGTAAATTAGAAGAGTCTGTAGACGATAATGACGATGATGATGATGAAAAAGAGTATAATGAGTGTTTATCAGAGTGCACATTAAGGCATAGGAAAAAACAGTATTTAAGACATACCACTACTACTACTACTAATAGTAAGAACAATCGGGATGATCAGGAGAATGAGACAGAAGACGATGAACAATTGATACCATTTTCAGCAGCAGAAAGTAAAGCAATTCATAGTGCAGTCAAAAAATCACCTACTAGTAATGATATGAGTAGTGAATCAAAAAATAAACAGCAAATAAATGAGGACAAAACAGTTAAAAACACGAAAGAGAATACTGAGTCATTCATTTCTAATGAACATGAAGATGATAATGACAGTGACAACCAGGGTGATGATGAGGATGAGGATGTTGATGAGGGTGATAATAATGATGAAGTAGATATTGATAATTCAGAAAATGAGGGAGAAGATGATGATAATGATGACAATGACGATAACAGTGTACGTAAACCGAACTGCAAGAAATCTGTCACTAATGACAAACCATCATCTCCTATAAACAAGGACAACAACAATAATGATAATAACGAAGACGATGATGATGATGATGATGTTGACAATGATGACGATGAAGGCGACGATGATGACGAACACTATTCTGATAAAAATGAAAGTACTCCTAAACCAAAATTCGAAACTAATTCATCTAATCGTAAACAAACTAAAAGTACCAAAAATTCATATGAAGAACTTGACGAAGATGAACAAGACACTCAGAACAATAATGAAACTGAAGATATTGAAGAAGAAAGAGAAGAAGACCAACCAGAAGATACAGGTTTAGAAATTTCCCATGAAGAAGGTTATGAAGATGTCGATGATCCAGATTTCAGTGATTGGATACAGGCTGATGATGAATTGAATCCTAACTGGCCTGGTAAGCTTAGTCGGAATGTGGAATGGTAGTAAGAACAGCATAGGTGTATGCTGATGATTTTAAATATATTAGTTACCTTCCAAGCTCATCTATAGTAAATATGCACGTTGGTTATCTCGTTCAAGTCAGCTTTAAATGCTAATTCGCTAGCTCGTTCACACGCACGATCGCTCGCTCGCTCGCACGCACGCAAACAAACAAGTAAACGATCAATTTGCTGTGTATATTGAACATTCAACTTTTACACTATTAGTGTTTACAAACAAGAAGAGACATTTGAAACCAACACACTATAATGCTACTGATGAATGATGCATGCTGGTAAAATAGTTAGATGATATCATGTAGATTTTAAATATGTAGCTCTCTGTTTTACTTGATAATTACATATTTATTACAATGCTATATTTACTTAGTAATTAAAACCAAACTTTGCTTGTCTAAACTAACTTAATATGCATTTCTTTTTTCAAAAATTAGCTTATCAGTAATGGTAAATTTTATTGAAAGTGTATTTATTTAGTATCTTTTTTAGTAATGCCATCAATTCGCTCACTACATAGTTTTGATATTCACTTTTGTATGTGATGAAATCATTTACACTAATTTTGTACATTAGCTTTTATCCAGAATCCGGTTTCCAATGGCCTACCACATATTTTAAGTGCACGGATTTCATTTAAATAATCCCTCACAAGTCGAAAGTAAATAAAACCTTGGGAAAAGAAAACTATTTTGTCCTCTTTTTGCCTTAAAGAGGTTATTTAACGTTGAAGAGTATTACATCACACTGACAAATATACTGTCCTCCTGACCGCTTAAAGTTATTCACCTGTGTCATTGAACAATATCAGTGGCTTGTAATGTTTTACGTCAAGCTACAGATTTCTGTAACCAAGTGGAAAGAGTGGACAGGCATTTCAGCGGTCCTGTATCGAGTGGAATAGCTGCACATTCAGCTTAAATATTGGAATAGCTTACAACAAGTCAACCAGGCTGGTTACTTTGAATGTACCATGAAATTTTCAAATTATTTAAACTTTGAGTGTTCTAAAGTGATTATTTCTTCCACCTGTGTAATATGAATACGACTTTTTGATGAAACGCACTTTAGATTAGACTACAGACTAAAATCCTGGAGATATAATCCTCGTGAACTAAAGTAATAGGCTGTTGACTTTCTTTAAATCGAGTAAATACTTTACTGAAATTATACAAACTATGAATAGGAATGCAGGGTTTACATAATGAGTGATGTTCCTCTATTTTATATTTGTAAATACTTGTGCATTCAGTTCAGCTTCAATTTTTATACTTGTCATTATGAACCAAAGCGGTGTCGGTGGTTCAGTGGTGGAGCACTCTCCAGCCACGCACGTGGTTCGAGGTTAGATCCTCTGCCGATGCACTCCTAAACCTCGCTAAACCAGTAGTAAATCCGGTAAAGAGAGAAGGTTGGGAGTGAGGCTAGCAACCACAACCCGTAAAAATACCCACTGCTACTGAAACTTCAAAGCTCTAGCTTGAAGCCCTATGTTCCAGTGGGAACGTAAAGGAATAAAATAAAATAATAACTAAAAATTAACATAGAAATTTGTTCCCTGATCAGTAATGAGAGGAGAAGCACACTAAGCTATTTATGACTGGGTACTGACCGGAGCGTTATTCAGATGGAGTAAAATGAAAAATACCCATTGACAGCATCTCAAAACTGATTTGCATCTGCATGCAATCATGTTATTTTCTGAAGTTTGTGAGAACAGTACTCACGTAGCATAGGAGAGACGTCTAAACTAATTTTATCCAAACATATAAAGTATTAACTACTAAAAAGGGACACTCTTAGTAGATAGAATCCCATTTCAAAATTCTAGTGTTGCACTGTTAACGTTGACGAAGTTTAAAGTGTAACCCAGTAACCACTGACATCATTCTTAGAAGGAATTGCTTCATCCAGGCTGCAGAATGTCACTTCTCTACAAAGTGAACCCTGAAATGCAGGTGTAGTGCTGACCAAATCCAGACTTGTTTTCACCCTTATGCAAATGCATAACGCTTAACTGTATTTTCAACTTTTTTTTTAGAATAGTCAAAAGATAGCTTGAAAGAAACCATATAGTAGTCTTTCAAATAGATATGTTAATTTTGGAAAACATAATTTTTCTTAGGTCATTTTAGAGATTTGCAATTCAATCTGTCATATAAGGCCTTTCTTTCTATGAACTAAGAATAAAACACTAGTCATTAAGTTATTCGGTTTAAAAAGGACATAAATCCTACACTCAGCAGTGATTAATCACTCATTTGTAAGGTCCCAGATATTGCAAACTATCGCCAATGTGCCATGATAAAACATTTTTTAGTGATATCTGTAAATTGTATTATATTCTAGTTATCACTTAGCCCATTTAAGTGTTGACTGTTTTAAATTACAGTATACTGTGCCATCCAATAAACTGATAAAATTATTCCATCAATGTGTAAAATAACACAGCAAAACAAAATGGTTAGTATGTCAAAGTGAAGTGTTTGAATTAGGTCACAAAGTCAATGGGATCTGCGGATAACATTGAATCATGTATAGCAAAAGGCTAAACATGGTAAATATAAACATTCAATGGTTTGTTGTATCTTATTACATATGACTTTTAAAGAAAGAAAACATACATTATATTGAACTAGTTAACTTGTATTTTTGCCTTACATACTGTAATATATCGTCATTTTTGTTAGGTCTTATCAAATAACTTGATTTTACTACAAACTAATAGTAGTCACGTGATTTCTTTCTTAATATACTTGAGGTACTGCTAGTACTTGTGTACTTTTCAACAACATATGATATCGAAAAAAGCCATTGAAAGAAATTTAGTTTCGTTAAATATTAAATATTTACTTTTTTTGAAAAAGAAAGAGTCCGAAGATACCTGTGGGGATAATCATTTTCTGTCCAGAAGATTATTATTATTTTTGTTTCCTTTAATTCCTAGAGGAAGATAGGGCTTCAGCCGTGCGTCTCCATTGCGTTCGGTTCTCTGCTAGAGTCTTCACCTGGCTCCAAGTCTGCCCACACGCTTTCATCTCCTCTTCACATGACCCCCTCCAAGTCACCCTTGCACTGACGACCAACTCGCCGCTTCCCGTTCGGGTTCCACTCGAGCAATGGCTTGTCTAGTGATGTCACTTGATGATTGTTTCCTCAGAGTATGGCCAATCCATCTCCATTTCTTCCTCCCTATTTGTTTCACAATCGGTTCCTGGTCGGTTCGCTCATTGCCAGAGATCTCTATTGCTGATCTTTCCTGGCCGGCCATCTGATCTTGAGTATTAAGCGAAGACAACTGGCTGTTAATGAAGGTCTGTAGTTTGTTTGAGATGCTCTTTATGATGAGCAGTGCAAGTCTCTGATCCGTATAGTAGCACTGACTTCACATTGGAGTTGAAAATCCGGATCTTATTTTTGATGCTGAGTGCTGTTGACCTCCACACAGACTTGAGAGTAGTGAAAGCTTGTCTTGCTTTTCCGATTCTTGCTTTGATATCCTCATCAGTACTGTCCGCCTGTAGTTGAAACGATGCTTCCCAGATAGGTAAAAGAGGTTGTTTCTTTCAGGTTCCTCCCATTTATGCTGATTGTTGTCTGTTGTTGTTGCTGTTGGTGGTGTTGGCCAGGAATCTTCATCACCTCTGTTTTCTCAATGTTCACCTGAAGTCCTATCTTCTCTGGATGCTTCTTCTGCTAACTTGTTGCTTTTCGCTTGCATATCTTCCAGTTTGTGGGAAATCAGACATATATCATCGGCGAAGTCCGGATCCTCCAAGTATTTTGTGTGAGTCCATTTTCTGCCTGTTTCCTCATTGCCCACTGTTTGTCGCATTATTCAGTCTACCGCAATCAGGAAAATCATTGGCGATAGTAGGCAGCCTTGTCTTACTCCTGTCCTCACTTCTGTCCAGAAGAGATTGACATTAATTCAAGTTGACAAGATGATGGAGAACTGTTTCCACATCTGAAACGCTGATATTTAAATCTTTTTATCATGGAGAGTATGAAACTCGGTTTCCAAATAAATTTTAATTCCAGCGTATATGTTAAATTGGACGCTTTTACTAACTAAAAGATAATTTAATGTGTCATCATTCAATTGACTAATTAGTGTTGAACTGTTTTCTACCGTGAAATAATCTCAGAACAGTTTGAGTATTTGTTTCTTCCAGATAGTAAACATCTTACCTACGTTTTTCACATAATCCAAAAGAAAGATCTAAAATTATGTGCTCAGTGATTGACTGTAATCACCAACATATATAATTTAATGGGTGCTAGGAGTAACCCCAACTTGCATTATCACTTCAGACCTTAACAATTAAGACTAAATAAGTGGAATAGAGGGGGTAACAATCATTGGGCAGTCTATGGTAATATTCTCCATACACTTCAATCTTTCTGTTGAAGGGTTAGTAAATACTGCAGTGCAGAAGAGGAAACTCTAGGCCCTATCAAAACTAAAATAAAAATTATTTTTTGCATTTGTTAGAGGTCATCAGGAAGGCGAACCAACAAATTAGAAGATTAGAGAGAGAGAGAGTATCTATTAATTATATTTCCCCTCTAACCATCAAAGATTTGATACCTATTCAGCCATCTTGTTTATGGTTGAGATTTCTAAACAATTCCCAACAATTATAATAACTAAGTCTATCAGTTTTCACTAACGGTCTTTAAATATAATATCATCATATTACTTGATTATATGACTATTCTGAACTCCTGGATGAAAAGACAGTTTAATTTCTAGTACCTATTTTCCTTAACATGAATGAACGTGAATGGTGACTACCATTGGAATCCAGGATGCGCATTTCGTTTACCAAGCACTTCGGCCAGTCAATCGACGGGAGAATCTAAAATTGAATTAAATAATTAGTATGACCCGTTTCACAAGAGGCGACTGACGTGGCCCAAGTGGCCTGGCTTTAGAGTTTGAAAATATGGGCACTTGGTTCGAGCCTCGGTGGAAACATCATCACTCCCTGAGGAATGCAGGTACATCCAGCTGGTGACGAGTCCCAAATAGGACGAAATGCGCATCCTGGATTCCACTGTTAGTCACTATCCACTAACTGACTATGTATAGTATGTAAAATACGATTTCGAAAAGTATAATAAATTTGAGGAACATACTGAATTACTTACTTTTAATTTATTAAAAATAAAATAATCTTATCGTAATTTAATAAAAACACATTTACAAATAACTTAGTAATTGATAAATTCTAATGTTAGCCTCAGAAAACATTTGAATCTTCTTTATTCGAATTTGTTTTTGTTTTTTTCTGAATATATTTAGTAGTTCAGATTAAATTTTATTCTGCTGAATATCTGAAGCGATTTTAAACGGCAAAAAACGGCATACGACAACCGTATTCTATTAATATTGATCGTGTAATGTATTAAAAGTTAAATGTATTAACAGCGTACCCACTTTTCTATTTGATTATATAGGTACAAGAAAATTAATGGCAGTAAAGACACCATCTACTCCTCAGCCAAAAACCAAAATAAACTCAGAATCTACATCTGGAAATGCAAAGAATAAGAAACCTTCAGCAGTACCAACAGCTCAAAGTAAAGTTAATTCAAAAGCAGCAAATACAAAAACAGCTGAAAATGTAAAGTTTAAACAAAATAAAGAAAAATCCCCTCCTACGCATCATCAACACCAACAAGACAAATCGAAATCTCCACCATCAAAGCATGCTGAGGATCATTCGAAAAAGGCTATGCCTAAATCTGTCCCTCAACCAGAGAAAGCAAAGAAACCCAATATGCCCAAATCAAAACATGTTCGAATTGTTGGAAATATAAACGATCATGACTGTGATGGTATACCAGATGATATTGACGAAGATATTGACAATGATGGTCTTCTGGATCGTACTCAAGACTCAGACTGGGATGGATTGTTGAATCATATTGACGAGGATGATGATAATGATGGTATGAAATGTTAACTGCCTTTTATCTCCATAAATTTTCAGTAATTTTCACCTTTTTATAGCCTGCCTTAACAAAAGTCGCTATAACAGACAAGAGCTTCTTTCTATTAATTATTAAAACCAAAGTTTGGTTACACTGACCCTCTTTTGACGGATAAATAAGTAGATAGAGTGATTACTGTTCTCCTTACATAAAATTTGTACCCATTCTTGTTAAGCCTACATAAAAATGATATTTGCGTTGATACTCAGAGGGTTCACAGTAAAAGCAAAGTTTACAAAACGACGATATCAGCCAGATGAAGCGGAAAATACTTATTTTAATAGTCTCACTATTTATATGGTAGTGTTATGAATTCTTGATAGTTGAATAAGGAAACGATTTTGCAGTGACAATATGTAGGTTGTAATTGTCTGCAAAGAAATTGAATAGATTTCACTAACATTATTCTTAACCTATCACTTTATTATGTATGCGTATCGATGAAGACAAGGGTGTACGTCAAAAGTACTGTTCAAACCAACTTAATGACATAATATATGACACTGTATTATCCTAATCGTTGTTACTGATAACCAAGTTAGATACGTATTAATGAACATACACGTGAAATATTGTCCACAATCAATGCTAAGTTCTCAAATAACCAAGATAAATGGACACAGATTGTCATATAAACAGGTTTGGTAATCTTTTGATCTTGTTAATGTGATATAATGAAAAGAAAGTAGAAAATGAATCCTTATCAGATAATACCAATCAGTGTTCATTCTTTAAATGCTTGCCAGAAATTTTAGCACTATTCTTCCAATTAATGAGCGCTCTAAGATATTTTCAGTGTAACTTCGTTTATCAATTACTCTTATTACCGTGAAGAATTGTAGCTGATCTAAATTTTGTAATATCTTCTGATTTTAATTATATTTTTCTAAGTAATTCTTTCACCAAGTCAAGGACAGTTACTCCCCTGTGACATTAGATAGGAGTGATGTTATATCACAGTAAGAGAGAAATCAGAAGTCAGGGCGGCCACCCAGATGCGGCTTGCTTGAAACTTGGGTTACCAAAACCTTCCATCTCTCTATCGCATATATTTTCTCTTCTTTGCTTTGTTTTAATCGATTAAAATATGACCTCTAATAGTATTATCTACTCTTGTGTGTATTTAAAATGTTTACAAGCTTCTGATTCTCAAGTTCCTACTAAACTTGAGAGAAGGCCTGATTGTGAGTGGCAGCGTGTTCCAATACATGCGGTAACTGTTCTTGAGTTATGTCCTCGGGTCTCAAAATGTACTTCTGAACTTCTAATAATTGGCTTTCAACTAGATATTGTGAATTTCTTGAAAGAGACAAGGCAGAAATATTATAATGGAATGGTTTGTACTTCAGCTCAGAGACGATTGTGTCACAGGATATATTGTCAATTAATATTTTACTTGAAGATAATGCACGAAGGGGAAATATCATGCAATAAACTCCCCTGAAAATTCTTTACATCATATAAATACTGTCCAAAATAAAGCTATTATTATTAATGAACTTCAACCCAGTTGTCACTTGAAGAACATAGAATAGACTTTAAATGAGATCATGGATGCGCATTATTTAAGAATCTCAAGGTGAGATGAAATAACTACTTGATATCTGATGATTTTCTATGGTTTTCCGGTCAATATCGGATGATGACGATATCTTGTCTGAAACACGTTTATGTCTGTTACAGTTCATTCGAATACATCTTCGTTTTGTGCCATATTTTAAAAAATTGTAAAAATACACTTTTTGAAACGTTTTATTCCGCTAACTAGAAGTTTGATGAATCTGAAAACTCTATCAGTGTTTTGTTTTCGCTTTTATCTAACAGTTCATCTGCTTAAATGCTGATCACTCTAACGCTTAGATAACTTTTTGACGTTTTCTTTTAACGCATTTGTTTATCCATACTAAAATCTGGTATACATCTGAATATTTATTTTTAAAAATACGCGGGAAATCGAGTGAACCGAATGTTGTTTTGAAGATAACTCCTAGTCTTTAGTAAAATACCTCACAAACCATGTAAAATAATACACTAGTTACATCTACATCTCCAGTCATCAACCTGAATATGACTGTTAAGTAAGCCTTTATAAAAAATATGTTTTCCTCTCTCTAATTCATAGGTATCCCTGATATTGAAGATGAAGATTCGAACGGTGACGGTATACCAGATTGTCGTTCTGATGTTTCAGATTTAAAATTAAAAATACGATATAAGAAGAAAATGAAAAAAATCGATAGTGACTTTGATGGTATCCCTGATGATGACGATGGAGACGATGATGATGATGGTATTCCAGATATTTTGGAAGATGAAGATAAAGATCAAATTCCTGATTACCTAGGACTTACCCGCAATGATTGTAAGTCATTTTGTGAAATTTTTTTCTAAAAGTAGTTCTTGTACTGGAAACATCTTTCAGACTAACATTGTGTTAGTAGTCATTGCAGTATAACTCTGACTGTCTGGCTGCTGCTGCTGCTGCTGGATTCAACATAGAACTTGGCACCGAGGTGCAGCAGTTCGAGTTGCCACGTTCCAAAGAGCACACAAAGGTAGACAGGAAAATGAGAGAAGAGAATCAATAGAATTTAGATAAGTATAAGAGTGAAACAGAATGAGTAATGGTAGAAAGGAATATGAAAGGTTAAAGAGACTGAATACATCTGCGCCATTGACAACGATTTTGAGCCATGTCACCTATTATCTCCAGCCATTGATTCTTAGAGTCCCGAGGGCCTCAACCCGGAAGTCTGCATCTCCCTAGCTGACTCAGTTTAACTGTCAGGGATTTCATGGATTGATGCCATGTTTTTGTTTGTCTGGCTGGTTAAAAATCAATATTTCTTCTTTGAAATTCAATGTAATCTTTGTTAATTGCAACTGTAGAAATGATAGAGAAGATTTGTTGCTCAAATTGATGACTTTGGTTTAGTCACGTTCTCTAGGTCGGATGGCTTTCATTGTCTTTCAAGGCAACATCTTCAGCTTCAAAATGAAGTAAGTGTTGAAGAATTTACCTAGAGAGACAATGCAAGTTTCGTGATTAAACTATGAAGCTGAGGAAACTCAACTACGCCAACAGTGATCTTTTTGTCCGTCTTCCTAGCTGAACGCAAAACTGCCTTTGGACGCAGTTGCTAAATGTTGAAGTCAGTAATGCATTTCTAATACTCTTAATAAAAATGTCTGATTTTAAAGGTAAACCAGATAGAAATCACCTTCATAGAATCAAGCGTCATTACGAAGGCGTTTCATATGTCATACAATATATATATATATATATATGAATTTGAAGGTGACAGAATGAGTTGGAAAAAAGAGTGAAAATAACAGAACAAAAAGCATTAGGAAGAGAAGGTACAAATAAGCAAACCAATCCCATTTTACAATTAAGTTGAAAGTTAAGTGTGAATGTATCTACTTCACTATTATTGATTTTGAGTCATTTCGCATTAAGCATAGAATACTTCATTTCTAATACCTTAAAAACTCCCATTATTAAAATTCCAATACTCCACACATATCTTAAACAAATAAACAATGATTTTATTGGTGGTTTAGCTTTCTTCATACCAAGCCATATTCTTGTTAACATTAAAGGTCTGATTGAACAGTGGTTGGGGTCATGCTGCAGGTGATTTTTCTTTTCCTTGAATGACAAATCTGTTTCAACACCCTCCCTCTGCACTGCTAGAAGAGTAGTTCACCATGTAGTAGTAGTAGTAGAAGTCGTTTTAATCAAATGAAATAAATGGAGTAACTGTCATCGGTCAGTAAATATGTTTGGTGATGAAATGTTTGGATGAAATGTTTAACACGATGAATTCTTTATTAATCTGAAATCAATTAAAGTAAAACACTATCTACTATAAATTTTGAAGAAGTATTACTTGCAAATAATCAATTTGAACAAAGCAAGAACTACAGTTTTAGCAGAATAAAATAGTACCATCTTTTATTTCGCTGCCTTCTCGTCAGCTGCTTACAGGGCAAAGACATTAATAAATGTATCTACAAAAACAACTCCAAGTGTATATACAAATTTACATGTATCTGCGGGAGCGGTTACATTGGAAGAACAGAAAGAAGGGCATATCTCCAATTTTCTGAAGATGTACGAAAAAGATTACTTCTAAAGGGAACAAATGCTCTAAACAGTGCCATCGCCAGGCATCTCCTCGACGCGGGTCATGAGGTGGACGTCGAAAAGTCGTTCAAAATTATCAATAAGCAAAAGAGCTCAATTCTCCTTAAGTTTGCTGAAGTCATTTCCATCAAGCGCCTGAAACCTGATTTGTGCGTTCAGAAAGAAGCGGTTATCAGTCTTTTTTGCCCTGGTAACTGGATATTTTTCATCCGAATGCGAGAGGCTGAAAAGTCTTCATTGTGTATGATTATTATTATTCGGAATAGTGTTTAATATTGCATATATATGTATATATTATTAGTGTATGCGTATACTGATCGATTGATTTTTTGTTTAAAATGAACTCTGTGCAAGTATGTTAAAATTGTTTTTGTAGATACATTTAATAATGTCTTTGCCCTGTAAGCAGATGACGAGAAGGCAACAAAATAAAAGATGGTACCACTTTATTCTGCTAAAACTGTAGTTCTTTCTTTGTTCAAATTCATTAAGGGGAATAAATGTATGAAATAATCAAATTGTTAGCATAGAGAATGTACAACATCAAATTTGTCTTCTTGAAACCAGTATTCTTCCTAGATCACCAACTTATACATCAATTTATCTACAGAATGACAATAAAAGTTTTGTAAATAGCTAATTCAGCATAAGAAAGGTAAAAATATCACATAATGTATAATCTCCTTTTAAAAACGCTACTGTTACACTTTTGAGATATCTCTGTATTTACAGATTTTTCTTTCAGAACAACTAATCCCAAAGATTGCCAAAAGTACAGTGAATTATCATGTAAAATGTTTAAGGCCATAATATTTTTGCATTTTGAATTTACCAGGAGGCAAAAAGTACATCGGCGGTTAAATGATGGAATGCCTTTCCATCACGTTGGAGGCCCAGGTTTAATTCCTGGCCACCACTGTCCTAAACGTAGATTCGTTTACTAGCCGACAGTTAGGCTGGGAAAGACAGGAGGTTGAGCTTTAGGCTGGCAACACTTCCTCGTTAAAAAAAAATACCACAGTTACTGAAACTTCTAAGCTTGAAGCGTAATGTTCCACTCGGAACGTAAAGAATAAAATAAAATAAAGTTTATTGGTCAATAATTGTAAATTAGAAGAAGAAACAATAACTACCATACTTTTCGTTGAAGTTCTCAAATGAAAACATGTTTTGTTTTACTTGGTGACTCATGAACTGCATACAACATGAAAGCAAAGGATGCACCCTATCTGATTATCCTTACTTTAAAACTTCTGAATAACTCTTCGCTCAAATGTTCAGTGTCGAATTATTATCTAGTTACGCCTAAACACAAGATTTATGCAGTATGGTTTATAAGAGAGCACCGCTATAAGGTTATTGATTGGATAGATTCAGAATTTTCAAAGTCAAACCTTATTTGTTGAACACAGTTTGACAAATACTGACTAATGATTTTATTATTGCTTGACAAAGACTCTATAGACAGCAGGGAATGAAATATATACGAATATAAGAGACCTATGAGAAGAGTAAGAAAATTGAAGTATTTCCTTAAAAGTCACTAGATATCTGTAATATCAACTATTTAACAGTGAACACGAAAGTAACTGTTTCAGTATAATCTTAAAGTACACATAACAAATATTCTTATTATTTTTTCTTTTGAATACAAATTTAGAATCTTTTACTTTTTACTGTAATTTTTGTATGTCAGTTAACAGAGTTTTTTCCCCTTTTTCTATTCAGTATTCAGTTGTGTTTTCTTTACTTTCCAACTTCTCTTCACCTAGTAAATGACGGTTTGTCTTCTTCTGCCCTACATCATAATCGATATGGTATGTATGTTGGTATGTATGTATGGATGGATAACTACTTGATGATAGAATGGGCATAAAGTGTAATACCTTAGCTTACATGAAAACTATAGATGAATGGTACAAGAACTTACGCACACACACACACGCACACTGTACACTGCACATAGATGCACATATACATCAATACACACATGAATATGTATGGAATTCATCTCTCAGAATCATATCCCACAGATTTTATTGATATTTTAGGTGAATGAAAGTAATGCTTTGAATGACACTGGTGATAGTAGTGGTGCTGAAATAGTCAATACCATATATAACAGATGACCTTGAGTAACATTTACTGATGATTGGTTTAAATGATATCAGTACCTTTGATCCTGTAAAGGTAAAAGAAAATACTACTGGTGATATCATCCTCTTATGCATTAACCTCCTATCTAGGCAAACAAATTTCTTTCCACCTACTTATGCCAGTAAAATTTCAGCTATTCCAATTTAAACAGCAAAAATAAGAACATTTAACCAAAAAAAAAACAAGAATACTTTTCATCAAAATGAAGGAGAGAAGAAAACAGAATCATCATTCCATTTGTCTATGGTATGATCTAGTAAGAGAGAAAAAGCAAAAACAAAAAAACTTCTGTTAAAACTGAAGATCATACCAAAGCAGCAGAGTGAATAAGAAAAAGATATTTTTGAAAAAAATAAAAAGTAGTTTAGCATATGTGAAGTTGTTGATGGTGATGATGATTATGGTAAAGTGATCAACTGTTCAACATACACTGACTAACACTGATTTACATCTTATTTTTCTTTTAAAAAAAGAATAATATGTATACCTGAAGAATTGGATGAATAATCTAGTAAATATGATATAAGATATTAGAATTTGAAGAGACGAACAAAAACCAATTAGTGTTTAAACATTTAACTTTTAACTGTTCAACTTTACAACTGAAATCTACTTGATTCTGTATACACATTAGGAAAATCTGATAGCAGACGTAAAAACCTATAATTTGAGCTAACCTTATCATTCATGTATGCCTGTAATTACCTATTATTCTTTTTTTGTTGAACTTTTATCTTAATGTTAATTTTACGAGTTGATCACGGATTGATATCAGTTAGAGAACCATTGAAAACCAGGGAGTACTGGACAGCTACTGTTTCATCCTAGTTTGGGAATCATCGGCAGTGCGCACCTACTGGGATTCGAACTCAGGACCTTCCGGTTACAAGGCAAGCTCGTATACCATTCAGTCACTGGGACCCGATTCAATGGCTCATGAATTCTAACTTCTACCCATTCGTGATTTAGCGCGACCCCAACCATTGTCGTTGGTGGGATATCCATCCACACACGTGACATCTAATTGGACCTCACTGGTCATAACTTCTCACTAGAACTCCAGGAAACTCCATCCTGTAGCAAGTCACTAGCGAGCATCAGATTAATTTTCTAAAGTTTGGATGGAGTTCTAGTGAGAAGTCATGACCAGTGAGGTCCAGTTAGATGTCACGTGTGTGGATGGATGTCCCACCAACGACAATGGTTGGGGTCGCGCTAAATCACGAATGGGTAGAAGTTAGAATTTATGATCCATTGAATCGAGTCCCAGTGACTCAATGGTATACGAGCTTGCCTTGTAACCGGAAGGTCCTAAGTTCGAATCCCAGTAGGTGCGTACTGCCGATGATTCCCAAACTAGGATGAAACAGTAGCTGTCCAGTACTCCCTGGTTTTCAATGGTTCTCTGACTGATATCAATCCGTGATCAACTCGTAAAAACATAAGTAACCCTTACAAACCAAACTTTAGAAAATTAATGTTAATTAGTTACTGATGATTCAGTAGACTGGTGAAGAATGCTTTAGCGATTGAAGCAACAGGTGCCATATTCATGTTTTAGCAAGAATACTTATTATCACTTACTGGAGCTGGTGGGCTTTTAGTGCGTTGGTGGCACACCGGTTAGGATGCTCGCCGACGACGCACATGGTCCGGGGTTCGATCCCCGGCCAACGCACTCCATTACCTCGCTAAGCCAGTAATAAAGGAAAGGCTGGTAAAGAGGAAAGATTGGGCATGAGGCTAGCAACCCCATCCTGTAAAATTAAACACTGCTACAGAAACTTCAAGCCTCTAGCCTGAAGCCCTATGTTCCACTGGGAACGTGAAGGAATAAAGAAAAAAAGCTGGTATGTTGGTATATCCAGCTCGTTAGCCCTTAACAGGATGAATCTTCAGTCCTTTATGTATTGATAGTCACTAATACATAAATAACATTGTATGACAAGGCTTTTCAGTACAACAGTTGCTTCCAATTATGCTGTTCCCTTTTGAAAAGTACTCACATTACAAATCCAGAGTTTTAGTGTTGTACAAATATTAGTTGTACTAGTAAATAAATTAACAATCAATGAAAATTACCATCAAAAACCTAAGAGAAATTCAAAACCAGTTATAGTTGAATCATTTTCTTATACATCATCAGAACTGAGATTATTAGGTCGCATAGTAACCACACTATACTTGAATTACCGAGCTACAGTTCAGTCAACCAACTTTCCCAACTGACCGTTAGTCGTCGATGGCACAGGATGACGATAGACTTTTATCATGGCAAAAGTTGGGTATTTTAGACCACTGTACTCTAACTTATGGCTTGATTAGTAATGCACTACAAAAATGACCCGAAGATCACGAATTAGGCCATGTATAGTATCTCTCATACCCACTAATGATGAGTCTTCAAATACAGAGGAATCGCCTGATACTTCATCTTCATTTTCTGTTGTATTCCGATGTAGGTCAATGACAGGAAGTGCTCTGAAATCAAGTAATTTTAAGCAATTAGTACTGACAAGTCTTTCACATAATTCCTAATTAAAATCATGATTATTTGGGTAGTATTTACAAGCTAAAGTTTGACAGGAGTATATTTACAGTAACCACCAACTCACCGAAGTATACTGCTAGATTTCATCGATTTAAAGGTATTTTTCCTTGACCGAAATAATTATAAAAGTTAGGAAACATAATTTTTAATTCGTTTGAATCAATAAAACTCTTTGTTGATGTTAGACACATTGAACATCTATTGAAGCATTCGTTCTATGATATTTGACTGTCATTTTACCCAATGAGATAATCTTAATATTTATCTGATGGTAGCTACCAGTGAAGTAAAGAATTTGGTTTTCGTCTAGTCCCATAGTCATTAATTGAGTGTTATGATTCAGGAATTACAGTGTTCCCAGAAAGACTGTACTTCAGCATCCATTGTAGTAATAATAATAATAAATACAGAATCGTTACCTACTAGGCAGTGAGCGAAGACGACCGTCTCTTAAAAAATGGGCTACTGGAGTTTTAAATGAACAAAATGTTTAACTTCTTGATCATTTGGTAAGTGGCTAAATTTATGAACAGTCCTAGTAAATAGACTGTTAACTTTTGTACATCTCACAGCGGTCAAACGAAAACTTGCCATCAGTCAATGAAATTCACAACAGTTAGTTTAATCCACGCTGGGAGGTGTAGACTTACTGTTTGAGGTCCTCAGGATGGTAAGAACCAATGGCTCGAGACAGTTGGTAATGTGGCTCAAAACCGTTCTCAACGGCGCAGATGCATTTACTCTTTGTGATTTATCATATCCAATATAACCTTATTGTTCTTCCGTATTACTATTCCTTTTTCCTCACATTTCTGTTTATTATCTGTCTTTTGAACCTCCCTTTACTCTCTTTTGTTGTTCTGTGTGCTACATGGAATGTGAGGCTACTCGAACTATTGCAATTCTGTGCAAATTTCTAAATTGAAACCATCCAGTCAGTCATCCTCTTGTCAACAGTTTCTAAATCATTAAGTCAATATATTTATAAGGGACCAGTAAGGCATGAGTATTAATTAGGCGTTTATCAGTTTCATTAATCCTTTTTATTTCAGAGTAATGTAACTGGTTAACCTGTAAGTTAGAGAGTCCATATGCTGTCTAATTGGAACAAAAATTGAATTACTATGAAAATTTCGGATTGAAAAGTTTATATGACACATTTGTAAGTGAAAGCAAAACTGCCTTAACAGGATGAAAAGAGTGCTGGACAAGTAACCACACGACTAAATGGTTTGAATCCGCGAAACATATTGGTTACTAATCCCACTTTCATTTGTCATGTATAGATATTATAGTCTGTGTAATTAGCTCACAGTTTAACTGCAAATCAAGTGCAGTTATTAGGGTTTTTGATCTTTTCAAATAAATAATGACGTGAATATTTCTCTTCAAAAATATGAATGCTTTTTCTAATTCTTACTTTTTTAAAAATTTAATGTTTTTCAGTCTTAAAAGGTGTGAGTATTAAAGAATTGAACAAGCGAATGAACAAACGTGGTTGGTTTGATCATGATTGTGATGGTATTCCAGATAATCTTGACCCTGATGATGATAATGATGGATACTTCGATGCAAAACAAGTAAGATCATGAAGGACAGTTTCGTTTTTCTTTGTATTTAAACTCCAGAAGAATGAACAACAGCTGTTTTGACATTTATTGCTAAATACGAAAGCGTTGGTAGTTTACTGATAGAATGTCCAACAGCCCCATATGTCTCTCTCCATTTCTCTTTAACTTCGACATCGATGACATTCTGGATTCAGCTCTGAAGAATGTGCGTGAAGGTGGTGTAGAACTGCTCCCTGGAGAGAGACTTTTCGACCTCGAGTATGCAGACGATATCATCTTACTGTGCGATAGCATGTAGGCTGCCTAAATCGCAGCTAATCAGTTGGCGATCAGTGTCTGTAAATATGGTATGTGTTTTGCACCGTCTAAGTGCAAAGTACTGTTACAAGATTGGCAGGAGCCTGTACCTGCACTGACTCTTGCAGGTGAACCGCTTGAAGTTCTCGATATGTTTGTGTATCTGGGTAGTTGTGTGAGTGCTGGCGGAGGAATGACGGATGAGATTTTCAACCGTATAATGAAGGCTAGAGTGGCATGCATCAACTTTAGCCACCTCTGGCGCAGTCGCGATGTTAGCCTGGCTGTCAAAGGTCGGGTATACAATGCTTCGGTGCAAGCTGTCTTGGTCTATGCCTGTGAAACCTGGCCTCTCCGAGCTGAGGATGTGCGGCGGCTCTGCGTATTCGATCATCTCTGTCTCCGCGGGATTGCTTGCGTTAGATGGCATCATCACGTCAGTAATGCCAAGGTTCGGCGGCGTGTGTTTGAACACAGTGTAGATCACCATTCACTGAGTGTCGTCATGTGGAAACACCGGCTTCGGTGGCTTGGACATGTGCTGCAGAAGTCATCCCATTGGCTTGCGTACAGGTCTCTCTCTCTATTCGCTAGCCCTAGGACGGGATGGAAAAGTTGGAGAGGTGGTTATCATGTGACGTGGCGTCGTGGGATGAAGAATATTTGTGTTAGGTTTGCATCGGTTGGTCCGTCACGACTCCCTGGTTGGAGTCCGAGAGGTAGCTCGAAACGTTATCGGATATGGCCAAGAATCGTAGTCAGTGGCGAACGTGCTGCAATTTCCTTCTTTCTTCCCTTCCCGATGATAGTTGACGAATGCTGTTTGAACTTGTTAAGTATGACTGTTTTCTTTCCAGATGAAGTTCTTTATCCGTTCTCCACCTGTATTTTTACTTTTAATCTATGTTTTATTATTATTGTGTGGCACATCTTCATGGTGCCATATTGCACCAAGTTTTCTGTGTTTAAATAATAATAATAATAATGTGCTCTGGGTTCAGTTCACATCGGACGAACTCCTTGATCTCGTCTAGTCTACTAGCCGATAAAAGGTTCACGAAAGGGAGAGAGACTAGCATTCCGATTCTGTCAAAAACAACACCACTACTGAAGCCTCAAGGCATGAAGCCCCATGTTCCACTCGGAAGGCAAAGAATCACAAAAAAGGGAGAGAACTAAATCAGAAGAGTTTTTTAGAAGTTGACATTTGTGTGGAAAATCTATTCTTTTGTTGTGGAAATCTCTGGACTTATATAATCTTTAGTTAGAATATTTCAGTTGTAGTGAATCAGATCTACAGTATTTAAGACTTATTTTATTTTATATTTTGTTCCCTTGAGTACCGAGTGGAGCATAGAGTTTCAAACTTGACATTCTGAAGTTCCAGTAACAGTGGTGCTTTTTACGGGGTAGCCTCACGATGAACCTTCTTTCTTTGCCAGGTTTACAATCGGCAAGGTGAGCTTTAAGGGTACATCAGCCGAGTATCGAACCCCGAACTATGCACCTGGTTGGCGAGAATTCAACCGCCGAACCACTGATACACCATTTAAAACTTAGTAACCACTTAATATACTCCAAGAAGGTGAACAGTTACTCAAGGTTAAGATGGACATGGTTATTTTAAACTGATTAATCATAAAAATAGAAACATTAAATGAGGAAAATTAATATCACGATAAAATGAGGGATAGATCAAACATCTACAAACAGAAGTGAATTTGCATAGATGCATTGCCAGTACTTTCATCACACAAAAGTTGTAAGACTATTATCTTTCAAAATAATGTTAATAGAAGATCCTAAGGCAGCTTTGTAGGCATATTTGGTCAAATAATCAAGAATTAATAAACTGAAAGCTTAAACAAATCCCCCCCCCTTAGATAGACATTTGGGATAACACGTTGTAGACGGAATAATCCTCTGTTCTTGATATTCTGCTCTCCTTTTACCTTTTAAAAGATTTTCCACCGATTAATTCCTAATATTTGGGATTTATTCTACTTTCTTGAGATATCAGTAGTAACAGTAGCAGAATGCCAATTGATGTTAATCATCTTGTACGTAAGGCATAGTATTAACTTTTTCCAAGTCATCACTTTTGATAACACAAAACTCCTCCTTTTTTACTTATATGAATAGGATGGCAGGTATTCACATACGTCTGATTATAAATAAACTGGAATTTAGACACAGTTATCCCTATACATTTGACTAGCTGAATAAGATGATACAAATGATTTACCATCGATACAAGTATTGATGCAGTTATCTAGGTACAAAAGATTGATAGATAAGTAGATATGGGAATAAATAGGTAAGATGGTGAGGTTGATAAATAAAACTAGTCAGGGATTTTTCCATTGACTTCATCATTTCTCTCCTACCAATTTGCTACTACCAAAAAGTGGGAATTTGCTGCTTTGTTAATGGTGACAGTGAATATGATATTTACATATTGAACTGTAGGAAGGACTGAAAACAACTAACATGGATCTTATTTCTGATAAACACAATAACTTTTACCATTGAAGGTGATAAATCAAATCAAAAAGTGTGTATCCATTAAACGTCAACATGATAAATTTGAATTTTCCTGTTCTAATTCCTTGAGATTTTAAGTTATTATGTTTCTTTCAGTAGTACAGTTTTTGGAAACTTTACCTTAAAACTATGATGAAACCAGAAATGTGATTAATATTTTAGTAGATATTGATCACGCTTATGGGATGATGACTGAAGCTGAAAATAAAATCTAAACTGTGGGGTGATCTGAGAGGGATATTTTTGTATTCCGGTGATGGTGTTATGTAATCCGAGTTGTGAAATCCAGCACTTGACAGTGTTTCAATTAAATTTCAGTCAGTTAGGCTTTCTTTCATCTATCGGTCATGTGAATAGGTGATAATTAACTGGCTATTTATGATCGTCAAATTAACTACCAGGTCAGGCGTTTTCACCTAAATTCGAATCGAACTAAATTGAGAAGAAACGGAAAGTGCTCATTTGTTAGTTGGGTAATCTGTGATAACCATAGATTGATGGATTGGTAATATTATGTTGGTGACTTAAGCTGAAGAGGGAAATGCAATGACATGAAACGCAAGTTTACCTTACTTTTATATCCTAATGATTATAAAACTCTAAAGTAAAACCACTGGGTCATTTACAATGAGTGTATTGTGCAATGGAAATCAGCACTTCTTTTTGATGTAGTTGTGTTCTCTGAGCTGGATAGTTTATTTGTGAAACTCGTGGAGAAATCTAAAAGCTCACTTCAAATTGAAGTATGCGCCGAAGATGTCGCCTAGTAGGCCACAAATAAACTATCCAGCTCAGAGAACACAACCACATCAAAATCATCCACCTTAGCTACAAATCTTCTCCATCATATCAGTACTTCTACATTTTAAGATAGAGATATTTTGTAGATAGTTTGAAATTAAGGAGGGTGATAATTTGGTTCACACTCTAAACCGATATAACAGTAATCATCAAATGACCAGTAGTGCCTCACATTCAGTCTGAAAATCTTCAGTAAAATGTAACATTGACTTAGACCTTCATATACCAGCCGATGAGTTACAAATTGCTTGATAAAAATAAGTTCCGCAGAGCTACACAACTGTTCCCATTAAAGCTTAACACAATTGAAGGAATAAGGCGGGAAATAAATTATCAACAAATACTTCTAAATTACGCAAACGAATTATATTTATCCAACCGGAACTATTCGCATATATTAGTTGAACATGTAGTGGTTTAAATCTAAACTGGTGTTGTCAGCATATCGATGGCTCATGAGTGCTGCAGAGTTAGTGATGACAAATGAACAACTTTCTGTCAGATGTCTTAAAATGCAGTAAAAATACCACCATAAAAGTCATGTAAAAGTAAGCTGAAAATATGATTTAGTAATCCATGTTGAAAAGTAGTTAGCTGAAACAATTGGTAGTACGCTATGAGAAACAGTTCACCTAGTTACCAACTATCCTTCACCTGTCCACTACTCAAACTCAGTTTAAATGTGATACTTATGCAGGTCTTTAAGCCTTTATTGAACTGAACAAGCGTATAAGTAACCCAGATATTAGGTGTTATTCATCAATCCTTTAAACAGACAATGAGACACCTGGACTCCAGGTGGGTAGAAGGAATTCAATTAACTAAAATCTACCAACAGTTCATTCAAATAATAATAATACCCCTTGGAGAATTAGTATTCTTTTCAATATAAATAAAATCAATAGGAAAGGTAGTCAAGAGGCTGAAGTGTACTAAATTATTATTATTATTGTTATTTTTTACATTGAAATGTCACCCGGATATATGCACTTCCACATATACACATGCGTGCAAATACTAAAATGCTGAAAACAACCATTAACAACTACTAGTAATAATAGTGATCATCACACGGATAGTACTAATCGTCATTAACATTGACAGAAATTTTTGAAACATGACAACAAGGAAAGGTGATATCCTCCCCCCTTGCTCTCCCTCTCTCTCTCTCTCTCGCTCTGTTTCTTCCTTCACCTCTCTTGTTTTGCGTATACGTTTCACATTACAAGCTACGTGTTAATGAACAGTTGTCTTTACCCATTTAATACATAGTCGTACACGTACATTTTCTTCACCTTAGCCCACAGATGAATAATAGTAGTTAATAAGCAAATTTGTCCTTAAGTAACAAGTAACATTCATCATCACTATAAGCAATAAAAAAATATACTAGTTGTGTATATGTATACGAACTTTTCACTTTGAACTCATTAATCAAACTACTTTTTTAAAGTAGTATACATCTATTGAAAATTTAACGTTCAACTTAGTCAGTATGTTTTCTCTTTGAAATAGAACAATTTCAAAGTGATATTTAGTTCAAGTATTGGTTTATAGGGATTTGATTGATTGGTTGCAGGATTTCACTATGAGCTGACATAGGTTAGAGAACCATTGGAAAACTACCCGCCAGTACTGGACAGTTGTTTCGTCCTAGTTTGGGACTCTTCATCAGTACGCACCCACCGATGGGGTTCAAATCCAGGACTTTCTGGTTACAAGGCTAGCAAGTTCGTAGACCCGATCCAATGGCCAGTCCATGAATTCTAACTTCTGCCAATTCACGACATAGCGTGACCACTAGCCAATGTCTTCGGCGAGTATTAGTCCTCAATAAAGAATATCAAGATGCTTAACATTAATGAATTTAGCTATTAGCTATATTAGTCAGGAGTCTACAGGAAGATATGCTTAATGACAGTGCTTTATTCAACCCTATGTACGATGAATTATAATCAGGATAGTTTAAATGTTCTACAATGATTCCAACAAATACCAGAGTGAATTTGAACAAGGCTTTCTATTAATACACTGTTAATGCTTAGTGTCAAAAGAAGTAGTTCACTTAGATTACTGAATGGATTGGAAAGCTAGAGTTGTTCATCAAGTTTTGGATGTGACAGATGTCTCAAATTTCTCTAATAGCAGAAATTACCACCTTTCCTAATGTCGTGAGAATATTGTAGACGAATTCACCTAACCCAACTTATACATGATTACTATATGAATACAACAGAATTAACACAATCCCACTGATAATTGTCACAGTTTTCATAATATTTTGTAGAATTTAGTTAGATGCATTTTATACCAACCATATGAGTGACCTTTTCTCAATGTTTTTAAAAATACAGTTAGAACTAAGCAACCTAGTTTGTTATTCATGGAGAAAACAAAACTAGTCTTGAATACAACAGAGAGGGCGTTTACTTTTACGACTGACAAATACAATAATAATAATAACAACAGTTTGTAAACAGCTTGAAGTGTTCACATTTAATCATCTGTTGCTAGGCTTCACTTGTCTACGGTTAACTGAAATTTTTTTTTAAAAAATACCCTGAATGAACTGACAAAATAAGGCTGTCAAAAGGAACTTTCAGTTTATTTTATTTACTTGTCTTTTTCTAAATATATTACTTTCCAGTAAGAAGATATAAACAAATGCATTTCTTTAATTGAGACTGCGAATAAGACAGTATTATTATTATATTATTATTGGTGTTCCCTTGAGTTCCAAGTGGAACATAGGGCTTCAGTAACACTTCTTCACTTTGTTCTGCTTTCTGCTGTCCTCTTTATCTGGACTCACGATTTCCTATAATCTCTCATCTCCTCTTCGCACGATATCCTCCATGTCACCATTGGGATCCCACTCGAGTGATTGCCTGCATTGCACGCGATGTCATGCGACGGCCTCCTTAATGTATGATCGATCCATCTCCATTTTCTCTTACATATTTGTTGAGCGATTGACCCTTGGTTGGTTTGTTTCCATAGTTTCTTGTTGCTAATACTTTCTGGCCATTTGATCTTCGATTTGAAGCCAGCGAAGGCAGCTGTTGATAAAAGTTTGTAGCTGGCTGTTGGAAATGGTTTTCTTGACGAGCAATGAAAGTTTCGGATCCATAAAGAAGAACTGGCTGACTTAACAATTGTTGTTGGAAGTCCAAATCTTCTTCTTTATGCTGGGTGCAGAAGATTTGCAAACCGATTTCAGATTGATGAATGTCTGTCTTGCCTTTCCAATTCTGGCTTTGACATCTTCATCCGTTCCGCCTTTGGTTGAAACGATGCTTCCTAGATAAGTGAAGGAAGTGACCTCTTTCAAATTTCCACCGTTGGTGGTGATTGGCGCTGTTTGCTGTTGCTGTTGGTCGGCGGGGTATCTTCATCACCTCCGTCTTCTCTATGTTCACCTGGAGTCCTGTCTTCACTGCCAGCCTCTTCAGCCAGTTTGTTGCTTTTCGCCTGCAAGTCTTCGAGTCTGTATGACAATAAACATAAATCATCTGCGAAATCCAGAACTTCTAGAGTCTTTTTCTCCGTCCATAGTATTCCGAACAAGACAGTAGTAAGAGTTAACAGGTGTGTAAACTTGATTGAATAATTTACCACCTATTGACAATCCACATCAACCTTGGTGAAATTTCCCGCAAACTAGTAAGCAGTCATTCTGTCACCATTTCTCAAGGATTCCCAGTTGGGTAAGTGTGTTAAAACAATAGATTATTACTTCCAACATAATATTCCGAAACACTGAGAAGGTCGAGCAATTTTCTCTGTGATTCACATCAAGGAATCTAAACATCTGAATAGGAAATTCAGAGTTTCCTCAAGTAGAAAACACTCCGTCAAATGGCGGAATGTTCTTACTGTCTCTGTCATTCCTGTCACACAAACTTGTAGATACTGACGAGTAATGACAGGGATGAAACTTAGGTAGAACAGATCTTCTAACTAACCATTTTTTCAACTCTTCCTAATTAGATTCTGATTAATTTTTAATATTTTTACTATCTTCTTTTATGTATTTACCTAATTTGCTGTCTAGTAAAATACTGTTATACTGTTAATTTAACTTCTCATGCAAATACTTTTATTCAGGATAGCGATCGCGACGGTATTTTGAATGAATTCGATGATGACGACGATAACGATGGAATACCAGATAAAGATGATCCTGATTCCAATGGAGATGGTATACCAGACTGCATAGTGAAAGTAAGAAAGACATAAACTTTTTCAGGTTATTTTATCTCCTCCTATGAAGACTTCATTTATGACAAATTTCCGTACAGTTTCTTCCTATAATGAGCTAAACTATCCAACCATGAAGAAATGAGGTTTTTATATCTCTCACTTATCTGTCTTTTGATGAAACTGTAATAAAAATTAGTGGTTAATCACTTGAAGATTTCCTCTGAATTTATCATGCATAAATTAGACACGTTTGCGAGAAATATGAGACTTAGATTGAAATGGAAGCTCATACAGATGGAAAATGAGGGTTAGAGAGAATAGCAAACGCCATCTTTTCAGATAGTTCTTATCATAAATCCAAATAGGTTGAGAAAAAAATTAGAGAAACAAGGAGAACTGAATGACTGATTTGCTTATATTTGCAGTTCTTACGTACATTGTGTTGATTATTGACTTCCTTCTACGACAGTTATGGTCTGTCGTCGTCGGAATGGCATCTCATAATTCCAGTAACTTTATTACAATTGCGTTACTAGTTGTTACTTCGCGTCTGTATGTTTCATTCACATGTTTGACTTTGAAACCCATCGCTTAAAACGACAAATTCCGGAATACGTTGTCTATGAAGTAATTGCTTCACCTGAAGTTAAACAGCGATGAACATGAATAACATAATCTTCGAATTTGAAAAAATTCAACCCTGGACTATAACTTCACATTTATAAGTCTCTAAATTGATTCATATTTTCCATACATACTTAAGATAACTGTGAATACATAGTCTAGTCTAGTCTAGTGTAGTCAGGCTTACACTTGAAGTTTGTCTAAGGACATCACATTTTAACAGATGTGCCACTCACCTTTATTAATCTATAATAAATGACCCTCCTTGATATAAAAAACAAATATAACTTACTTCAAAAACAAGAATAGTCACACATGTGACCACCTGCATGCACCCTTAATATGTTAATAACTTATATGCTAATTTTATTTATTCTTTCAGTTAAGCGGCTAAGACATCAAATATGTTGTCTGGGCAATGTAAAACCTTGAAACCTTAAACTTGTCAGTCAGCGATATTATGCCAATTCAGTATGAGAAAACACTTAAAATAAATTAGAAAAGATATTTTTAAAATAATTAAGACATACCAGTAGTCTTTTTGTAAAATAATGTTGAGTTGCTTCTTTGAACTGCTCTGTGTATACGACTTCATTAAAGAGATAAGCTGTGTGACTCATAATGTCATTTAAAAATTAAAAGTAGCTATTATATCCTAATCTAGGGCTATAAGCAGTGTATACTCATGGCGTTATGTGAGTTAGAGCCTATTCATACCATGTCAGCTATTGGAATAGAATTTAAATAGGTGATACATTCCAACACTTATCAATTCATTAAACAGAGTGATCATCATTCAATGTAGACAATGAGTAAATGTCTTTATTAGATGGTTGGAGGCTCAGTAGTAACGTCTCTGACTGCACCACTGGGTGACGCAGGTTCAAATCTCACAATGGAAATGAGTTCCTTCAAGGTGTCAGATATGCCTTGCTGACTAGTGAGTGCCAACTAGCACGAAACCTAGGTCCAAGGCTTCCTGCTGATTACCTCCAGTCATCTAATATCAACAACTCAAAGTGCACCGTGATGGTGAGCCACCTAGAATGATGGCCATATTGCAAACTTGACTGATAGAATTCAGTCTGCACCAAACAGAGGACTAAACAGGCTACACTAGTTACTAACTAGTGTCCAATCAAAGTAAATGTCTTTGTATCCGATTTGGTTTACTCCAATTTCGAATTACAACTTCAAGAAATTCACATTATACGTAGTTATATTAAAGTTCTGGCTATTAGTTTCTAGAACTGATATTCATTGAACAAGGGGTAGCCATCACAACTCCGTAGCATAGTATTTCAGCAGATAAGTATTAGGAACACAAATGCTTGTCCAGTCATCCATATAACCAGCCGATATACTGGTATATGTTATCTGGTTCAATTCTGATATTTGTCAGTGACAAATTAGAGGAATACATAAAAATTTTCGATGTACATCTGGCTTTTGTACAGCATAATTACACGTCGTTGTCGGCTGATTATAAGTTCATTTTCAATAAGCATTAATTAACCCCAAAGGTAATCTTGAGACCAGTATTTACTTATCTTCCTAAATTGTGATTTCGACTGTAGCAATGTGATTTCCCCAGTAACAGGTTGCAAGATAAAAGATGTAAAAAGTTATCACTAAACAGTGGTGATATGTATCGGAGGTAAGCATTTAGTGATCACTGCTTGCCTAACATCATTAATGTTTAGTGAAACCATGAGGTGAAGAGGATGACTTCACGTATCGGGTTTTGGACTTAGGAAGTAAACCACATCAGAAGTCTGAAGTTTATATTCAGGGAAATCGCCTGTATACTTCTCAAACCTTTTTGTCACGACATATCATTACATACACTGTTCAAACCAATAGGTGGTACTGAGTAGAAAAAAAACTTTTCAATTGAATGCATAGACAGTGTTACTAAAACAGATTTCAATGACTTAGACCTATAGCATAGAGGAAACAGACGATTAGGATAAGCAGTTGACATGGTTCAAACTAATTCACGAATATTGTAAGTAAAAAAACAAGCCTAGTCTACATTTTGTTCTTTTCAATTTTAATTCATTATACATGTCTTTCACAGTGATTTTGTTTCGCGTTGGTTTCTGAGACCATTGTAACGGGTAAAGTTCCGTTAATATAGTTGGAATATGTTGTGAAACCTGGTTGTGAGATCACAAAACCGCCAATTTAAGTTTAAAAAGATGAAAATCCCCACTCTGGAGGTATTTATTCAACGTTGCGTTCGTTCTCAGTTTATTTCTTCAATGAACGTGATAATAACACTTATCTAATTTTCCTTCTGTTTTGGCACAAAAAGTGTCATCTAACTTGTTTTTAGACTTCTTTTCGAATAAAAGTGTTTTACTTCCATGTTGATCTGCCGTGATTTTGGGATTTGCCTTGGTTTTAAATGCTTACCACCAAAAAATCAAGCTCGAATGGTAATTCACCGTGAACATTAGAGTATTTCATAGTTTTAATTGATTTTATAATTCTTCTTCTTTTCCTAATTGTAATAACTGTTTAGGATTCCGACGGTGATCATATTCCTGATCATATTGATACAGATGATGACAATGATGGTATACCAGATCTACAGGATCCAGATCATCCAATGTTTGATTATTTCCGTGACTCAGACAAGGTAAGTTACTACCGTACTTGCAATTCAAATGAGTAATTTAAATATTATGCGAGCAAATTTTTAGAAACAGTCGCTCCAAGACTTATTCTATTCAAATGTTTTCAGCAGTCTAAGGCATTTCGTATCACTAACTGAATTAAATTGGCGAAAATGAGATAAATTATGCAATAGATTGTCACTTTTGTCCTTTGAGGCGTAGTGCGTCAAAGGCGTAATTAAAAATATACAGTTAACAGCGAGATGTTATGGTAGCCCTGTTGAAAGAATCGGGATAACTTAGGTTCACTGAATGTGTTTCTCCAAGGAGAAATATGGTAAAGTTAGGAGAATGGTGGATTTGCAGTTTTCATCTTTCACTACTCATAATGAGCAAGAACAAAATTGTAATTAAAAAAATGAACAGCTATCACGTTTTCATGGATTTTCAAACGGAATTTGGAAACTGAAGCATCATTATAACGACAAATATTTGTGGTGATTTTACACTACTACTCATATAAGCTTGAAAATATTCATTAGGAACCTAAGTCAGTTAGAGAATCATTGATAACCAGGAAGTGCTGGACAGATATTTCTGCTTAGTTCAAAACTTTTCATCAGTGCACATTAATAAGTTTTCTATGAATTCACTTCAGGTCTTCCGATGTATGAGTTGAGCATGTTACCATTCAGCCAATTAGTGAGAATTCAGTCGCCTATGAATTCTAACTGCTATTAAATACTTTATTCAGAAGATATTTTAGAAATAACTAACTGTTTAAATCTAAAATATAAGTGATTTGTTTTTCAAATCAAACTGATGGATTTAAAATTGCCGAAAACCTAAATCGAAGTCTTCATGCATGCACCACAGAATTTTATAAACATTATTTCTGTTATTTTGACCATTAAGTCACTGGGACTCGATCCAATGGCCAGCCCATGAATTCTAAATTCTGCCAATTCATGACATAGCGTGACCACTTCTCAATATCTTCTTCGATGAGTTACTGCCTCACCTTTAACCTGCTGTACCCTACTAGTCACGGCTTCCCACTAGAACCCCAGGTAACTGCCTGAATAGGGCCAGTCGCTAGTGAGCATCAGATCAATTTTCAAGTATTGGTTTTGTAGGGATTTTGTTTGATTGGTTGGAGGATTTCATCATGATCTGAAATCAGCTGACATTGGATCGGGTCCCAGTGGCTTAATGGACTACGAACTCGCAAGCCTTGTAACCAGAAGGTCCTTGGTTCGAACCCCGCCGGTGGGTGCGAACTGATGAAGAGTCCAAAACCAGGACGAAGCAGTTGTCCAGTACTCCCAGGTTTTCCAATAGTTCTCTAACTGATGTCAGCTCATGATGAAATCCTCCAACCAATCAAACAAAATCCCTACAAAATACCAATACTTGAAAATAACACAGATTTCCTTCATTAAACGAATTCACAATTCTAGCAATAAGTTGTACACAAGACGCTATCCAGTTAACAATATGGTATGATTGTATATTGTATTCAAAGAACTTTCTTAAAATTACTGTTTCCAAAGATACACCTTCGTTTATACAAACAAAACCTACTTTATTTGATCATCATCTGAATAGAAACAATTATGAACCTATGGGATAAGAGCACGTATAATAAAAGCATATGGTGGCTTGTGATAATTGGTTGAAAATACCGTTTCTATAGTTACAGATATTTCAATTTATTTAGTTACTTTAGTGCCGTCCTCTTTCTTTGTTTATTTGTTTGTTTAATAGAAATTTCTTAGTGCTACCAGTTTAGGTTATGACTACTTCAAGAGGGTAGGGGGTTTTGCATAACAGTAAACAAAGTTATTTACATTCAGTATTTTGTACAGGTCTATTGAATAGCAGAAGTGAATTAGTCGTGATAATGCAATGTGTATTATAATAACTACGATTCATTCTTTGATGCTTAGGTATCTTGCATTTAGTGTCACATTTCTGAGAAGGAGTTTAACATGAAGGCTATTTTGTGTAGGGTTCTGTCCTCTTCATCAATCTACCAAATGGTGTATGTGTCGCTTTGGTAATACTGGTGCTCATTTGAAAAAATATAAACACATACTAGTGTTTCAGTCAGAGAATATGAGCTACAAGTGATGTTCTATAGGACTGCACTGAATTACCGTTGAAGGATAGACAACCAGTGTCCTGCTACTTATTTATCAATGATGTTCAAATTCATTTTAACTTTACAATCTAAGTGACTTGATATTATGGTTCAATGTATTCACTATTGATTATGTGAAACTTTTTCTACTGGAAGCGATAGATACTTAATATCCATATTATGACTATCAACATTTCTTCTCTATAACTTGTTGACCGACATCAATTACAATTTCAAGATGATTAAGTATATATACTTCACTAGCTACTTTTAATAATCATGATACACAAGTTTCTCATTATTATCTTCAAAAATCTTTAACACCGGAGGCTTTAGTAAAAACGTTTATCTACATGAATTGTCTCATATTTTGATCAAGTCGGCTATAACACCATCTTTTGCAATCATTCACCTTCGTAGGGAATTGATGTTTTTCAAATTTTTCACTTTAGCATATCGACTAATTATAACAGAAAATACAAATGTTTAACTTTTCAATCAAAACTTTCAATATATTTTCTTAAAGTGTTGGAAAATAAGTTTAAGGATGAAAAAATAAGTATTGGTTTTGTAGGGATTTTGTTTGATTGGTTGGCTGATTTCATCATGAGCTGACATAAGTTAGAGAACCACTGGAAAACCTGCAGGGAGTATTGGACAGCTGTTCATCAATACGCATCCACCGGGGTTCGAACCCAGTGGTAACATGCCATTTCTTTCGTCTGAAAGATTTCAGTACTACGTTCGACGGTAATAGATACATCGGTGAAGATAATTAACTAAAAATGTTGATAAGAATGGGTTTTTTATTCCTTTACGTTCCCAGTGGAACATAAGGCTTTAAGCTAGAGGTGTTTATTTCTACGGGTTAAGGTGGCTAACCTCATGCCCAACCTTCCCTCTTTGCCGGCCGTACTACCGGCCTAGCAAGGTTTGCTAATGCGTCGGCTGGGGATCAAACGCCGGACCACATGCGTGGTCACCGAGCATCCTACAGCCGTGCCACCGACTCACTGATAAGAGTAGTATTAGATGATAATTAATGACATGATAAATCTCCCACACTAACAAACTTTTTTATATTTTAAAAATGGGTTAGAAAGAAAGTAAGGAGAAGTCTGTATAACATTAATTTTAGTGAGATTTTACAATGTACAACAAAGATAACACTCCCGGACATTTAGAAAAGAGTGTATACAAGTTGATAAATCAAATTCACCATTACCAAATTGCAGTTTACACAGTACGAGTGGTGAGATTTCACCACTGTAGTTTCCTTTGGAAACCAAGTTATTCCGATCACAATATATCATCTGCTTGACACCATAAATGGTAATCAAGAAAGCAAGCAAATCTGCATAAAACTATATATTACTGATTGAGTAAGATGAGTAGTTTTTTTATTCCTTCACGTTCCCAGTGGAACATAGGGCTTCAAGCTAGAGACTTGAAGTTTCTGCAGCAGTGTTTATTTTAACAGGATGGGGTTGCTAGCCTTATGCCCAACTTTCCTCTTCACTAACTTTTGTTTATTACTGGCTTAGCGAGGTAAAGGGGTGAGTCCGCCGGGGATCGAACCCCAGACCATGTGCATGGTCGGCGAGCGTCCTAACCGCTGTGCCACCGACGAACAAAGATAAGTAGTAGCAAGCCAGAAATTGGATAGTTTTAACTGATTTGTCTATTTCAGCTGAATCAAACTGGGTACACCTCTGATGAGCTCGATCCCAAACAAGCGAAAAGGCAGGCCAGTGTTTTGATCACTTAGATGTGACTAGCAAGCACTACTGGTTGATATGAGTGGTAAGCAACTACTCATCTCAAAAAATCAGTAGTATGTATTTGTATGCGAGTTGACCAACTGGAATTATTCGAAATTCCCCAGCTTAATAAAAATTCGTTAAATTTCATCACCCTTAAGATGAGGACTACTCATAGCGGTTACATCTGACAGATGGATCTATAATTAAATTAATGGAAATGCACTATACAGCTTTCTGTGTCATTCTTTTGTGAAAATTAAAACTTGAACATTCCTGATCCATATTCATCCAAGGTATTTCAATATTTTTCTCGTGCTTTGAAGTTTCTGTAGCCATTGGATGAATCTTCCAGGGTAGGGTCGCCAGCCCCGTACCCAACCCTCCCTTCCTCTGCTTGAGACCGGTTAGAAAACTGGCGAGCTAGAAAAAACTAGGCAAGGTTATCGATATCACGTATTCACAATGCAAAGAAATATGGTACTAATGTCAGTAAAAAGTTTGTACATTGTGGAATAGATCAAATTAATGATAATTATATTTCACTATTTTACGTAGGATGACAATTTTTTTCATTTTGGTAATATTTCGAGCAAAATTACTGCGCGTGATCACACCAACTGTTGGAATTGTTTTTCTAATTCCAGATATCACCAAAAAGAAACACTTTTTATTGTGTGTAAACTACTAAAACATAACTATAATTAAATATGGTACTGATCACAATTTCCCATGCATAATCCGTACACACGTATATATCTATTTCCAACTAATTAAATGAAAGTAATGCACACAACTGAATTGAAGTGCAAAACATATTTACTGTATATTTGTCTACTATTTATTATTTCAGTAGTTAAACATTTTAACTATCAGAAAATTATTTTTTTTGTTTCATTTTTCAGGATGGTATTCCTGATCCATTGGACAAAGATGATGATAATGATGGTATTCCAGATAGTATGGACTATGATTCAGATGGAGATGGAACAGACGATCTATTCCAAGATGTTGATAGAGATGGAGTTCCAGACAGTGTTGATGATGACATGAATAATGATGGTATTCCTGATCATAAACAAGATCATGATTGTGATGGTATTCCGGATATTGTTGATCCAGATGATGATAATGACGGTTATTTCGACACTAAACAGGTAAGCTTTATATGTTGATATGTATACTGACTATCTCGTCAATAGACGATTTTGCGTCTTTCACGAAAGAATAAAATGCACAAATTTTACCAACAGTCCTCCCAGCTGATTAGCTTTCACTTAAGATTAGAGACATAAATTACTTTTCGGCGATCTCATTAAATTTTAAGAAACAAGTAGCTATAACAGCATGCTTTTACAACCAGTAAACACTTTCGAACTAATTATTCATTCAGCTTTTTACAAGTTTATATCAAAACATTTAACAATATTTAAAAACACATTTTTAATTGTGAACTCTTTACAGTTTAGTTCTCCAACCGAATTACCTTTTGGTAAAGTCGAATTAGTCAGTGGACTTCACTATATTGTATTTTTCGACGGAAGATAATTATTATTATCAGTCCCTTGGTTTCCAAGTGGAAAATAGGACCTCAGCAGCACGTCCTCATTGTATTCTATTCTCTGTCATCCTTTTCTAGTGAACTTTACGAGCGCCCAAAAGCTTTTATTTCTTCTTTACTCGATTGCCTTCAGAAACCCAACTCATTGCTTTCCATTCCAGTTCCACTTGAAAGTCTTGCCTTCAACAGAAACAGTCCATGTAAATAAGGAAAAATTGTAAAATGAAATCATATAACGCATCACTCACTGCGTAGAACTTAATTAATTGTTGATTTTTAAGAATAGCCTTTTTCTTCCTTTGAACCTTATTAATTTTGAAACACGCTTCTTTCTTTGTGCTTTAGTTTCCTTTGTTAAATCTGTTTTACTTTCCACACATAGAGTAATGAAACATCTACTTTTGTCAAACTTTGACATTATGGGTCAATATCATTTCAAGATTAATTGAAAATCAGAAATAATTGAGCAAGCATCCCACTTTGCTTTCAGGATTGCGGATTATAAATAGGTTTGGTTCTTTCCAATTGACTATAAGACATGGAAGATATTAAGAAGCTTTATTACAACTAGCATAGAATAATGCACTAGTTATCTTAATAATCAATTATACATAACTGTAAGGTATCCCACTATTTAAACGATATATCATTTTTAAAGTGCTCAGTGCATTGATTTCGTAACTGATTACAAACAGGAATTAAATGATGTGAGCTGAATGTAGTTGAATCTCACGACTCCTATCGACTTAACGATATACACGAACCTCAGTCTGTCTTGATAGTATTCTGCTATAAATTACATGGCCACTATATTATTGTTGTTTCTTTGGGTTCCGAGTGGAACATAAGGCTTCAGCAGCATATCTTCACTTTTTCCTATTCTTTGAGGTCCTGGCCCCACGACAGCCCATAAGCTCTCACCTCCTCCTGACATAACCTCCTCCATGTCACCCTCATAAGTCCAACTCGTCATCTCTCATTTGGATTCCACTCGGGCAGTGGCCTGAGGTGTGATGTCATTCGACGGTCTCCTCAGCGTGTTTCCAAAATCCATCTCCATTTTCTTATGCATATTTGCTTATCAACAGGTTCTTGATTGATACGTTCCCAGAGTTGCTTGTTGCTGATCCTTTCTGGTTATCTGATCTTCAATATGGAGTGAAGGCGGCTGTTGATAAAAGTCTGCAGCTGGCTCCATTATGGATAAAATTTTATTCTGATAAAATCACACAGTGTTATACAGTAATATTTACTGATGACCACGTTTCGAGCACAAATTATTGCTCATAATCATATCAAGGCACTCACACAGCTTTCTTGATTCATTTATATACATGAGTAAAAATTGATTAGACATTTGAATATTACTGTATAACGCTGTGTGATTTTATCAAAATCAAATTTTATCCATAATGGAGTTATACTCTACCACAGTGTCCAAGTTTTATCCTTATATATGCAGCTGACTGTTGGTAATGCTTTTGGTGACACGCAATGCAAGTTTCTGACCCATATAGAAGAACTGACTGACTTCACAATGGTGTTGAAAATCCGAATTTCGTCCCTTCATTTATCTAGGCAGCATCATTTTGAACTACAGGCAGTCGGCAAGGATAAGGATGTTAAAAGCAGTATCGGAAAGGCAAGACAGACCTTCACCACTTCAAAAGCAGTTTGGAAATCTTCTGCACTCACCATGAAGAACGTGGCCACCCACTGATAATTAATTGTTGTTAGAAATTCTAAGCTATATGCGGAAACATAATTACAGGTTTATATTGGATATGATAAAGTAATCAGCTGGACACCATGCATTGTTACCACTCTTAAGAAATGTGTCTCTGTAGCCCTTGCTTCCATATGAACCGGGAAATTGTATAACTCTGTGGCTTATTCCTTGACTTTAGCAATAAGGCGTCCACGCCATGAATAATTAGTAACAGTATTAGCTATCAGTCAGACTAATATGAAATGTTCACTACTATTTACTACTATTGTGAGTTGTAAATTTGGAGCATAGAATAAAAGCGAGTTCCTTCACGGTCGCCAAGACAGCTAGCTGTTGATTGCTAACAATCAACAAACCTTGACCAAAAAATGCTTTTTGAGGGTCATCTCCCAGTAATAAAGTGTTATGCTGAAATCTTAGTTGTCATATTAAATGCTTCATGGATAATTTCTGACAGCCTTTTGTGACTAAACTCAGCACTTTTATTAACATCTGACTACCAATTAGAAATATAAATCAGCTGTTTATTTAGACACAATCCACATAAGACTGATAATGCCTTGAAGACGTACAGATTTAATTTACCCAATGGGGATAATTCATATGGACGAAAATTCAGCAGTTTATACATGTACGAGAAGTGAAGGTACTATGATTCTGCTACAGCCTTGTGTTGCTTTGACATCAACTGTCTAGTTTTTCTACGCAAAGTCAGAATACTTTGTTAACACCTAGTCAGTTACATACAGAAAACAGAAATAATGTTGAATGTACTTCTTTTACAACGAACTTATTTCTTGGCAGTTAAGAAGTACAATTCATGAGCAGTAAAGTGATAATTAGTCTCCAACTTGGAAATGTCGTGATTAAACCTTTTTTCTTGATCACGCAATCAATGTCAGTATAGAATCTAACTACATTACTCAAGGGTAGACAATGATATACCTCATATCTGCACATTAATTAAGAGGTGAAGGAAAGGAAGATAAAATAGTAAGGATGATAAAATTTAAGGTTGTAAGGTGTTTTAAGGTAGAAGATGTACGCTGACGTGATATTGTGGTGGTGTGATACAGACAATGGGTTCCAACGGAATATTATTCTCACAGTAAGAATCATTGTATTTGTTGGTGTTAACGTCTGAATACTATTCCCACAGTTCAATACTGCATTAGCAACAGAATAATATATGTATTTGAACATTCTATTTCATGTCGTTTAATGTAAACCAAAATCACAAGCTCAGTGATTGGTTAAAGAATATAAAGAGCGGTTTGATCACTTGAAAATATACCTTGGCTTCTGTGTCTTGCCTTCTGCTGTTACAATTTTGCTATTAGAATTAGAATAGGATATTAATGCATCTAAACCACTGCAACGTACTTTGAGTCATATAAGCTAAGGCATCCAAACGTAGGCTACTTTTGGGATAACTGTTGTGCTTCATCAGCATACACTGGGTTTTTAATTACTCGATGACGAATAAAATCTCACTGCTTTCCCTACATTTCTTAAATTGCCTACATGAATTTCCCCATAGCTTGTGAATCAATTATTCTGTCAGTGCTGCAATAATAAGAACTTTCTTTCAAAAACTATTTATTTTGCCTAAATATTAATAAACTGAGGTATTCTTTAAACCGTTCACCATTTTCTTTATGGGGCTAACAAAAATACTAAAGATGTATAAACGAAATCTAGACAAGTAGGCGAAAATTCCTCTACTTGCTTGTAAGGTCAGATCGTTTTTCGGAATGAAAAAAAAACATTAGCCTAGGCTTTCTTGATTTTCCTCTTCCTAAGATTTGAAGTTTCAAACGAGTAATTTACTGTCTGCAAGTGAAATCTTGAAGCAGTTAACAGTGTTATTTTCACTGATACCTATTTAATCGATGTATAACATGATAGAAACATGAAAGAAAAAGTCAGTTGGATATTTACAGTCAGCTTCTAATAAGAGATTTCCTCAATGAAGTATACATATTCACAATTCATATCTTCAGTCACTGTTTGTCCAGCTGTCAGATATGTTCTTCATGAAAAACTGTTTAGTATTTTGACATTTCAGAAATTCGGTCAAAATAACTAGCATAGTGAAAAAAGATTTATAACGACTTCAACTACTAACTTGTATTATTCAGTAATATAAGAATTATATCAAATTATTTAGTGATGAAACTTTGTGCATTCACATAGCTTCAAAAATATAAAGTTAATAATTCAGGACGGTTCTAGGGAAATGTGTCAAAAACTAGTATATACAGTTAACATAAACAAAACCATGAAATCAATTATGATACTTTTCCTTTTTTGTTGAACTTCACAAAGTATCTGAATGTTGATTTGGTTGTACTCAAACTAATGCAACCATAAGATCTTAACGACAGAAGACAAGAGCCAGGCAACAGATCGTTTATTGAGGAAATCAACAGACATTTATAGATTTTTATGTACATTATTATTAGCGTTATTGTTGGCAGAGAAGCAACGCCTTCTGATTGGTTGTTTTCCTGCTGAAGGGTATTCTGTACTGCTCGTGACCGTTTCTTAGAAAGTTAAGCCATATATATCTCCGAATCGTATCCGCCCACGCTAAGTCTGCTGTGACTGGTTGGTGAGTTCCTCAAGGTTGAACTTTGTTATTGTTTTTTCTCATGACCCCGACTCGGGACGTGGACACTGACGTCAATTGTTGTCTACAATTTTGTCTTGCAGACAGCTCTCACCACAATATGAGTCAGTATTCAGCGTGTAGGTCATGTAGAACACATTAAATTTCGACAGATATTCAGAGACTAACTGTTAAGTAATTCAGTTCATTCACTGTATATTTCAAGGAGAGACTAGTGACTCACACTGGTTTTTACATCGCTCTATAAAGATTTCATACAGTGTACCTAGTTAAAACAAATTTTTATTTCTAAGGAGTAGTAATTAAGGAGATGTCACGTTTAAATATGACTTTATTGGAAATTGAAGTGAATAAAGGTGGAAAACACCTGACTGATTGCTTCGCAAGACTTCAGTGTATCCCATAGAGGAGTGATAAGACTATGGGGTTAATTCTAAGATGTTAGATACTTGATGAAATAATGTTAAAATCTGTTTAATTCCCCTTCTATTGTTAGGCCTTTCAAATTTTTATATGATCACAGTGACTATTGGTTCAAAATGCACTGAATTTTTCGTCTGATCTTTCTTTTTTGTTTTATAAAAAATAGGATAGTGATAATGATGGGATTTTAAATGAATGGGATGATGATGACGATAATGACGGTATTCCAGGTGAGTGATATTCAGCTTGGCAGCAGAATAATTCTGTCTGTACAAAGGAATTACTACTTATATTAATCGCAGATTTTTTATATTTGATTTCCCAGTTATCATCATCTCACAACCAACAGTATACTCTGTGTCGCTAAACTATCCAAATATATAGAATTAGAAATGAATTAGAACCCAGGATCAATTATACGCGTGGACTTAAATAGCTTAATTAGATTCTGAATACTATGTCATACTATTTTATATTTTTGATTATAGCTTGAAACCACACGTATTTTTGGTACAATAGGAATTTTCAGCATGTGATATCGGTAGCCCAAATTTTGCAGGCCACCATAGATATCAGGCGTGCGTCGGCAGGGGATCGAACCCTGGACCATGTGCATGGTCGGCGAGAGTCCTGACCGCTGTGCCACCGACGACTAAAATATCCCATATGCCTCACTACTGAATATCATCTACACGTGACTCTGACGTTCCACACCTACTAAGCACCAAATAAAGAGACTACCATACGACACTTCTCGCCAGGTTTTACCTTTTAATTTCACAGTTATGTGACTAAACTCGCCATAACATAATACAAAATAATAGGCCTGGATATATCCATTTTGTGTTTTAAAACGAATGAAGACAGTTGAATAGTGACTATTATTCGCTAATAAAACAGAACCATAATTTCGATGTAGATTTCATCACGTAACTTGAAGGTCGCGGGTTCGATCAATGATGGGGTCGTGGATGTAGATTGCTGAAGTGTCCCATACTCGGACGAAACAACTTTCCAGTGGTCCTTCATTATTATTATAATAGCTTTATTCTGAAACGATGTTTATACAATGTACAGACTTTTCAGCGGAGTTTATTGCATAATATTTTCTGTTCGTCCAGGATCTTCAAATAAAGGATTCGACTGACAGTAGATCATGTGACACAGTTCTATCTGACATGAAGTGCAAAACAATCCACCATTATGATATCTCTTCTTTTCCTCCTTCGACAAATACACAATAACATTTTGTTGATTACCAATTATAAAAAGTTCAGGAGTACATTTTGTTAACGAGGGCCACCTTTCAAGAACAGTCATTTCATGCATTGGGATGGGCTGCCATCGACCATAATGCTTTTTCCCATGTTTAGTAGAAACTTACGAATCAGTAGGCTGTAAACATTTTCAAAAACTCGCCAGAGTAAACAGTACTATTAGAGGCCATATTTTACTGGATTAAAACAAAATGAATAAGAGGAGCTACATGCAGTATATTGATGGAGGTCCTTCTGTAGCCCAAGTTTTAAGCAGGCCGCCTCGTTTTGAATTCTTCTCTAAATGATGTTGATTATTGACAAAATTTACATTGACACTGAAATTAATCCAATTCCCTACAAAAACCATAATCTAAAAGAATTATAATTGATCTATGGAAGAGAGAAATACTGCAGAGTAGTGAAATTTATAAAGCTCTCTGGCTATTAAAGACAAAAATTTAAAAATGAGCTATGTGATCTGGTGATTCTACTTTCCTTCACATCTTTTAATAGTTATTTTCATTCCATATATACATGATAATCACTGAAAATTTTTCTAAACAAATATATGAACACAGGCGTCAACTGCTGACATAACCCTGCTAGTTTTTTTGGTAAAAACAAATACTGAGTATTCATGAATAATTCCCATTCAGACATTAGTAGACAAAAGACAAGTAGTTCAGCAAAGAGTCTCTTTTCGGCGAATTCTAGTGAGAAGTCGTGACCAGTGAGGTCCAATTAGAAGTCACGTGTGCGGATGGATGTCCCACCAACGACAATAGTTGGGGTCGCGCTAAAATCACGAATTGGTAGAAGTTAGAATTCATGAGCCATTGAATCGGGTCCCAGTGGCTGAATGGTATACGAGCTTGCCTTGTAACCGGAAGGTCCCGGGTTCGAATTCCAGTGGGTGCGTACTGCCGATGATTCCCAAACTAGGATGAAACAGCAGCTGTCCGATTCTCCCTGGGTTTCAATGGTTCTCTAACTGATATCAGTCCGTGATCAACTCGTAAAATCAAATATATATATTTATTTTATGTGTGTGTGTGTATACATTAAATTTGTCAAACAAAATACGGTTAGTAAGTTCAGGTGAATTGGATGTTCATATAAGAGGGTAGTAACAAAAGTGATGAGTTGTCATAAATGATTGTTAAATAAGAGTTACGCAATGGCATGAATAGTTTGATGAATGAGGTGTACTCAAAGGGTGCGCATGGAAACAAAATAATGTACAGAATTACACAAGGGTTTTAAGTTAGAAAAATAAGCATAAAAACAGAAGTAAGGTCAATTCAAACAAACAAAGAAGAGTTGGGTCAGATCAACGGAGTTGTTACCATGCGAGTAGAAGTGGTTGGATAATTTTCTTTTGTATGCATAGTTCTGGTTCCACCAACTGGATGGCTAGGGCTTCTGTGATGCAAAGAAGACGAAATCGTACTGTCTTTGGGAGGTTGTTCTTCACTTTGTTCTTCACTTCACAACTCATCACTTTTGTTACTACCCTCTTATATGAACATCCAATTCACCTGAACTTACTCCTCTTTAACAATCGTTTTTGACAACTCATCACTTTTGTTGCTATCCTCTTATCAACATCCAATTCATTTGAACTTACTAACCGTATTTTGTTTGACAAATTTAATGTATACACACACACACAAAATAACCATATATATTTGCGATTGTACAGCTTTGAAAATGAATTCGCCGAAAAGAGACTCTTTGCTGAACTACTTGTCTTTTGTCTACTAAAATACTGAGTAGCTTGTTTTTCTTTTCCTTCTCATTACAAATATTTCCAAAGACGTCTGTCAGCAATAAATGTTTCACTTCTCCCTTCGATGAATTACATAATCAGTATTATTATTTTTAATGCACTGAATAATTCTGTCTGAAAAAGCATGTATGAAAGAAGGAAGAGTAATACGTGAAACTGTGATGAGCCTGTTTAATGTAATAAAATACACACGTAAATAACTTTTTCATTCCAAGTGGAATATAGGGCTTCAGGATTTTGAAGTCTTAGTGGTGGCGGTGTCGTTTTTAACCAATCAGGTTGCTAGCCTCATGCCTAACCTTCCCTCTTTTCCGGGGCTACTGCCGGCTGGTAAACTAGATGAGGCGCAGAAGTGAGTTAGTCAGGAGTTAAACCACCACTTCCCACGAGATTGGCGAGCATTCTACCACTAAAATGCCGAGAAACATGGTAATAACTAACTGTTTTTAGTAAGCACAGTAAAAGTAGTATCAATACTAGCAGCAGTATAAATAATGTGAGACCGAAAATAACTTCACTCGTCAACATACGTTTTGTTAATAATTTTTATCATGAAACCGAAATAAATACTGTTTTCACAGCTTTAGTAAACACACTTGCAAATCTGCATGTTTTTGGGAATGATTTTAGGTACTTTAGGAGGATTAATTTTCTATAGTTGGTTTGTAAGGATTAGTTTTGTATTTATGAGTTGATAACGGATGGATATCTGTACGAGAACCATTGAAAACCAGGAAGTGCTGGACAGCTGTTTCACCCTATTTTGGGAATCATCGGCAGTACGCACCCACTGGGGTTCGAACCCATCACCTTCCGGTTACAAGGCAAACATTTCTAAGCAATTAAATCGCATACACAATAACGACAACAAGCAGCAACCACTATCAAGGGGAGAAGGAAGTCACTTTTTTCACCTATCTAGGCAGTACTGCTTCAACTACAGACGGCACAGATGTGAATGTTAAAGGCAGAATTGGAAAAGCAAGAAAGACCTTCACTAATTGAAAATCAGTATGGAAACCTGCTGCACTAAGTATGAGGAACAAGATTCGGATTCTGAACACTAATGCCAAATCATGGCTTCTATATGATTCTGAGACTTAACATATCAACCAAAGCATTTCCAAAAGGCTTTAAACTTCTACCAACTGTTACCTTTGTTCCCTAGTGAAGATGAGATGGCTAAAAAGGATTATCTACAAGTAACTCCGGCAACAGAGCAATCACTAACCAATTACCCATCAAATATGTGGCGGGAAATGAAGATAGGTTATGCATTCACTGAGAAGACCATTGGGTGACATCACACACCAGAGGGGTTCTTGAGTAGGACCCGAAAGAGATACGGCGAGTTGGGCATCCGAGAGTGAAATGAAGGAGATAGTGTAAGAAGCAGATGAGAGCTTATGGGAAGCGGTTTACCTAGCTAAAGAGGACTTCAGAGAACGGAATGAAATTGAAATGTACTTTTCAAGCCATATGTTCCCCTGGGGACCCACGAGAGGACAATATTAATGTTTCGTGTTCAATATCAATTGTTTTTACACCAACTGGTACAAAATTTGGTGACTGCTGTTGTGCTTTCTGAAGTGTCTACCTCCAAAACGTGACTACTCATGACGTAAAATCTTCTCATCAATGAAAAGAGGGATTAGGATATTAGGAAAATTACGGGTTTTCTCATGGTTGAAAATAAATCTCTCTGAGGAATACAAAATTGTTCAGAACCTTTTCCAGTTGTCAAGTGGCTAAAATTATCCAAAAAATGTTTCGTCTTCTTTAGATATTCCTCGACAATTACAGATGAACATCTACATAAAAGTTGGTGTCACCAAGCTATGGTGCACAGAATTCGTATTGACAGTTTAGTTACTTAATCTTGGTAAACGATATCTAGATTGAACGTTTGACTTGTTAGTTGTGTACTAAATGTATGAATCGACGAACAAAAGTCTCATACACTCCAACATATTTTGTGCATGAGCTCATCTCACACAATCCAAACTAAATTAAAGAAGTATGATACTGTAAGATAAAGTATGAATTAAATAACTTTTAAAAATTTCAGTTCTTTTATTTCTTAATATTTATTCTTTTTCAGATGTGGATGATGAAGATTCAAATGGTGATGGGATAATTGATTGTCAACCACGTGACAGTGATGGCGATGGCATTCCAGACCACTTGGATGAAGATGATGATAATGATGGTATACCAGATCAAAGAGATCCTGATTCAATGTCATTTTTACTATATAAGCATAAACGTTTCCTTGAAGCTGTTCCAGGTAATCAGAGAGAAAAAAAGTATCAAAACACAAATTTATAAATTATTATTTCTGTAGTTCTGACAACAAATGATTAACTACGTATAGTAGTATCCTCTAGTGTTTTGATTAAATATTGTCTGTTCCATGTTAGTATCCCTACATACTCAACAAGTAAAAACAAATGTATAGGTATTTCTGGAGTCTCCATACTCAATATATCATTCAGGTACATCGGTTGATCAGTTACCCTTAGGTATACTAAGTCCTACTTTATTATTTGACTGCTATGATTGTTATAAACAAACATTTTACATCATAAGCTGGAAAGGCTTTTCAGATGAGAAATCTCTTGATATGTGATAAGTCTTCAGAATATTTGTGCCACTAATATGTAAATATCTTTTCTCAATAACAAATGTTGTGCGTCGGTGGCACAGCGGTTGGGACGCTCGCCGACCATGCACATGGTCCAAAGTTCGAACCCCGGCCGGCACACTCCTTTACCTCGCTAAGCCAGAAATAATGCTGGAAAGAGGATAGGTTGGGCATGAGGCAGCCCCCATCCTGTAAATTAACACTGCTACAGAAACTTCAAGCCACTAGCGTGAAGCCCTATGTTCCACTGGGAACATGAAGGAAAAAAAATGTTTAATTTTTTTTCAAGTATTGGTTTGTAGGGATTTTGTTTGATTGGTTGGAGAATTTCATCATGAGGTGACATAGGTTAAAGAACCATTGGAAAACCTGCAGGGAGTAGTGGACAGCTGTTTCTTTCCTAGTTTGGGACTCTTCACAGTACGCCCCCAACGGGGTTCGAACCCAGGACCTCCTGGTTAATTTTATGCCTTTACGTTCCTAGTGGAGCATAGGGCTTCAAGCTAGAGCTCTGAAGTTTCAGTAGCAGTATTTTCACGGGATGGGGTTGCCATCCTCAAGCCCAACCTCCCCTCTTAACTAGGCTTACTACTAGCTAGACGAGGTAAAGGAGTGCGCCAACTGGGGATCGAACCCTGAACTACTTGTGTGGTCGACCAATTTTCTACCACTGAACCACCAACGCGTAAATGGCAAACATACATGAAATTAGTCACGATTCTGAGAAATTTTCATCTTTAAGTGACTATTTATTTCCTCAAGATAATGAACCAACTGAGTTTATGACTGAAATCATATTTGAAATGGCGAGAATTCCCCTTTGTCTCTCAACAAGATACTACCAGCACTTTTAAGGAACGAGCTACCAAAGAAAATTAACAAGTATTTCAAATAAGCACTTACTTATACATATGGTTAAAAGTTTACTTTAAATTACGTATAAGAGTATAGCCTACAAACATCTACAAATTAATAACAACTGGTTAGTAACAGAATTACAAAGTAGCACTTTTTTGAGTGTCTGTTAAATTTAATTATTAGTAAATAAATCAATAAAATGTAGTTTATCCGTAGTTCATTACGATCAGACTTTTGTCAAAGCAGAAATAACAAGTCCTTCACTGACCCATTGAAGAAATATTTCAGTGAACAGATTTGATCTCAACAAAATCACTTTAAAAGATTATAGAATAAAATTGGTGCCTAAATGTGACTGTCATCATGGGAATAATTACAAATTGGAAGACATAATTAGCATCCAACCGTGTGAATGAGTAAATCAATGGAAAAAGTACCAAATAAAATCAATAAATGAAGACTGTGACAAATGATGTCTGCAAGTAGTAAAATAACTGAAATGAAAACATGAAACTGCAATCTGACTTTTGGATTTACTACAAACAGGATAATTGTAATTACCAAAACTGAAGTATATTTCCCTTTAAATGAAGGAGACCAATCGATGTGTTTTTCTGTATAGCTTACCAAACTTCCGTAAGTTACGTATAGTTAAAATTTACATTCCAAGAATATCAAACTCACACACTCTAATGTAATAGAATCAGTGGTACTATTCAACAGTAATAACATATCAAAAATACAAAACTACTTCAACAGTTCCGTCCGGCAACTATGCAGTCCAAAGGTTTATCAGATACAAATTAGGTAGTGTACAACAAAATTAAATGACAAGGCACAGTTATTAATTCCATGAAAACCAATAACAAGATTCTCGATAGAGTGGAATCAAAACTGTATCTGCAAGAATGAGACAGAAAAAACTCACGTTTGCAACAAACAGTTCATGGTCAGGCAGTTACTCCACGGCATAACCTTGAATCTATCCGAACAAAATTGCAGTTGTAAAACAACACGTTATTATCAACACTATTAGACAACCGCAAATTATTATGATTGTTCCCTTTAGTTCCTAGAGGAACATAGGGCTTCAGCCGCTCGTCTCAATTGCGTTCGGTTCTCTGCCAACCTTTTCACCTGGCTCCACGTCTGCCCACATGCTTTCATCTCCTATTTACATGACCTCCTCCATGTCACCCTCACACTGACGACCAACTCGCCACTTCCCGTTCGGGTTCCAATCGAGCGATGGCCTGGCGTGTGATGTCACTTGATGGTTTTCTCAGAGTATGACTAATCCACCTCCATTTCTTCCTGCATATTTGTTGCACATTCTGTTCCTGGTTGGTTCGCTCCCAGAGATCCCTGTTGCTGATCTTTTCTGGCCGGCCATCTGATCTTGAGCAATGAGCGAATGCAGCTGTTGATGAAGGTCTGTAGTTTGTTTGAAGTACATTAAAACAAGGGATCAATCAGAAAACGAAGACAAATACGGATTGTGTCGACAGGAGATATACAATTAATAGAACTGTGATAAAGTAGGTCAGGAGTAAAGAGTAATAATTACAAAATCAGTCAAAATATTCAAATCGGTATCAGTATTATAAATATAGTGTTCATGAAAGGATTTTCAGACTAGTTATTCTGCTGTAATAATGTCAGTAAATTATTTTAATAAAACACAAAATATATTCTATATTTCTAAGAATTTAAAATTACCCCTCCCCAAAAAACTATATATCCTTATGTTTTCTATATTTTGTCTACTTATAAATTAACCTACACAACTTTTTAGATAACCGTCTGAACAAAATTCAAATTCATATGCCAGTATATGTCGAAAAATTCCCATATGGATTTACTGACTTTGAAGCATCTAGCGACGTACAATACACGAATGGTGATCACAGATTCTTTATCACAAGATGTTTCGAAGCACTTTAAAAAATAGTTTTTTAGCACCTCACTGCCAATCCTTTAATTCTGTTTTGTCTGTCTGTCTACAGTTGTTTTTGTGCATGAGCAAGACGTAGATTTGCGTGTACAATTACTGTGTTACATTTGTGGAATTGATGTGTTTCTTGTTCTAAATTTGAAATAATTTATGTGAAATGTTTTGCTACTTATAAGTAGACACTGGAAATTGGTGCTAAACTTGAAAACGTTTGAATACTAAGAAGCAATGGATTTGAATTCTTCTAAGGTGCAGGTTTTCATTGTAAAGTGTTCACCGAAAAAAACTTCCAACCTCTGTTACAAGAGTTTACAATAGTAGTTGGACTTCTTAAATTTATGTCATGACTTTTTTACAATCTGTAAGTAAAATATGCTGTGCATTCTTTTCATGACATAATTTTTAGGAGAAGATGCTATAATGGAACGTAAGTTAACTGACATAGTGAAAATAAGTAGAGATTTGTAGCTTATATGAAGGATTTCAAGTCCGTTTAACTCACTAGATTATTACTGTTACATTTTCTCTAGATTTTCAGTGGAATTTAACCTGTTTATTAGGTATATCAACAATTTAACCTGTTCTATTAAAAGAGTATTTTGTTTTACACAATCAACATATTTCTACCTTAAATAGTGTGAAATATTCCCATATCATGAATTAAAAGTCAATCTGAACGAAGAATATTCTTTTCAATAATTTCTCTTCAGGTTCTTACAATTATAAAATGTAATATTTGTTGTCGTTACAATAATGGCCAGTTATGAGGCGGATATATTTCTTTTTACGTAGAATAACAGATTAGTTATGGGGTGACAAACGTCGTGCTAGGCTGAAATCGATTACAAAATGTTGTAAAATGAGAGACAATGGTGGTGATTAGTCATAATAGATTCGTAGAATGTGGGGTAGGAAAAGCTAGAGACCAAAACTCAGTATACACACTTCCTTAGCTTCGTACCGACGAAATACAAACGTAATTTGATCAGGTGCTTAGCATTTAGAGCGAGGTCCATTTGTTCCGAAGACTGTGTAGAGAAAGAACTCCAGGTCATCCGAGACATTCTAAGCGAGAACGGATATCCAGAGGAGTTCATTAAAGCCAACATAGGTTACAATAGCCATAAACGTGAACTGGCAACGGTGGAGAAAAAGCCTCTATTTTTACGTCCACAATTCCAGGGAGATACTCCTACGGAGATTCTATCGAAACGTTTAACCAGGGCGATAAAGAAAACTTTCTACTCTGCACATCTGTTCCTATCCTTCAGTAGCCGTCCAATGTTCACCCAACAATTCAAAGATGTCTAACCGAACCTTAGTTCTTCTTCATACATATACTATTCCAACTGTTCCTGTGATTCAAGTTATATAGGGCGCACGATTGGGCAGGTTCGTGGACGGATTCGAGAACATTTACCAGATTAGTTCAGCAGGGGGAAATTAAGTGCATAAAAAGCTCGATCCTGTCACACTTGGTCTATACTGGACATCATATCGATGTCAACACAGCTTTCAGGGTTATATACCGAATTCCGAAGTCGTTGTCACGTACAGTTCGCTTACGTCTCCTTTACGTAGCTGAAGCTGTTGCAATAAGATCAACTAAACCGGAACTTTGTATCCAAAAAGAACACGTTCAGACGCTGTTCCTAGTGTGGCCAAACTTGGATTAATGATTCTTCTCACCGAGAGTGCTTCTTCCCCTTAACCCTCTTGGTTTTTTTCTTTCTTTGCTTATTATTACAATTATTATCATTCGTCATAATTTATACCCTTCATGCAAACATTCTCTCAATACTATCGAATTTTCCATTTATACTATCCGGACTTATTATTAGTAATATTATCCCTTTCCTCAATATATGCCTCCACCTTTCTCATTTCACACATTGGTTATTTCATGATGAAGTTCTCATTGCAGTCTTACAATCTCCTTTTTAATGCACACTACTTTGTACTAGCCACTCACCTGACACCTTTTATAACCTTGAACTGACTTGTCAATTTTCCTACCCCACATTCTACGAATCTATTATGACTAATCACCACCATTGTCTCTCATTTTACAACATTTTGTAATCGATTTCAGCCTAGCACGACGTTTGTCACACAGCATACTATTTATTTTGACACCCCATAACTAATCTGTTATTCTACGTAAAAAGAAATATATCCGCCTCATAACTGGCCATTATTGTAACGACAACAAATATTACATTTTATAATTGTAAGAACCTGAAGAGAAATTATTGAAAAGAATATTCTTCGGTCAGATTTACATTTTTAACTGATTTTCAGACGAAATCACATCAACAAATCGGATAGAGGTTGGGAATTGTTTTCTGAATGCTGAACTTACAGATTCTAATTGTGTGAGTAACACGTGTTTCTCCGCGTTAATGAAGTTCACCAGTCGAAAGAATAAATTAGGAATCTTTTTGTCCCCCATACACTGATCTTTGTAGCAATAAAATTATTCCTTTATTCATTTCAAGGTGGATGAAAGAGTTTAAGGATCTCACAGAAACTTTCACTAAATAATAACGTACATTTAATTAATTGTAAGAGTATGACACTTTAGATTCGTCTAAACACTGTTTAACACAAACCAAGAAGTTAAGGATACCTTCCCGGTTCCAGTTTGATATTTTCTCCGTAGCAATGACTCAAAATACAACCTGTTATCCATATGAGAACCACCATATCTATATTAGAGGCTGCTGATGAAAGTTTTTGGTGAGAATTATAACACACTCTATGATCACTAACTCACTAAATGATGTGATCATCAAGATGAAGCCATAACTTGGTGTTCACAAACACTTCGTTGCACAGATCAATGTTCTTTGAAACAGTTATCCGGAATTTGGAGTGAAATGGTAGTTTTTTCTACTGCGTGAATGTAACACATTACAGAAAACTTTCTTTTAGCATGACTTTGTATTCTGCATGAAGTTTATTATTGCTAAGATATAAAACACTTACTGTAGATTTTCGTGTGTATAGTTTTTCTTTGGTTTTATTGTAACAGCTGGTCGTAGTTGACCATGCTTAAAAGAACACGATAAAAATTGGTATAATCCCCATGATCAAGTAAATACAGTTTCTGGATAGGTTGTAAATGATAAGCCTGAAGTGTATTGAATTACCAAAATAACATAAGGATTGCTTTTTGTCGAAACCATTATATTTCAAAGAAGGCTGTTAAAACGACTAGATATTAAGAACTACTGAAAGTGGTAAGTATTTGCAGCTCACTCAATGAGTCCTCTTGTAGTTCCACGTAACAGACTGTTGTGAAAGGTTTATACCAGCCAAAAGTGTTAGGTGGTCTGAACATTAAAACTGTATTTCATTTAGCCGCTCACCTTCAGTTATTCTGGAATACTTTAACGTAGAAAAATGAATTTTTTTAAAGTTTCTATAGCTGATTACTTCAGTAAACCGATAACGCATAAAATCAAATAAAGTATGTAAGACCATTCATATTAGTTAGTGATAAAGACAGTTTAGTCTTCAACGAAAACCATGTTAGAATTCCGTAGTGTCAGAGTTTTTGTCTGAAGACATTTCAGCATTAATGAAAACATCATCTTCACTGACCTTCACGAGAAAATAAAGCTGATATATATTCTTTGTGATTACTTATATCAATAATTATTAGTCAGTTGGATAATGTATTAGCGTTACTTTTAATATCTTCTGTAGATTTTTTTGTAATTAGGAATGTGGTTTATTCAACCGTTGTCCTTATTTTTTATCGTGCCTTTTCTTCTTTTTGGTTTTGGAAACTGCCAATTTTATCATCAATTTGACTGTTATTACTTGCGCTAAGATTGAGTCGAGTTCGTCTGTTCCAACTATGAAGATACTCTTATAAAGTGACATAAGTTCCTTTGCTTAAAAATGAAGCTGGTGAAAATCCAAGTTGGAAGAATGTCAAATTCACACATTTTTTCCTCCGTCAACTGCTGTTATTGATTTAAGTATGAATAAACTCACCAGAAGTGTAGTTGTTACAACTCAAATATTATTCGGTGACATGAAGACTACCTATACTTTGGATTATGTTCAGGAAAATATTTCCAAGACATGTTCAATTTTTCTGGGGAATAAATCTTCATTATATTTCTAACTATTGATAGGACTGAGATTTTACTCAGTGTTCGATTAACAATCTTATTTTTAGCATGAATAATGACTGAATCGGTGATTCATTTTTGATACAATCAACTTAAAAGGATTTAATTGTCAAAATTAAAAAAACAGGTTATTGTAACAGAATCCTGAGACTAGAACGTTAATTTGGAAATATACTAAATACCTGAACAAACAAAATGGAGGGTGAATTAGCTGAATATACCATTCTGAACTTCTCATGAATAAAAATCTTCATAATGGGTACTGCAAGCTTAATCAAAGTGTATAACAAGGAAAAGAGATAGAAAAAGGATCATTGTAGTGAACAGCATAGCTAAAAACCACCTGCTTAACTAGATTTTTGGGGGAAAGTAATTTAGGTTATATATTCCTGTGCAGCCTTTAGCCAATTTAAGTTGTGATAAATCCACTATATTATGTTTGTTTAACTGCTCCAAGGTCACTATCAAGTTAAACTATAATTCTGGAAAATATTTATCAATGACTAAGGTTCATGATACACTGACAACAGTAATTAGAAATGAATTCATCAATTCTTATGCCCGATTGATGCAGATATTCAGTACTACTATCCTAAAGTCCTTTACAGTAAAATCCAGCAATATCAAGAGCCAGTCTACAGGAAACTCTTTGGCTAGGTTCCCTGCTTGTCGACACTTATTAGCAACCTTGATGAAGTCAGTGTTTACTCTGAGATATGAACATGAATCAATTAGGTTACAAGTTGTTCTGTGTAGAACCACTTAACAAATGTAAGCTGTTAACCGGATGGTCAACTGATATTCTCACAAGGAATAAGTGCCATTGGGGACAAAACCTTGGTTTATAACTTTCTGTCGATTGAATCCAGTCTCGAATAGTCTACAGGATCGTATCACTTAACGTCTGATTATAAACGAGGTTGGTTGATTTTAAATTAACCCTAAGGACTTATCAATTGTATCAAGTGACATTTGGACGTCGACTTGTATAAAGCATAATTAGTTTTTGCTTGGTTGTTGGTTTGTTTGTATTAGGTTTCACGTGTATTCTATGTGTCTGTTGTTTGTGAGATTAGATTTAATGTGCGTAGTTTTTTTGTGTGTGTGTTAACCTCAATATAGCCTATTCTGAATTAAATCTCTTATTGATGAAACAAGTTTTTTTTAATTCTAGTGCGTTTTCTTCTTCTCTTCTCATTTCAGCTCATATTGCCAGAAATGAAGCTAACTTGTTGAATGTTGATCTAGGTGATCCAAATGATAAAGATTGTGATGGAATTCCTGATCATATTGACAATGATTTAGATAATGATGGAAAAATTGATAGAACACAAGATTCAGATATGGATGGTTTATTGAATCATGTCGATGACGATGATGACAATGATGGTAAAGTTAACAAAAAACATTTTATTGCTAGTTCCTGAGATTGGCTTGAATTTAAGTCACTTAATATTTGGATTAACGAACATTTTGCCGGTTAACAAGTATAGACAGAATTTTTAATATATTTGTGTGTTGAAGTTTCTGTAGCAGTTTGGTTAAGTTTTGGGGGTGGAGTTGCTAGCACCACGCCCAAACCCTCCCTCTTTATCCGGGCTTGGGACCTGCTAGAAAACTAGTGAGCTAGTAATCTAGGTGAGTTTCTTCTATACGGACCAGAAACTTGGCGGGTCACAAAGAATATTTCCAACAGCCTGTTGCACACCTTTATCAACAGCTGTCTTCGTTCTATACTCAGGATCAGATGGCCGGAAAGAATTACCAACAGGAAACTATGGGAACAAACAAAGCGAAAACCAATCGCCCAACAAATATGCAGGAGAAAGTGGAGATGGATTGGACACTCGCTGAGGAGGCCGTTGAGTGACATCGCGCATCAGGCCAGTGCTCGAGTGGAACCCGAAAGGGAAGCGGCGAGTGGGACGTCCAAGGGTGAAATGGAGGAGATCGTGTGAAGAAGAGTTGAAACAGTATGGACTAACATGGATGCAATTGAAAAGTACAGCAGAAGACAGAAGCAAGTGGAGGAGTGCAGTTGAAGCCTTATGTTCCACTAGGAACCCAATGGAACAATAATAATAATACAGTATAGATAGACAGTAAATGTCTCCTTACCTTTAAGATGTACACTTCAAAGGATATAAATGAGCTAAACATTTTTTTAAATGGATATTTTGATACTTCAAGAATTAACTATCAGCCGAATAACAAATTTGCCAAAATTTCATAATAGACATATACAGTTAGTGTCTGGCTCCAAACTGTAACGGTAGAAGACAAGAAACTTGGTAAAGGAATGTTTATTTGGTATTAGATATCTCTATACAACGAAATTATGTACGCCTCATCTCCAAATCACCATTTGCACAGATCTTCCGTGCTGTGCTTGGTACTTCTACCCTTCGTATTGTGTTTCTTTGTCTTCTTTTCATGACTCCCATGTTTCTCCACAACGCTGAATCATTCACTGTCTTTGAAGTCAAATCTATCACTCCACTATTTGATACTTTTATGTAGATGAACGTCTCTTTATATACTAATGATAAATCTTATCAGTAGCATACGCCACAAAATCACTGAAAATAAAAGAGTACTGAATATACGTTTCATCCTGGTTTGTGAGATTTTAATAGTATGCGCCTATGACCCCAAATGATAGTTAGTTGTTTGCCAAAACTGTGTTGCACCAAACATTAATTCAAAAGGATTCCCGTATTGGAAGATAAATGACCAAATGAAGCAATTCAAACCTCCCTGAAAATGACTGACTGAAAATTGAGGTGTTAAATAATGATAAACTCAATGAGAAGAAATATCTGAATACATAAAGAATCTTTATGGATATCTTTCATAAGAACAGTGTTGAAATCACTCAAGCTTTTACACGAGTACGCGTGAAAATCTCACAACTTCTTTCGTCAATGTATAACATATAATCACAGTTTAACTTGTTCACCAAATCACTATAAATAGTAGTCTTTTACACATTTGCACTGATTTCTGTAGCAATATCTTCATGGATAGAAATTCTTTTCTTGAAATAGCTGAAACCTTTTTTCTTCTAAGAAGCTTCAGTCTGTCAGTAATCACTGGCGGAAACAAGATTTTCTGTGAATCTGTTACCAATTTAACTATCTATTCTTAGTTTCAATTAGACCACGGATTAATATCACTTAGAGAACCATTGGAAACCAGGATGCACTGAACAGATGTTTCGTCCTAGTTTGAGACTCATCGGCTGTACGCACCCACTGGGTGGTGGCTCTAAAATCACGAATTGGTAAAAGTTAGAATTTATGGGCCATTGAATCGGGTCCCAGTGGCTAAATGGTATACGAGCTTGCTTTGTCACTGGAAGGTCTTGGGTTCGAAACCCAGTAGGCGCGTACTGCCTATGAGTCCCAGACTAGGATGAAACAGCTGTCCAATACTCCCTGGTTTTCCATGGTTCTCGAACTGATATCAATCCGTGTTCTAACCTGAAACAAATGGAATCCTTGCAAGCTAATTCTTGGAAATGTCTATTCTTAGTTGTATTGATAGAAATCTATACAACATGTGTACATTGTGCTTATTAAGCTCAACAATTCGATACTGTAGCGTTTCGTGGCACAATTTAATATAAGTCAGTCTGCAGAACACTTATTTCATCCAAACAGATAAGCGACCTTAGGCTATGCAGGTATTTTCAGTTTTCTGTTCATCATGACACAACTGACTACTGTTATCTTTGAGTATAAGTCTTCATACGTAAGTCGACTCACACAACAATTAATGATAGCATTTAATGCTTCTGGAAATCCATAAGGAAGTCGATCACTAATGTACACGTAATCAATCTTAAAGGGAATGACTTGTGAACTTTGTGACATTTTAATCAAACATCCAGTCGACTACGATACATTTACTCATAGCTACCTAACGATAAGGTATTGTTTTGTACTATGTGACCAAAATTTAAGCCTCTATTATGCCTATCGAAAAAAGGTGTAGAAATTCTTTCCTTCTGCAATATTGTTGAGTGGGAATCTGTTTTCTACTCCATGGTATACACAATCAGATGATGAAAAAGAATAAAATTTGCATAAATCCATTAATAACTGTAGATAAACTCATTTAATCTCTTCATTCGTTTTCTTCATTTCCCTATCTCAGGTATTCCGGATCCCTTAGATCCGGATGCAAACGGTGACGGTATACCAGATTGTAGACGTGATGGAGGTCTACACTATAAACTGGTGAGATCACCGTCTGGTCTAATAAAGAAAGTGTTAAGAATTCGTGAACCAACTCAAGAAGAACAGCATATGGCTTACATGGTGAATGAAGCTAAACGTAAATTGATACGTATTCGCGCTAAACTAGGTGAACCGGTGCCAAAGAATACAATTCAAGCTGTACCTTCTGTTACCTTCAATAATGCATATGGGGATAATCCTGACAATCCTAAAAATAACAATGATGGGAAAAAAATAAAAGCTAAGTCTACCAATACAAAAACTGTTCCGACAAATCCAACCGTAAAAAGTGATCATTCACACACACCTACAAGTGGAACACCAACCACCAAACAGTCAGCAAATAACAAACCTGCAACTGGTGGCATCGGAGGTGGGAAAAAATCACCAACACAAGCAGGAAAAAGTAATCCGTCCACTTTGAAACAATCAACACCAACAGCCTCAGCAGGTGAACATGGTGCAAAATCAGCCAATAAACGACAAAATCGTAAATTGGCAAATTATGTACCAAGTGAAACCGCTGATCCACTATATGCATTGAATAAAGATATTTTATTTGACATTCCAAGTATTGATGATATTAGTGATGGTAGAATAGAAGAAGAAAATGGTGATGATGATGATGATGGTGATATGAGTGTTAACTTGGCTGAACCTAATCTTAAAACATCAATATTTGGGAGTTTTTTACTACCAGGAGCAGCAGCTGATGAATCCACCGGACAACGTAGAACAAAAGCAATAAAAATGAAACAAAATGAAGGTGTACAAACGATAACAGCTGATAAAATGAAAGTTAAAAAGAAAAAGGTTAGAATAATGTTGAGTTTAATGTTTTGGGAATTTTACTTTTAAGCAGGTTGTACATCATAACAACAACAAATGAATAAGGCATTTAGAAGACAAATTTCGCGAGATGATATCATTTCGTAGTTTCTTTACAACCGCTTTACAACTAACATGGTTCACAATAATAAAATGAAATAAAAGGCATGACACCTACTCAGTTATATAAAACAAAAGTACATACTAATGACCAATCATATTTAAATAGGTCAAGTAGTCCATGGCAGACGAAGGTTGAAGTCTATTGTTTTTTGTACACATAGTTTAGGCTGTATGTGATTAATCCCCCAAAGTGTTTCCATCACCTTCAATAACCTTGAATTAGAGTTATGTGATGAAATAATTGTGAAACGTTCATTACTATTGACTGCCGAACATTTCCGATCCCTGTACCTACGATTAAAGGACGAAATTCTGTGGACTCTACTTCAAACTGTATCTACAAGTTCACCTGCAGTTGCGGTGACACTTGTATAGGTAGAACCAATAGAAGGTTCCAATGTCGTCGAAAACAACATGTTCCAAAATGGTTATTAAAACATTTAGAAAATCCCAATGCAATTAATCTGAACAGAAATCCAGCATCATCCATTGCAAAGCACTTATTAATATCAGGTCACAAAATCAATATTAATGACTTTCACAATTATTTCATCACATAACTCTAATTCAAGGTTATTGAAGGTGATGGAAACACTTTGGGGGATTAATCACATACAGCCTAAACTATGTGTACAAAAAACAATAGACTTCAACCTTCGTCTGCCATGAACTGACTACTTGACCTATTTAAATATGATTGGTCATTAGTATGTACTTTTGTTTTATATAACTGAGTAGGTGTCATGCCTTTTATTTCATTTTATTATTGTGAACCATGTTAGTTGTAAAGCGGTTGTAAAGAAACTACGAAATGATATCATCTCGCGAAATTTGTCTTCTAAATGCCTTATTCAAATTTATCAAAGGGACTAATTGTTTTAGTTTTGTACTTTTGTTATCATTGTCAAATTTTGATCACAGTTCATGAGATTCTGTTTATTTTGTTTTGATTTCTATTGATGACTGGAGAAGGATTTGAAAGACAAGATGACAGAGTTGACAACAACCTGATTACTCATTTCAGGCAAAAGTACAAATGATTGAGACGATTTCATCATGAGCTGACATCAGTTAGAGAACCACTGGAAAACGCAGAAGTACTGGTTAGCTATTTCGTCCGGGTTCGGGACTCTTCATCAGTGCCCACTTACCATGGTTCTAACCCTGGACGAAACAGTCCAGTCCAGTACTCTCATGTTTTCCAACGGTTCTCTAACTGATGTCAGCTCATGATGAAGTCCTGTAACCAATCAAATCAAATCCCTAAAAACCAGCACTTGCATTATGAAGATGATAAGTCATAATATAACTTACATCGAGGCAGACATGATACGATGAAGATGTTTGTGTGTGAAATAATGGCAAAACAGTGAAGGACAGATTAAGAAACAAGACTGCTATGTAATAATTAGAATAGCTAATCGAAAGTGTTAGAAAAAGAAACAGAGGTTAAAGAGACGGTAAGAGGACAGAACAAAAGGTAGAAAATGGAAACAAAAACTAACCGAGGCTATGCAAGGTGAACTAGAAAATCCATCTACATGCATAAATTACGCTTCAATCGCTGCTTGCTTTCTGCTTATCGTAGTAATCTACCACTACTCTGCCTATTTACCATCTGGAAAGTTCTGATGGAATCGATGACGTGACCAGTATCAAGGATATATCTACTAATAACATTTCTGAATGGCTTTGAACCGAATCATACTTGTTTAAACAATATGAATTCCATTTAATGTGAGATGCATCTGATAAAAAAAGTCATTTGTGACTTTTTTCATTTGTGAAATTTTTCTTCTGCGTGATTTCAAGGCTACTGAAATCAATCTTGTGACTTATTTGTTTCCTAGGTTAATTTGCATTTTCATTTGACTGACTATGTTGGACCAAAATAGTCAGTCTTTGTACACCCTGGATTCCATCACCATCATCCAAAATAAAATCTTCTGACCAGATTGTGTAGCGTGTAGCGTGGCCGAGTATTTCTCAACTTTTTCTAGTCCCATAGGGTTTCAAATGGTCAAATGTAGACTCTGTGATGTTCATTTTTTCTGATAAAGATTTCTCAAGAAGTTTCCACTGGGTCTACATGCTACACAATCAGGTCACAACAGTGAATATTGAAATGATTTCACTACAATACCAATAAAGAGGATAATCATACTTCAAAGGATAACACAAACATATTGGACAATGCGTAGAGTTAAATTTTTATTCTGAGTCATTATATGCACTAGAAAGAATAGAAAAATAAATATACATAGTTTGCCTAAGTGCTGGTGTGGTGAGAGCTGTCTACTAGCCACATTGGTAGACAGTAATTTACGTCAATATTTACGTCCCCAAGATTTGTCGTGAGAAAATGTGAACAAAGATTGATTCAAAACCGATCACAGCAGACTTTGCGTAGGCGGATGCAGTTAACAGATAGAGGATTTGACATTCAAGAAACAGTCACAAATAGATGAAAGATTAACTTTAAGTGAGAAACAACCAATCGGAAGACTGTGTTTGTTTGCTTAAATATCCATAGTAATGTACATGAAAATATATAAATATGCTTTGATTTCCTTAGTAAATGATCTGTTGCCTGACTCTTGCCTTCTGTCGTTACACTGGGTGTTTACATAACAGCAAATGACAAGTGATTTGACAGTATAATTGTTAGCCATAGTTAGCAGACGTAGGCTGGCATTTGATTAGTAGACTTTCACACCAGTTATTTTTCGCGATTAACAGCAGTCAACTACTGATTATTTCAAATACAATCAGTACAATAGGAGAGGCATTGTTCACGCTGAGGATGATAAAAGATATAAAAATAATTGAACATATCATTTACCAGGCACACAGCCCACTGAATAAAGTCATCTTCACATTTTAACGATTTTCCCCAGTTATCTTTATAAAGTGATGACTAAGCACCTAACTTAATTACGAAATGGAAATATTAGGTAATGCTATTTCTTACTCTTTTTCTGTTCACTTAGACAAACGACAATGATAAGTCCAAGAAGGATTCTTGTGATGCTCATTCATGCCGGAAGTCTAACATGAACCAACCAAATAATCAACCAGGCAAGAAACATGTTAAGTCAGGCTCTATTAAAGATTATTTGCACAAAAATGATGACGAATCATTAGACTTAGATGGTGACGGAATACCTGACCACCTGGAAGATGACGATGGTGACGGAATACCTAATTACTTGGAAGATGAAGACGGCGACGGCATTCCAGACAGTATGGAGGGCGATTCAGATGGCGACGGTATTCCGGATTACATGGAAGATGAAGATGGAGACGGTATACCAGATTATTTAGAAGATGAAGATGGAGATGGAATACCCGATTACTTGGACGGATGCGTTCACGGCAAACATAACGGTAAGTCTAAATTGGATAGGAATAGTGATGGAATTCCTCATTATTTAGAAAAAGATTCAGATGGCGATGGAATACCTGACCACCTGGAAGATGAGGATGGTGATGGAATACCAGATCATCTAGAGGGGGACTCAGATGGCGACGGAATACCTGACCACCTGGAAGATGAGGATGGTGATGGGATACCGGATTACCTGGAAGACGATGATGGCGACGGTATCCCTAACTATCTAGATACGAGACATGACAAGAGGCATACGAAAGTCCCGAAGCATATCGACAAGGATGGTGATGGAATACCAGATCATCTTGAGGGGGACTCAGATGGCGACGGAATACCTGACCACCTGGAAGATGAGGATGGTGATGGGATACCAGATTACCTGGAAGACGATGATGGCGACGGTATCCCTAACTATCTAGATACGAGACATGACAAGAGGCATACGAAAGTCCCGAAGCATATCGACAAGGATGGTGATGGAATACCAGATCATCTTGAGGGGGACTCAGATGGTGACGGAATACCCGACCACCTGGAAGATGAGGATGGTGATGGGATACCAGATTACCTGGAAGACGATGATGGCGACGGTATCCCTAACTATCTAGATACGAGACATGACAAGAGGCATACGAAAGTCCCGAAGCATATTGACAAGGATGGTGATGGGATACCAGATCATCTTGAGGGGGACTCAGATGGCGACGGAATACCTGACCACCTGGAAGATGAGGATGGTGATGGGATACCGGATTACCTGGAAGACGATGATGGCGACGGTATCCCTAACTATCTAGATACGAGACATGACAAGAGGCATACGAAAGTCCCGAAGCATATCGACAAGGATGGTGATGGAATACCAGATCATCTTGAGGGGGACTCAGATGGTGACGGAATACCTGACCACCTGGAAGATGAGGATGGTGATGGGATACCAGATTACCTGGAAGACGATGATGGCGACGGTATCCCTAACTATCTAGATACGAGACATGACAAGAGGCATACGAAAGTCCCGAAGCATATCGACAAGGATGGTGATGGAATACCAGATCATCTTGAGGGGGACTCAGATGGCGACGGAATACCTGACCACCTGGAAGATGAGGATGGTGATGGGATACCAGATTACCTGGAAGACGATGATGGCGACGGTATCCCTAACTATCTAGATACGAGACATGACAAGAGGCATACGAAAGTCCCGAAGCATATCGACAAGGATGGTGATGGAATACCAGATCATCTTGAGGGGGACTCAGATGGCGACGGAATACCTGACCACCTGGAAGATGAGGATGGTGATGGGATACCAGATTACCTGGAAGACGATGATGGCGACGGTATCCCTAACTATCTAGATACGAGACATGACAAGAGGCATACGAAAGTCCCGAAGCATATCGACAAGGATGGTGATGGAATACCAGATCATCTTGAGGGGGACTCAGATGGTGACGGAATACCCGACCACCTGGAAGATGAGGATGGTGATGGGATACCAGATTACCTGGAAGACGATGATGGCGACGGTATCCCTAACTATCTAGATACGAGACATGACAAGAGGCATACGAAAGTCCCGAAGCATATCGACAAGGATGGTGATGGAATACCAGATCATCTTGAGGGGGACTCAGATGGTGACGGAATACCTGACCACCTGGAAGATGAGGATGGTGATGGGATACCAGATTACCTGGAAGACGATGATGGCGACGGTATCCCTAACTATCTAGATACGAGACATGACAAGAGGCATACGAAAGTCCCGAAGCATATCGACAAGGATGGTGATGGGATACCAGATCATCTTGAGGGGGACTCAGATGGTGACGGAATACCCGACCACCTGGAAGATGAGGATGGTGATGGGATACCAGATTACCTGGAAGACGATGATGGGGACGGTATTCCTAATTACCTGGATCGTGATTTGGCTTCTCATTACGCAGGTGTCCTGTCACACAGATCTATTCTAGACGCTAGTGACTGTGATGATGATGGCGATGGGATTCCTGACCACTTGGAAGGAGATTCAGATGGTGATGGAGTTTTAGATTATCTAGAGGATTCAGATGGTGATGGTATTCCAGATTATTTAGAAGATTCAGACGGGGACGGCACTCCAGATTACTTGGATATTGATTCTAATACGCAGTTTTCTCCGAAGGCATTCAAACACTTATTGGTTAAAAAACGTGTTGATACTAACAAAGATGGTATACCAGATTATTTGGAAGGTGATGAGGACAAGGATGGCATTCTTGACTATATGGAAGACTCAGATGATGATGGAATACCTGATTATCTTGAGGATGCGGATAATGATGGGATTCCAGATTACCTAGATAATACTTTCAGTCCCAATCGAGTGATTAACTTGAAAATTGAAGATAATAATAAAAATGGCATACCTGATCACTTAGAAAGTGACTCTGATTACGACGGTATTCTGGATTATTTAGAGGATACAGATGGGGATGGTATACCGGACTATCTGGAAGACACTGATTCGGATGGTACACCAGATTATATGGATGAAGATGCAATTACTCAGTTCTCGCCAAGAAAAATACGTGGTAGAACTAGCGGTAAGAAATTCGCAGATGCCGATAAAGATGGTATACCAGACCACCTAGAGGGTGATATAAATCATAATGGTATTATTGATTACCTTGAAGATACTGATAATGACAATATACCTGATTACCTCGAAGATTCTGACAACGATGGTATACCAGACTATTTAGATGAAGATGCAACAACAAAGTTTTCACCTAAAGTTATTAGAAAACTAAAACCAACCAGGTTTTTTGCTGATATCGATGGAGATCACATACCAGACCATTTAGAAGGAGATAGTGATGGTGATGGAATACCTGATTACCAAGAAGATACAGACAATGATGGTATACCAGACTATTTAGAGGACAGCGACGGTGATGGTATACCAGACTACATTGATGAAGATGCTACAACGCAATTCTCACCAAAACGATATCGTAAATTACGCTCGAAAATGAAATTCGAAGATGACGACGGTGATGGTATCCCAGATCATCTACAAGGTGATTCAGATGGTGATGGTGTATTGGATTTTCTGGAAGATAGTGACGGTGACGGTATACCAGATTACTTAGAAGATACTGATGGTGATGGTGTACCTGACTATTTGGATGAAGATGCAAATAGCCAATTCTCACCACAACATTTTACTGATAAAAATAGAGATGGGATACCTGATCACCTAGAAGGTGATTCAGACGGTGATGGTACACCAGATTACCTTGAAGATACTGATAAAGACGGTGTCCCGGACTACTTAGAAGATTCAGATCATGATGGTATACCCAATTATTTGGATAATGATGTTGTTGATGTCGAAGTTGAAGCAGTCATTGAAGCCTATGATAAAGATACAAATAATAATGGCATACCTGATTATTTAGAAGATTGGGATGGTGATGGTAAACCGAATTATTTAGAAGATGAAGATCATGATGGGATTGCAGACTTCTTGGATAAAACAGATAATCGTTTATTAAGACACAAAAATAAGAAAAAGTTTAAAAATCGAAGAAGAAATGATAAAAATGCTAATTTCATCCCAGATCATCTAGAGGCTGATTTAGATGGGAATGGTATTCCTGAATATAAACAAGACACTGATTGTGATGGTATACCAGATTATTTAGATGAAGATTACCTGCACAGCCTGCCCAAATCATTAAGACGCTCGACAAAGAAAACAACAACAAAGGGGAAAAAGAAATCTTTACACAAAATTAAAGTCGTCAATGCAAAGCAAGATACTGATAAGGATGGAATCCCTGATTATTTGGACAGTGATGCAGACGGTGATGGAGTACCAGACAAGGAAATAAAACGTACGTATAATTTTTATCAAGATATTTTTTGTGTGTGTTTTGTTTTCTATTTTAAAGTAGAATATTAATAAAAAAGGGAATGAAAGCAAATTTATATCTGATTCCATATTAGTTTGTTTATTAGATATATCACACAGTGAAACAGTATTATTTATTGGATGACGTCTCGAACACAATTTACTGTTCATAATCACATCAGTTATAATCACACGACTTCGAAACTTGAGTTTTATAGTTTTCTTTGTTCTCTGCTATTTGTCGTCATTGGGGTAGTAGAATTCTCCAGATGTCTGGGATAGGTGGAGGCAATTCAATTCACTCATGAATTGGAAAGTCAGGGAGGGGAGCTACTAGTGTCAGACTGTAGCGTAAGAAGGAAAGAAGATGCGAAGTTAAACACTAGTTTTGCAGGAAACTCACACATTCAAACCGATATTTGAATTTCCGATCATCCCACCCTATGTCAGTAAAGATAAAACTGGTGAAATGCTAAAGTAATAGGGCACAAAAACTAAGTAACGAGGAAAATCTAAGACAGGATGTGAGGTGTATAAGAGAGGCTTTAAAACTTGATAATCACCCTGATAAATTAATCAGGAAGTATGTAGGAAAATGTAAAAGTAAAGTTAATGATAATAGTAGTGATAGTGATAATAATAATAACAACAAAATTAATGTCGACATGCTTATCAAACATGCACAGGATAATGACAATACCAACAATAAGGAATCTAAATCATCAGTAGTAATTCCATACAAGGAAGGAACCTCCGAAACCTTACGCAAAATTCTTCACAATGCAGGAATAAAAGTGGCATTCAAACCCACAGACTCATTTAGATACAGGCTCTCTCGGTTAAGCGATCCTGTGGAGCCAATTAAACAAAACAATTTAGTTTATCTAATACCCTGCTGGAATGATTGTCAGGTCAAATACATAGGTCAAAGTAGTAGAACGGGGTCAATCAGACTAGCCGAGCATAAAACCCTAGCGAAATCTAGACTAGTTGGGCCTAATAAGATAAGAAATCTGAGGAATAGTTCAGCTATAGCACTCAGTGCATGCAATCACACACAACACAACCATACAATAGGATTGGATAAGATGACAGTTCTAAAACCTAACATGACAGGATGGAGGGAGAGATTGATAACGGAAGCTTTGCTTATCGAATCAACTGCAAACACGTGTAATAGGAATGATTCAACACCTATCCCAGACATCTGGAGAATTCTACTACCCCTACGACAAATAGCAGAGAACAAAGAAAACTATAAAACTCAAGTTTCGAAGTCGTGTGATTATAACTGATGTGATTATGAACAGTAAATTGTGTTCGAGACGTCATCCAATAAATAATACTGTTTCACTGTGTGATATATCTAATAAACAAACTAATATGGAATCAGATAGAAATTTGCTTTCATTTTTACACCCTGCTGATTTTATTCAAAATACTATCCCAGCTTCTGTTAAAAAATTTGCAGTACTACCACTTAAGTACTCACTCTGCGCTTGTTTACAACTGTTTATTACTTCAAAGCAGTTTCTGCCCTGAAGTGAAAGCAGATAGAGAATTACAGAAAACCAGGAAGCAGTGGCCATTTGAACACTTGTCGTAATACACACACACATAGCCTTATGCACTGTACATGCCTAGATCACTACGTTCCACAGTTAACAAGTTACTATTCGTTCACCAGGTTGGATTTCAATGACTTATGGTTTCCGATCTCGCTTACAGATGTAGTTTATGAAAGTTGTTGTAGGATGTTGAATCTTATCAGATCTATCGTAAGGAAAATAATTATGATCTTAAAGAAACAATCTGTTAAAGGACTTCAGCTACTTATCATTGATATGAATTGGTTTGTGGATCAGTTTACCATCCTTGTATAATTAGTTTAAATCCTCATTAAATTATTTTTATTTGTTTACTGCGGAGATTAGCCAGAGCATACGGAGAGGTAGATATTGCTTAAAAGTCCAAACTGCCCATAGTGCGTGAATTCCGCGAATGGCTATGGACCGGTTAGATTATTTCACCACACCCGATAACACCACAGAATTTAAACAACATCCCAGTGAATCTGATTCGGCTTTAACTACTGGTGATGTTTAGTCTATTTCTTTTCCAAACTATAGGAATTTACTCTTTGTGTTATTCAGATTTTAATGTATGACAATCCATGATACCGCCTTGTCTCAAAGTAGAACTAAATCAGTTTGCATTTTTCGACCCTATAGTTAGGAGTGCTAAAATCTACTTACTTACTTTACTTTGGCTATCTCCTACGGGAGGATGAGCCGGCTTCATGAACATCTCGAATCATCGCTGCCCAGGCGCGGCGATCTGATGCAAGGTTTTGCGACAGGGTTATCCAGTTCTTGTTCCACAGACGGAGTCCGTAGACGGTTTATAGCCCCAGGCACTCCATATCAGCCTTGACTGTACCAAGCCATGTTTTCAGCTGTCCACCCTTGCGACATCGCCAAGATGGTAATGGCGAGGGATTTAGAACTGATTTGACCAGATCGTCATCTGGTCGGCGCAGAACATGGCCAAACCACCGAAGGCGACGTTGTTGGACCAGTACTGGAATTTGGTTGATGTTGTAGCAACGACGACGCACTTCTTCGTTGGAGAGTTTGTCCTGCCAACGAACATGCAGAATGTACCTGAGTCACCAATGGTCTACTACCTCGAGTCTGCGTACATCTTCCGCGCGAAAAGGCCAGGTTTCACAGCCATACAGGAGAACGGATCGTGTGGAGGCTTGGTAGACCCGAATTTTAGTCCTGAGACTGATTTCCCTCTTGCTCCATAGAACGCTCCTCAGCTGTAGAAACGCTTACCGGGAACGCCGTAGCATGGTGAGAATCGTTTGTAAGAGAGTTCATGAAGTTTCATGGGAATTCGGTACGAGCGATGTCCCCAGAATCGCTCGGCCTTTTGTTTGAGAGTGCAGCTCTAGTCTTTACACAACCAAGTGTGACCTACAAGGCAGTAGGAGTGGAGTAGGGAGTCCACTATCCATTGGCAGCCGGTGACCGGAGTTCGGTTCATACGGCTTTTTGAATGGGGCCAGACATCCAACAAGCCCTTTGTCCATACGTCTGCCGGTGAGCTCCAGTGAGCTTCATACGCCAGTCGTTGGAGGTTTGGAATGAGGGTTTAGCCATCTCCCCTAGACTGTCATCCAATGGACAGTCAACCCGGTGAAGAACACCGGGCATCCGCTCTCGCCCTCTCACTTTGGTGAAAAACACCTCCACCACGTGAAGGCAGTGAGTAGGACTTCCTCAGGAGAGGCTATGTAAGACGCCCGGTCATATGGGAGCATTTCAAGAGGTGTTCGGAGGGATGGCCAACCCGCAGCGCAAGGCACCCATCCCCGACCATCCTGAGGCTTTGGAGGCCGAGAGTAAAAGACTTGTTGCTACGCTATTCAAATACATAGGATTATGAATGAATCAGAGTTGGGACACATTTAAACAAATGCATTTGAATAGCCAGAAAACATGTCCTATACTATCAGAAGAAAATCAGGAAAAGTATGGTTGGAAAATTGCTAAAAATACCAAGATTAGATTTTATAATACTGACAAGGATAGGAAAAATACCAGAAAACCTTCGAATTTTGAGAAGATATACTGCAAGCATTAAGACTGTGTCATGATCAGAAGAATAGGATGTTTTACAAGTAAACGAAAATAAGCCCTTAATCTAATTTCATGGACAACCACTGAGAAATAACACTGCTCTGTATCAAAAGACTCAGCTATTTGTACTGGAGATACACAGTGTATCGACATATACTTATATCCACAGACATAAAGTGTCTGAAGTCCCTTATTTATCAGCAAACTACATTCAAATGAATTTATAATCAGTCAGAATTTCACAAATTTCATAAAATCTTACCCTCTGTTTCATTTTTTCCAGTGGCTGATCGAAATCACAATGGGATCCCAGATCATCTAGAATTGATTGATTCAGACAATGATGGAATAATTGATTTGTTCGATGATGATGACGATAATGATGGAATTCCTGATGATGAAGGTATTTCGCACTAAAAGTATATGTAATTTAAAGCAAAAACTTTTCCCCCCACTTCAAAATACGCTACCAAAATGATGCTGAATGGCTTATTAATATTATGCATTTGTATATCCTGTACAAGAAGTGTTTCTAATGTATGCACGATTTGAATGATTCATCCGTCTTGTGTCAATTCCACGTAACTGAACCACAAAAATGCTGTTCATACTGTTCGTCAACGCTCAAGATATTTACATCTATATTTCGTCGAACAGTTTCCCCCCTGACCTGTCCTTTCCAGTTTAGATCCACCGTATACTCTGTCATCAGTTATCTCTCAAACCTTCTATTGTTTATTTTCAAATAAAGATGAATAAAAATATCTTAGCTGTAACCTCTATTCTCTCCTGTCTTTTTATTCCTGTTCCTCTCTATCTGATTTCATAAAGTTGAAAAACACTAGTTTTCTCCTTTATGACTACTTCATCTAATGCTTCATCCTCCTTTCTGACCTCTTTGTTTACTACAATCTACCTAACAAGGATAATAGCCGTCTTCAAGAAAGAAAGAAAAATAAGCACTAGTTTATCCATTTATCACTTCACTTCTACAAATTTTAAACTGTGTAACCGCATGTCTTATTTGTGTATTTGCTGCGTGCCTCAGTGTTCATGTCTTTGCTTCCCCACCCCACCCCCAACAATCTCCCCTTGTATTTCTGTTCTCCATATTTGTTCAGTTTACTTGTGCCTATCGAATGAGATTGATACAACCAACCAACCAAACAAACAAACAATAAATTTGCATGTACTAACCTATATGTGTATTATTTACTGATGTTTATTTTGAGAAAAATGAATCAATTCCCCTTTGTGAAATGATGAAATCAGTTTATTTGTCTAAATATTCCCTAGGACATTGAATATGTCCTGCAGTTGATGCTCATTTGATATTTATTATTGTTTACCTCCCCAGTTCCCCCTCCTAATGAGAACGTTTCTAGTACTACTATTTATTTTTTTAGTTAATATATTTGACTAGAATTCAATAAAATAGCTAGCAAATGTTTAAAATCAAAAAATTTGATAAGAATTCAACTTCAAATTTTGTTTTACTCTTTAAAGAAACGATATACCAATTTGTATTTACACTAATAATATGATACTTACATAGCGATTCATCGACTGTGCAATAAATACACAAACATATACTTTTCGCAGTAAAAGTTTATAGATTAGTCATTTGGTTAATTGTGGCTGGCAGTGGAATCCAGAATGTGTAATTCAATCTGTTTGGGACTTGTCAGCTAGATGTAGATTCAGCTAGCAAGTGCTTGTTAGAGAGGAATCTATTACTAGGCATATGCGCATTAAGCTGTAAATCATATATCTTGTGAAGAAATGAAGGCAAACTTAGATCTGATTGGATGAAGTTAGATTCCATGCCATAAACTGATAGTTATTTCCAATGCTGCTCTAACCGATGTCAGTTCACATGATGAAATCCTGAAAAATAGACATTGGAAATACTTTTCACAATCGATGCGTCTTTTGTTTGGCAATCTCCTTATTATGATCATTGTATGAATACAGGTGCAGAGTTGAAGCTAACAATGTGAATCGGTCAAATTTCTTAAATAACTTATAGTGTTGTTATTGTGGCAGTCATAACTGAAACATGACATTCATCGGAACTCTTCATCCTAAGGATAATTACTTTGTAGTGGAAGAGTTCCATATGAAATGCTGTTTCTTGAAGTTTATAGATGAAAAGATCTAAACCAGATGTAACACATTTCTTAACATATAGTTGGATGATTTTATTTAGTGAAATCATACCTACAAACTTCCCTCCTTTCATTCCCTCTCACTACTCTACACTAAGGCGTAGAAACAACTTAATCGTTCGCTATTACTGTCATTATTATCTTTAAGAGTTAAGCCATTTCAAAGGTTATCATTAAACACATGCAATTTTGGTCAAATACTATTTTTAGAATGTGTTTTGTATTTTTTTTCATTTCTCTCCTAAATTAGACGATGACGATGATAATGACGGAATTAAAGATTATCAAGAAGATGCAAATAATAATCAAATATTGGATATTTTTGAAGCTAAAGACACAGATGGCGATGGTATTCCCGATTATCTAGATGACGATGATGACGGAGACGGTATACCTGATTGTGATGATGATGACGATGATAATGATGGTGAGTAATTCCTTTCAGTCATAGGTCTTTAGGCAACTGATGATATTTGATCTTCCCTTATCTGTTTACATATCTTTCTGTTGTTTCTTCGAAGAAAGTGTAATAATCTAGATGGTTCAGTCGTAACGCTTCTCATGATTATTTAATATATAATGTGTGTTAGAATGTGAAACAACGTATAACTTCCCCTAAGGTTGTAAATGTACAATCAATACTGGTGTTTGTCATATTGGGGAAAAGCCAATTTAGCGGTTTCCCGATGACTTCTAGCATACACCTAACACTGAATACAACTAATCATAGTGTTTTTCTTTATTTAGCTAAGAAACTCTACTGTAGTCTTTAATGATTGAACTTCAGTCAATACAAGAAGGTAAACTGTAAATTTAGATAATATTCACAGAAAGATAGTCTTTATACATTAATTTGTTTTGAGTTGTGTGTTATGTTATCACAGCTACTAAGCTCTTCCACACTTTAAGCTTTTCTGTCTATTGAGAGCGTTTTTACTCTTATAAAGGTCAAATTTCTAAATGGATTGTAGATTACTCATACTGTCAAAAGTAATAATGTGTATTAATAAACAACTGTTATGTGTTCACCATTTGTATTCCAGTTACATAAAAATCCATATATATACAGTTATGCATAGATTGGAAAGTATAGGCCGTGGAACTTAGAGACAGAACTTTGACAACCACTTAAGTCCTAAGACAACTGAGTGGTTGTCTTAGTTTGATACTTCTCAGTGGTATGAACAGACCATCCAGTACAGGACTAAGCTGAGAACCCCCCCCCAACCCTGCAATGAGTAATTTGCTCATTGGTATTTGTTTCCTATGGTTTATGATATTTGAATTCTAACAGTTTATAAGATACAGTGACCATCATCAGATATTATATATTAGTAACCACCTTCAAAAACAACGATTAATAGTTTTGTGCACCCTAAATGACACAGAAGTCTTAATGTATCCAACGAAACTTTATTACTACTTATATCATTTCAGTAGTTGAGGATAGCCAGTTACACTAAATAGTGAAATTATCAGGAGGCCCAAAACTAATTACATTGAACGAGACCACAACATGTGACATTATATTTAAAAGTCAGGTCTCAAAGTCAAAAAATTTACGATAGCACTAATGATTAAGACGAAAAACATACTTATAAAGGGATGAATGAACTTGACTAGAAGGGGGAAGTATTTGACTACCTGAAACAACGAAAAAAGTTACAGTTTAGGATCCTGGTCAGGTGGTTTTTAACGGGAATTTTGTTGATACAGTTTAACAGCTGAAAAACCATTAACATGTCATAAACATCACTGTACGATAAGTGATTTTTAAATCATTTGTAAATTTACAATCCATTATATCAGCTGACTTAACGAAAATTCAAATGAAGGTAAAATTTGAATTCTGTGATAAAGTATAATTTCACATTGGATAAGTTTACCTGATATAAATTAGTGAAACAATATTATTGAGTTATTATTACTATGCCTTATAACAAATAAACTTAACGAGGAGCTGTCTTTGTGTGTCGGTACCATTTCATTTTCAATGTTACCTATGTGTGCTGAAGTATTAACCTAATTCTGTTTGTTACTTTTAACCAAGTTGCAGTGACTAGTCATAATCCTCTGAGTGGGTTTGCCTGAGGAAAATATAAACAGACATGTCAACCTGAGACCGAGCACTTCGGTCCAATCAATCGACGGGAAAATCTAAAATTCAATTTAATTAATATGACCCGTTGCACGAGAGGTGGCTTTCGTGACCCAAGTGGTCTAGTGGATAACGCTTTGGCGTTTGAAACTATAGGCACTGGGTTCGAGCCTCGATGGGAACATCATCGCTCACTAAGAAATGCAGGTACATCCAGATGACGAGTCCCAAATAGGACGAAATGCGCATCCTGGATTCCACTGCTAGTCACCATCCACCAATTAGATGACACTGTTGGTTTTTAACATTGACTAAATGTCTATCGTAATTCTGGTTTTAGTTAAAATAGAAAATTAATACTATAATCCCTATTATTCTTGCGTGATTAATGCTAATTGGCGAACACAATAGATTATTACTGGATGACGTTTCGAACATAATTTACTGTTCATAATCATATCAATTATTGTAGGATTAAATTTGCCTACAGGCTTTAATCCTCAATATCAGTACTGACGATAGGTGACTGAACGCAAACTTTATCTGTAGCTAAAATATGGGGGAAATAATACAGTTTGTGCTCGAAATGTCATCAGTTAATATTACTGAATAACACTGTGTGATTTATCAAAATAAAATCTTATCCATAACGGAGGAAATAATACAATTACACAAAGATAATAACAAAAATGCAACTGTCCTTCAAGGGAGGACAAAGACATACCGAACAGGATTCACGTGTGGTACAAAGTGGTTGGTGAATTACATTTCCGTACATATAAGAAATGGAATACAATACTCATTCAAGGTCAACCACCAGTAGTGGTAGTTTACATTAAAATAACCAATAATCACATGATAATCACGACCGAAAAGGTTATGTGACACTGATTGGTTGACTGTCATTCAGTCTATCTATCGACATAAACAATTATAACTACACAACTCCGGAAATTGAGTTTTATAGCTCTCCTTATTCCATCTTATTAACTGTAGGCGTAGTAGGATTTTCCAGGTGCTGAATCATTTGTATTACACGTATTTTCAGTTGATTCGATAAATAAAGCTTCCGTTACCAGTTATGTTAGGTTTTATAATTGCAGGGTTTGAATGCCACTTTTATTCCTGCATTGTTAAGAATTCTGGATAAGGTTTCCGAGGTTCCTTCTTTATATGGAATTACTAGTAGGGATTTACATTCCCTACTGTTGTTGTCATTATCCTGCGCATGTTTGATAAGCATGTCGTCATTAATTTCGTTGTTATTATTATTATCACTACTATTATTATTTATTTTACTTTTACATTTTCCTACATACTTCCTGATTAATTTATCAGGGTGATTATCAAGTTTTAAAGCCTCTCTTATACACCTCACATCCTGTCTTAGATTTTCCTCGTTACTTAGTTTTTCTATTCTATTACTTAAACATTTCACCAGTTTTATCTTTACTGACATAGGGTGGGATGATTGGAAATCCAAATATCGGTTTGAATGTGTGGGTTTCCTGTAAACACTAGTGTTTAACTTCGCTTCTTCTTTCCTTCTTACGCTACAGTCTAACACTGGTAGCTCCCCTTGCTGACTTTTCAATTCATGAGTGTATTGAATTGCCTCCACCTTTGAGTTGATGTGTTCGAGAAATCCGTTTATGTCCTGTATTTTAAGTACAGTGAATATGTCGTCTGCATATCTTCACCATACTTTTGGGGTGGAGCTGAACATTTCAATCTCTGTTTTCCCACCTATCCATGATATGTCTTCCACAATTGGGGATACTGGCCACCCCATGGCAACTCTCTCAGTTTGTTTGCATATTTTCGCTTGGAATTTCAATACTGTTGAAGTCAGGCATAGCTTCACCCCTAGCATTATGTCTTCTAGTGGCACCTTTGTTCTAAGTTCAAGTTCTTGTTGAGGAATGAGTTCGTTTCTGACTGCCTCTATAGCTATACTTATTGGTATTGTTGTATATAAACTGACAATGTCAGAACTAACCAATTTTTCCGCACTATTTAATATTAAATTATCTAATCTATGACTTTGTTCATCAGAATTTGTGAGTCTTGATTGTGAGTGGCTTCTAAGTGGACTGAATCCCATAGCTAAATATTTATACAGTTCATAAATAGGCGAATTTGTAAATTCAACTGTAGGTTCAATATCTGTTTATTTATACACTGAACCAACTGAAAATACGTGTAATAGAAATGATTCAACACCTGTCCAGCCGGACATCTGGAAAATTCTACTACGCCTAGAGTTAATACGAAGGAATAAGGAAAGCTATAAAACTCAAGTTTCGGAGTTGTTTAGTTATAATTTGATATGATTATGAACAATAAATTGTGTTCGAAACCTCGTCATCCAGTAAATAATACTGTTTCACTGTGTGATATATCTAACAAACAAACTATTATAGAATTACATACTACCAAAGTTTTACACCTATATTAAGTAGTCTATAACTTATTCTAGAATCTCCACTAGTTAATTCACAGCTCTTATCACATGTTCACATGATATTTGATCATATACCATCTATACACATTTTTATAGATACCTGTTTCTACTTAGGTTCAAAATATCCCTGTGATGACTAAAAACAACTTTCAATACTTAACACTCATCACTGTCTTTGTGTGCGTCGGTGGCACAGCGGTAGAGTGCTCGCCAACCACGCAGGTGGTCCGGGGCTCAACCCCCGGCCGACGCACTCCTTTACCTCTCTAAGGCGATAGTAGGGCTAGAAAAGAGGGACGGCTGGGCATGAGGCTAGCAACCCCATCCTGTAAAAACAACCACCACTGCTACAGAAACTTCAAGCCTCTAGCTTGAAGACCTATGTTCCACTGGGAATGTAAATGAATTTTTTTTAAATTACTGTCTTTAGTGTTGTTAGTAAAAACAAAACAGGCAGTTCAGCGAAGAGGTTCTTTTAGGCGAATTCATTTTCTCTAGCTGTATAATCGCATTTATATACATTTTTTTATGAAAGACGATAATAGCAAAAATGATGAGTTGTCACAAACACAACTGGTAACACTAGTCAATGCACAAAAGGAGCTGAATACGTATAATATAGTTAAGTAATAAAGTGAGTAGAGTGAGTGTACATAATTTGCAATCAGTTTGCACGTAGAAAAGAAGGAAAATATGGAAGTATCTAAGATTTTTAAAGAAATACAAGTGTTATAAGGAGTTTAAAAAAAATAGCAAAAATCAAGTCAGTAGAAATCAATAAGGTTGTTACCATGATAGCAGAAATGGTTGAATAATTTTCTGTTGTGTGCATAGCTCCAGCTGAAGCTTCAGCAATGCACAAAGGGACGAGAGCGTATTGTCTTTAGCAGGTTATTCTTCACTTTGTCGATTACTTTGAAGGATGTAATTCACTTTAGTAACAATATTTTTCTAGGGAGTGTATAATGAGAATGATCATTACTTGATTCCGTCCCCCACCCCTGTACTCCACCAGCATTGTCATATTAGCATTAGTGAACAGAAGTTATTGTGATTAGCGTGTAATTTATATAATCGGTCAATAGCCTTTACGAAATTTTTTTTTCATCATTAATAACGCATAAAATGAGTTTCTCACATGTTTGCTGTGCATCACTTATTATGCGTATACGAGAGCTTAACTTCTTCATACCAGAATTAGCGATATCGATTGTCTGTACTATCCTCTAAGGTCAATTCAGAGCAAGCCTTTTGTGTCAATATTTGGTTTTATTTTGCTTTTGATCAATCAATTGTACTATGAACCAGATGGTGATGATGACTAGCATTTTATTATAAACTCGGCTTAGAGAATATAAGTAGGGTTTCATAGTCATAGATATATCCAGTAACCAGTCATATATTAAGTTTACAATACACATATGCCTTTGATTAGCTAGTGCAGTAAATAGACTTAGTGTTACCAACACCTTTGCAACACTTCAATCTGAACATTTTATTTTGCGTGCATTATGACAAATACGCTATCTAACTAAGAATCAAGTGAGGTATATTACTAATTACTGCCATTTAGTAGTGTAACAACAGAAGACAAGGGTCAGGCAACAGATCGTTTACTAAGGAAAATCAACACATATTTATAGATTTTAATGTACATTATTGTTAGTAGAAAATACAGTCCTTTGATTGGTTGTTTCTCACAGAAAGTTAACCTTGCATCTCTTTGTGTCTGTGTCAGATCATCCATATGCTAACTGTATCCGCCTACGCAAAGCCTTTCTTCTCATTTTCTCACCACGAATATTGGGGACATAAACATTGACATCAATTACTGTCTACCAACTTTGGCTAGCAGCCAGCTCTCAACACAGTAGTAATAATAAATATGTTCTTTAAAAAAATCAAAAGACTAAGTCTTGATTGGGTAGTTTCTGTGACATATATCAGTCAGTGAGTTTGAATGCATCGGTGGTTCAATGGTAGAATGACTGCCAACCACTTGGGAGGTCCGCCTTTCATTCCCTGTGGATACACCCCTAAACACTGCCTAGTTTACCAGTCTACAGTAAACCCGGAAAAGACAGAAGGTTGGAAGTGAGGCTGGTAACTTCACCGATTTAAAAACAACACTCCAGTGCTGCTGTGAAAAGTTCAAAGGTTTGAAGCATGGAACACAAAGTAACGTAAAATATAATTATGAGTTCATCTTATAATGTGTTTCATCTTTCACAATGACCTGCCATGTATCTATCTTATTTGTATATCCAATTATGCTATTCATTAAAACTACTTGAGTTGTTCTTAATAGAAAATTAAGATCAGTAGCTCTAAGTTCACCGAGTATTTATGATATAATAAGATTCAAATTGAATACCAGCATGAATGAAGTTAATCAAACATCCTGAAGTGTTAGAATTATGCACACAATTTAATAATATTTTCTAAAAATGAAAATCAATAAACAACAAGGTTTTACTCTCCAGCCTGGTCATCATACTTTTATCCGATCAATAAAAGTGCTTCAGTTCCCTCAAACTTCATTAAAGACAACAATTTCAGGAGTATATATTTTGTATTACTCTCATAAAATAATACGTTATTTCGTTTGATATTGATTTAAGCGAGGATATAAGGCTGTATTCCCAAAGTTTCAGTAAGGTTTGGTAGAAAATTATAAGAATAAAAACAGGCAAGTTTTTCTTATCTGAGATTTGGCAGTAAAATTACGACAAAATAACAAGGTCAGAAGGTGAAATCGTACTCTTGGGTACACTGTAGTGTACAAAACAATAATGTACGGCCTAAAGCAATAAACATAGCTAGACAGTAATGTCATTCATTAACTGAATGGAGAATTTAGAAAAAAAATCCACTCTGCACTCCATTCTATCCTATGAATTCTTAGTGTGGCATATGCTGCTGATGAAATTTATCAGTAGTATGTAAAGAGACGTTCATCAACATAAAAATAGCAAGTAGTGGAGTAATAGTTTTGACTTCAAAGAGAGAGAATGATTCAGTACTGCGGAGAAATACGAGAGTCACAAAAAGAACACAAAGAAGCACAATACGAAGCGCAGAAGTTGTACAACAGGGAAGATTTGTGCAAATGGTGATTTGGAGATAAGCAGTACATAATTTCACTATGTAGAGATACTAAATTCCAAATTCCTTAACCAAGTCTCTTGCCTTCTACTGTTACAATATTTATAACTCGACTTCTGAATAAGGTGAATTATCTTCAGCAATGAATTGTCTTTCACTGGTGTTTACGTATGTGTTATACCTCAAACACACTTTTAGATGATTATGATGGCACCTTCATTGTTTGGCTTCTAGAATCTTTAATAAAACTTTAATTTCTTTTAATATCTAAAGGTATACTGGATATACATGAAGACGAAAATAAGAATAAAATTCCTGACTACTTAGAAACTGGAGACTCTGACAATGATGGTAAATTTAACTTTATATTTCGTTTATCTTTTATGATACATCTGTTTTTTCTTCTAATAATTACTAGTTTTTGGCTAACATTATGCGAGAATTGAATAACACCAGTCAGTATACGAATGATGCATTTTTTTACCTGGTCTCTTGTTCTATGGGATTACTTCAGCCTTAATAAGCCCACCACTTCAAAATAAACGACATTTCTTTTAAATTTATAAGCACTGAATAATACATATGACCATCTGCATGTACATGTATCACGAAATGAGAAGTTATTGTGCTTGCTTAATGTCACAACATGGTAGGAGAGAAGATCAACGGACAACCTGTGCCGTTGGTAATGTGTTGTACATGTTGCGTTGAAGGTTATTGATACTGTCAGATCTTAGGGTTCGAGTTACTAAGCCTAACAGTCCTATGCTTACTAGAAACCTTTTAAAGCAGAGGTCCCTTGAAGTGCTTTATGAGTATTCATAAGAGGTTGAGTCAACTGAGTTGGGTATGAAGACAGTTACTCACGGATGACATAAGATAATGTTTGATCTATATTGTGAATAAATCATAAAATGATCCCTACAATATCAGTCAACCTTCGATCCCACCAAACACAGAGCCTCTCTGTGAATGTGGGTAAAAAATGACTTAACTTTCATGAAAAATCTGTCCTTCGCTATTCAGTTATTTATTGATTATTTAGCTAACGTTAATTCAAAAAATAAGGGAGATAATCTGATAGTAAATAGACAGTAAGGTAGAAAGAAATACAGTACTGTTCCCTTCAATAATATTCTTAATCAGTTCCATCTGTTTATCTGCCTATATCTAGGAATAATTGATCTTCTTGACACAGATGATGACAATGATAATATACCAGACTATTTGGACAGTGATTCAAATGGAGATGGTATAGAAGATGATAAACAAGATCGAAATCGTCTCAAACTTACTGTTTCAAAGAAATTGTCTGAAACAAGTAAATACGTTTGTTGAAACTTAATTAATCCAACATACATTTTGTATGCACATGACACATAGTATAGTATGTGTGAAAGAGAGGGAGACAGATAAACGGGAATCAAATAAAAACACTGTTGACTGACTGTCTCTTTAATCTGCTCTTTTGAAATAAACAAAGGCATTTCGGTTATGCCTACCCATCTCATCTAGTTTCCGTCTATGCCTCTGTGATATATATGCATATCCACTTACTACTGAGTTGCTGTGTGTTGATGATAAAAGGTACAAATGTCGAAATGGAATTTTACATGTGCTGTACAACTGTCGATCTAAATTAAGTTACCTCTCAGAACACTTTGTTTCGACGTCAGATTCAGACTCAGATAGGATCTGGATGTGTTATAGTATAAAGAGACGAATTAATGATACATTTTAATGATAGAACTCAAAATCGATTAAAGTCAAGCCGATTTACTTACTCTAAGTTTCCATCAAAATCAGGAGGCATTTTATTAGATTTTATTTGTTTGTATATGTGAACGAGATTTTACAGATAAGTGAATAGACTTACCAAAAAACGGACTCTTTATTCCTCTTCTCTTTTTTTAATGTCTTAACGGGTGTCTTTCGTAAATTTATCTGTCCTGTCTTGTTTGTGTGACATCTTAAACTTTTATGCGGAAATCTTTATTTGATTTTCCATCAATTTATCTGCCTATGTACATAAAATCCCAATTAGTATTCCACATTAAATAAAAATGAAAAAAAGAACCCCGTTATGTTGCTGAAAGTTATTTAATAGTACAGTTCATTACTATTCTGAAAATACTACTTACTGTTGAATTTACCTGAGATGGTATCAGTATGACAGACTGATGTTAGTGTGATAAAGTTTAATTTACGAAGAAGCATAGATCACCAGACAGTTTAAATCAGAGTGCTCTGAGTTATTTGTCTGTTATACCAAACTGACCAGTTAGAACCAGCTACTGACAGACCATCAGTTTCACTTCATTCATCTCTTAGAGTTATATCCATCCATATATGAAAGTAAAAGCTAATCACGTCAGTCAGTAGACCGGTAACTTCAAGGAATGCAGTTTGAACTTTGCTATGATCTAGGATTTCGTTTTAAAACCATTCATCATTGTATTGTACCCAACTACTTATCTGCTTTTTTTTTATTCATTTCAGTAAGGGGAAGCAAATCGCCAAGTAAATCAGCCTCGTCTCAGCCTAAATCAACAGTAAAATCAAAAAGTACAGCATTGCCGAAAAAGGTTGGAAAACATACAGTTGATGATGATGACGATGATGATGATGAAGATGAGAAGCCATCTAAAAGGAAAGATAGTGGAGTTGGAAGTGATGATGATGATGACGAGACAGATGATGCTGAACATATGTCAAAAGCTCGATCTATAGTTCTTTCCATACTTAAACGAATTGAAAATTTCTTTGGAGTTGAAGATGATGATAACGATAATCATGATTCAGAAGAAGAAACGCATGATCACTGAACTTTATTTTCTCCTCCTTTTCTTTTGCCAGAAAAATCAAACACTTTATAGTTCCATCAAAGAAAGAGAGAGAATCAACTTAGATAAGAAGACAAAAAAATAATAATAATAAACTACTCTTAGTTCATGTATTGGTTTAAGAGACATATCTACCGTTTGTTTATTTGTGTCTATATGTGGTGTACAATTTTCGAATTTTCACTTTACATGTTTACATTTTTTTAGAAAAAGTACAACGCAACCACATTTTATTAAAGACTTTTCACAAATTATTATATCACAGTAATTGATTAAAACCTTGAAAACTCCGCTCAATAGCTTCTATTTTCGTTCAACAACAACAACATCACTTTTGTTTTTATTTTCGAGTCATTTATCCACCTAATTTGTAATTTATTTCTCCTTATTATTTTAGTCAATAAGTAGGAATAGAGATAATAGTAGATTGGAGGTTTAATAATTTTTAAAAAAGAATTTGACAACTAGAATACAATAGAGAAATCAATAATGAAAAGCAGAAAGTAACTACAATCAAATCAATTTTGATTATCTACAGGCTTATTTGCCTTTTGTTTGATTCTGAGATTATTATTATTATTATTCTGTTGCTACAACAGCCACCTAGTTTATCATTCAGTGGTTGCCAAAGTTCATAAAAAAGAAACAGATGGATTTTGTGCTTTACTTTTATTCTTTCTTTTTAAAAAAATTCCCTCCCATCAACTTCCTTTCTGACCTTCAGTCCTTCTGTTATGTGTGTATTTATTCGTCAGCAGTATACCTTTACACTTTCTTTTGTTGTTATTCCCTTTTATCCACTACAGAAACCAAACTTATTCATTTACACATATTATTACAGAAATGAAATATATAATTAATTTAGTTGAGTTTGAAAAGCAGTTGGCCTTCTGTCTTATTTTCCCGCCAAAAATTTTTGATTTATTATAACAAAATTTAATCGTATTTCAGCTTTTAATACTATTATTGATGTCGTTGACTAATTTTACAACCGTTTCAACAGTCCTTTACAGTTAATCTCCTTTAGCTAATTTATATTTATTTTTTTAAAGGGGGTTTGAGTATATATTATTCAGGTGATCTAAGCTCATAATTCCCTTTAGGGGTGACTACTGCTATCGATGAGTGAATGTGAACTGTATATGTCTCGATTAATAAATAGTCCATCAGAATAATAATATTCATCAACTTAAGGTGACTAACTAACCAATGAACGGATTTCAGTGTCAGTTGTCTTTGTTATCAGATCTAATTATGCCGTAGATATCCGTTGTATTTATGTTAACACCGCAATGTTTAAATTGTAGTTATTAGTATTGTTGGTGTTACATGAACAAATGCAGATAAATAAATAGAAAAAGATTATTAAAACTTAGCTCAAAACTGTGTCATATCTATATATTGCAGTAGAATTTATCAATCAATGTATTAATAGCTAAATAGAAATATTTAAATTAATAGCGAAAATAACCGGTAAAATGGTCATTTACTGAAAGGCTACGAATGAATAAATGTACACCATCATAACAAACAATTTGTGGAGTGGAAGGGTACAGTAGGTCGGGCAAGACATTGGCTAGTGGTCGCACTACATCGCGAATTAGCAGAAGTTGAAATTCATGAGCTAACCATTGGAACGGGTCCCAGTGGCTTAATAGTCTACGAGCCCGCCTTGTTACCGGGATGTCTTGGTTTCAAACCCCAGTGGGTGCGTACTGATGAGTCTCAAACTAGGACAGAAAAGCTGTCCAGTACTCCCAGGTTTTCCAATGGTTCTCTAACTGATGTTAGCTCATGATGAAATCCTGTAACCAATTAGTAGAGTACTTTGATTGGACACTAGTTACTAACTAGTGGGTGACGCAGATTCAAATCTCAGAAGGGACATGAGTTCCTTCGAGGTTGCAGATATGCCTTGCTGACGAGTGCCAACTAGCACGAAACCTAGGTCCAAGGCTTCTTACCAATTCCTTTCAACCGTTTAATAATTAGCTGAGTCACTGGCAGGTATCACTTGTTACTTCTAACATCTTAGAGGTCTCCATCAGAACTCCAACACGGTTTTATCCAGTTGAAAACCCCATGGGTTGGTGAATGTCTTAGTGTAACTCCCTAAATTGGTTCTAACACCCACCCACCCCCGGTTACTGTTACATTTCAGGTTAGACATGCAACATTTAGTAAATAAAGAATAGTATTACATCAATCACACACAGAAAGAAATTCGACGTTTTGTTTAATTGTCAAGCACCTACGACTACGTGCGTGGGTTAAGCCTATGACCATCAAGGTTTCAAGACCATCTACTCTCTGCGTTGGAACTCAGTAGTCCATGACTGCCAACTCATCATACATATAGTGATATCGCAATTCAATATCATCAACGAGTTGTTATTCTCGAAACCAGTGATTTCCTAATAAGTGTTAGTCCACAACGATTAACAGTGTAAAAATGTTTACAGCTAGTTCCTTTTGAGGAAAATCACATATTAAAGAGGTGACTTGGGGAATCTGACCAACATATTAGTGTTATATTTATGATGAAAATGAATAAGAGTACTGTACAGTATAACTGTAAGGTCCAACAATAAAGCGTCTTAGTTTTCCATATGCAAGGTTCGCTTAATAAATTTCGATAAAGCAAGAAAGAATTTGCAGGATAAAATGATATCACTCTATTTCACAGGTCCTCATCAGCTGCAGACCACCTGAAATAGCAGTGATTATAAGCGAATGAAAACAACATACTTCAATATTTGAATGGCAGTAGAGAAAATGCTATAAAATTCAACAAAACGTAAGCATTACAGGTCTTACTTTGTCATCACTAATATATATTTATTTTAACGTAGAAAACGAAGGGGATGGAGAAGACAGAAAATCCTGATAAACAGCGTTGGTCTATAAGTTTACATAGCAACTCAAGAAGGTTACGGTTCATAACATTGAAATTGGCTGAGTGGGCTGAAATCACTCACACAAGGATGTTATCGTGTTCTTCATTTGACATAGTATATTAAGCTACAAAACTATTAACAAGACGGAAATTTGAACATGGACTACTCTTTATAATGGCATTAACAACACAAGTATACTGCTCTTCAGATTTCCTTTTGTTTTTGTCTTTTTATTTCAGTGTTAATAAAATATTCTGAGTATCTATAATACGTATTGAGTTATCTATGCTACATTTATAAGATGTTAGCCCGTTGGACAAAGTTTCAATAACTAGGCTGGTTACTTTTATAGACCATTTATTTTTACAATTAGTATACTATATTCAGCCTAATACTTATGCTCTAATATGATGTCTGTCGTGACCAGCTACCTCTGTTTAAGTATTAGTAGAAGAAGATATAAAGAGCATTATAGCTGCAAGTAATAATGAAACTAGCAGTTTTGATATTTCAGATGCACAGACACATGAAAGAAGTTTTCCTGATTTCTATAACTTGCATCTGTGAGAAATGCGACTGACTTTCACAGGACTGATTGAAGATGACTAAACTGAAGAATTAATATGTCAGTAATTTAGTCATGTTTCTTTATCTACATACCTGAAGTCATCAAATGAAATATACGACGAGATATGCATTGAGATATATTAACTAAATATAGAAAAAGGTATCCCCCTGTAGCATGTAAAAAGAAGACAAACATTTATTCAAAAGAAAATAGTGTTTTATTAATAGTTTTCCTTGCAAAGATGGGAATGAATTAGTTTCGCTTTGTAAATTTGGAGTATAATATATATTTCTGATTACATTTTACAGATATATATGTTATATACAGTAAAATGTTTCAGGACACCAAGACACCAGATGTTGATGATGAAGAAACAGTATTTTTCTTTTCTGATTCTGAAGGCTCCTTTTCACCAGCAATTCTTATCTTATGCTCAGCTTTATATCTTTGGAGCTCACGGCCTTTCGCTTCGAACTGTTTTGACAAAGTTTCAATACACTCAGACATCTAAATAAATATAGTGTTATATCATTAAAAAGGTATAAGACTTACTTTTTGCACATTGGCTTCCAGATCTGGAAGAATATCTTTCACCTGGCGTTCAATTAACACATTGTCTATCATTCGCATACACTTTCGAGTAGGTTCAACAGACTGTAACACTTTGATGACCATACTGAAATGATTGAAATATTAACAAACGAGTTCAGAAAACACAATAAAAGTTGAAAACGAAACTCATAAAAGTTTTGTGTGTGAAACTTTACATTTTGTAAGTAATCAGTATAACTAATTATTCATCTGACTGCATTTGCGCAACTGTCTTGAAATGAAACTGGGAATCACTGCTGAGATTACACGTAGTGTTAAGAAAGTAAGTCACTCGACTACGCTGTAGGCCCTGATCGACGGAGATGGGCGTGATAGCTGTTACGCACATAGAGCTACAGCTTCCTTGAGCAAGCAGTGTAGGCTGAAGTAGTGTTAACTTGGGAAAGAGTTTAAGCCATTACAAAAATTCAGCTTGACAGCAGTATGATTTTCTTGGACAACCAACAAGCTAGCTACGGTACCTTCTCACACTGAAGAGGGTAGCTTAAAAAACGTCAAATCCAGAAATAGTACTTATTCAGTGATGAGGTCTTATGACCAGGAACAAATCCATAGCAAAAATAACGGGAGATACATCGGCAGTAGGTAACACCAGATAGCTACTTCAGCTCATTCAGGAAACAGGTTGTAAACAACTAATAATAAGAGTAACAGTTTCCGAGAATGGTGCCTTAATTACCTCTCAGGATAGACAACTAGAGCGCTGAAGGAAACAGCTTAAGAAGTAATTTAACTGGCCTAAATCGCAGCATCCAACACCTACTTGTGCGGGGTGACATCCGTCTCCTAACTGTAACTTATGGGAAGATTAGCTTGACTAACATAGTATCCAAAATTCTAGGTTCAGTCACCAAGCGTAGACTGAAAGTTGGTTGGGAGAAGAAAACCCATCAAAACCAGAGTTTTAAGTCCTGACAACAGTGTATTGATCACATCTCCACCTTTCGACAGGCTCTAGAACATAGGCATACTTAGTGGAGTCCAAAAACTAACATATTTCAAAGTTGAAAACTCAGTCAGTTCAAAATCTTCGCCTTTATATAGGTCTGGTGTAAACAACCCCAAGGAGTTCTCCTATTGGCCCTACGCCCACGCAATACAGGTATATTTTCTCTTTCAGACAATCGAAAATCAACTTCCACGGTGTTGGCAGCTTGGAGGTAGAAAGCTCCCATCAACGCACAAAGTTGTTCTAATTATCATCCACCTTTTTCAACTTCCTGCTTTCTACCATCTCACAGAAAGTCTCTTCACCTTCGTTTAAAACTGTAGTCATTGCTAGAGAATTAAGGCAGAGAGAAATCATTCCTAGTCCACTTAAACTGCGCTGTCAACTTCGTATTCAAGCTTTTACACCTTATGCTGAACCGGACAAAAGGCTTCACTAGTCAAACCCTGGAACCTTGTCTTCTAGAAGTTGTATCTGAGGCATCATTTAAAAACAGAGTAGGGTTGGATAACACGGAGAATCTACAAGATCGGCGAAGATAAAGGATAGCGACCCAGGGAAAACAAATGCACTGATAACCATTAAACCATCAAATGCTCTAAAAAGGCACAAATGGATCCTTAACACAACCTTAAATTTCTCTAACCCAACCATAAACTAACCAGACATCCTGTTTAATATGCTTACACTCTCGCCACCATTTATTTGCGAATGTGTTATTTACCTGGTTCCATTAACCTCTTTTGCTTGCGCGTTGGTTAGGGTGCGATTGTTACTTTGAGTAGCCGTTCTTTATCTCCGACCGAAATTAATCTTACGGATGCCCCATTGTTCCTTGACTAGGTCGTGTACAGCTGCTGGCGTAGGAAAAGCAGTGGATGTTACGGTAGCAAAATGACTGCTCGAATGGATCCCAAGAGACAACTGTACGGGCACTATCCGGATGAACGGACGAATAGAGTCAAGGAAAGACGCTGATACTTGTCGGTCACTTTTCTTATATTCACTTACGCGTAATCTGCAGCAAACAGCAAGACGCTTAGATGCGCTTACATTAACAGGATATTTTAATCCCCAAGCAGATAGATGGATCAGAGAGAATGCATTTTAAGGTTATCTACGGATTCCAAACTAAGAGATGGACAGCAGTGTTTGACTCTAATAGTTTAAGTAAAATAACCATCTGTTTCTGATCAGCACTAACCTCCAAACTATGAAAGGCAGTTGCTACATTTTGAGATGGTCAGCATCAAATCCACGCTAAAATAAGAACTAACCACTGCAATTATTTTCCATAGGAGTTAACTAGTGGAAGATTGCTCCTCATTAGGGGACATCTACGTGGATTTGGCCATGCATTAGTCCGTAAGAGTGACTGGCTTAGAAAACAAAAAGTGAGGCTTTTACAAAGATTCTTGTAGGTATGATGGGAACATCTTGAAGCAACTTTTAGTCATCCCCGATCGGCAAAGGAAACACTGAAGAAAGCTAACCACTTGAAGTGAAGCCTGGACAGAAGTATAAGAACTAGGAGTAATTTCGGGGTGAGTCAACGTGAAAATTTTAAAGAAATCCATCGAAATCACCCGAAACTCCAAAATTACCCTTGGGTTCATCAAACCCCGAAGTCTCACGCGAATACCATGAAATTTCTCTAAAATTTGGCAACCACACAAAATCCAGGTGATTATAAGCCTTAAGACTGACTCCAAATCTTCCTAAAAATCTTCAAAATTACCATCCAAATACCCATAGACCTTTCACAAGTTGTTTGAGGGGGTATTACAGCAAGCTGGAGAAAATTTTAACAAGTTATCGCAAGATGATGCGAAAATAAACTTCATCACTTCATTGAAATACAGAAAATTAACTGGAAAAATGCACACATTACATAATAACAGGGCTTAAAATATATCACTCACTTGTGCTCACGTTGATCAAGTTCTAGATCATTAATTTTGCTACCGATTGTCCTCTGCTCATAACGCAGACGATTGAATCCTTCAATTATCTCCTCCTCAGTCTGCACTTTTGGTTTACTGGTAGATGACGTCATTCGTGAGAGGATATCACAGTATATCCCAGTTACAGTAACGACCTTCTTGTAAAACGCGCGTCTCCTGAAGCCTCATGTATGCAAAATAAGAAAACATTTTAATCCTCAGTTAAATCCCATAACTATATTTCGCATAACCAGTCACGTAATAACTAGCAGTTCCAGAGTACCAGGTGACAGCTTCAAGAAGAAAGTGTGTGGCTTCCAAAATTCGAATGAATTTTCTACACTAAGATATAATTTCTGCTTTCCTCATGTCATTCACCTCCCTTAAAATTACCCTAATGTTTTCTTTTCGGAAGTTGTCTCTTAGCATTCAAGTTATTCTGGTGTATGGAGGATTTCATCATGAGCTGACATCAGTTAGAGAACAAAAATCCCTACAAAGCCAATACTTGAAAATTATTCTGGTGTTTTATTCTGTTGTACTTTTGGTGGTTCGTTAAGCTGCTTTTTGTTAAATTAACTTGTTCATTTATTAAGCCACACGTGTTGCCCTATTTTTCTGCATTTGGGTAAGCATCCATTGTATTCATTATTTCTTTCTCAACATATGTATATATATACGTATATGTGCGTCGGTGGCAAAGTGGTTAGGACTCTCTCCGACCATGCACATGGTCCAGGGTTCGATCCCCTACTGACGCACACCCGATATCTATGGTCGGCCTGCAAAATTTGGGCTGCCGATATCCATGCTGAAAATGCCATACTTGTACTGAAAATACGGTGTGGCATCAAGCTGTAATCAAAAAAATTTAAAAGATACTATCAGGTTGTTGGCTTGGGTGACAGAGAAAGAATTTGCAAGGCTCCTTACGTTGGAGTAACCGTATAAATTTGCACTTATGTGATAATAATAATTTACATTTCGTATAAACGGGTAAGTTTACATGAAGTGCATGCCATTTTCACAGGCACGATCAGTAATGTTATAAACTACAATCCTGAAGTATAATAAATTAATACTTTTTAAATAAGTTTAAATTTTTCAATTATTGTACAAGCAATCAGAACGAGTTCTTACAAATGTCAAATTCTAAACCGTTTGCTAAGGTCACTACCAAAGTTGAGCGGAAACCCAAATTTCTTTCCGTTTCCTGCTGATACTTATGGTCAACCAGTGAACAGCGTATATACGGGTGAGTGCTCTGCCGCCACGTGATCGAACGCTATTTCAGGAAGAGAAGAAAATTTTGCCCAGCTGCAAAATGGTATAAAATAGAATTATGAATAATACATAAATGGGAGCATATTTACAAGATGAATACAAGAAGAAGAAGAAGAAGCTATATAATACTTGAAATGATAGTATACGTTTGCAATGTTTAATGCTAACCATATTAGTTCAAGCATGGAAATTATGATGCTTTCGATGAAGATATAGCTTTGTTCAAACACTGGTGTTGTGTTTTTTAATCAAAGCAACCAGACTGAAAGCAAGAAACAAATATGAACAAAGGGCAAGTTTTAGCTATAATAATGGCCTAGGTGGTTAACATAAAGTAGAGTATGATAGTGCGTAAATAAAAACATTATTGTGAAGTAGGTTGGTGATATTTAAGTGAGGAGTGAATTCAAAGATCTGGAAAATTGGGACCCGTGGAACAAGCTGACATATAAGATGTCTCACGAATTTCTGTAGGGCTCACTGGGTAGCATCTTGACAAGAAGCTGAACAGGCTTGTAGACGATGGGAGCAAAAGCACTTTTTATCTATAATTTAGTTAGTGGTTTCGTATTGATCTCACCGAACTGGCTCCCGCAGTTTGTATAAGCCGCTATATGCCTGGGGTTGAGGAAAGACTGTAAGGATACAAGATAACAATTCATATAGAAAGCTGTAGATCCGCTTTACTCATAAATAAGACTTTCTACAGAAATGTTTTCTTTATTGCTGTGGAAAAACCCAAATTTGGTTAGTGTTAGCATTGTAACAGCCATGTTTAACTGCAAAGCTGACTTTCTTAAAAAAATGTTGGTGAAGTAAGGATGTTTCTTAAAATGAAAAGTCTCCTTATCTTTTCAAAGGCACGCAGAACCACAGTGCTAAATCAGTATGATACACAGGAAAGTCCGGTAGATAGTATTATGAAATACTATTTGGAGGCAAACAAACAAGGTGGTAAATAATATTTTCTTATTAGGAGCCTACCGGTCACCAATATTCATGGCAAAATGATTTCCATTCTTCTGTGATTGAGGAGGGTATTAGCAGCGGATGAAAGTGTTCCTGGCTTTGTAGATAAGTAGGTTCTAAAAGTTCGTATACTACTAAGACCACAAAAACCCATCTTCCGGAATATAGACATTATTCCTACCAGTATTGTAATCAGGACTGTGTAAACAATAAATGTGAGAACTGATGTGGCCTACTTTGAAAGCCACAATGTGTCACTTGGCTCAGTGTGCTTTTTTGGCTTCTGGAAACCTTTTGGCGCAAAAGAGAGGAGGGAGTGACAAAATTTTTGTTGAAGTTATTTTCACAGATAGGAGCATGTGAGGTGGTCTTGTCTAACTGTGCAACAGAATAGCTGGGTTTTAATTGGATTGCTTCCGTCCGATGAAAATGTCTTGATTCTGTTCTGATCTGAAATTTAATGATGACAGTCACATGACGCTACACCTGGCTGTGTTGTTCCTTGTAGATTTCAATGAGTTACTTCAACTTAGAAAATCTCCCACTGTTTTCTTTGCTGTTAAAGTAGAATTCTGAGGAGAGCCCTAGAAAAGTGGCACTGAGAATGTTCAGGAAATGCATACTAATAACCTTATAATCTTGTCAAGACAGCAGAATCTTATAACTCAGCCACATGTAAATCGTGCGTCCAAGAAATACCGGTCCTAGAAATAACTCTATTACTGGAACAAACTTCTAGTTAGTTCAGGTAGACAAATACGGAGATATCAGAGCAAGTCGTGACTTGAAACCCACACCATGCTATTGCATATTTGCAATTCAAAATTTTAAAAAATCACAGACATCCTATAGGACCCATTTTAGGGTCAACTATGATATAGTTATCAATCTGCAAACACCTGTTTTGAGGTTTAAACCAAAAAATTGCATTTAGAATGTTGCAGCGTATTTAAAAACCTGATTCTGTAAATTAGAAATATATTTCTGCATAAGTATTTGAAGGAGAACACTACATTTCGTTGTATCAGATTGCTTAGACTCTTAATTTTACTTGTTTTGCTTGAAACCAACGTGTATGTACTTTTAACGTACGATTTGCTAATAGAAAGAACCTGGTTTGACATGATGTACAGATATACGCACTTACATATGCTCTGTTTTCTGAGCTACATGCACTGGCAGCAAAGCTTTTTCAGAAATCTTAGATTCAGAAGATTACAGAAACTATTGCCTCCTCGGTAAACCCCAACGGTCTCACTGATGGATAATTTTCACCCCCGCAGTTACTCCTCCTGATATCGAAACTTGAGAGGAAAATGCGGCACCTCCGATACAAGGATAAAATCAGGCGATGTGGTAGAGCATAATTCTTTCGTAGAATAATTTGGTCCTATAAGGATACAAAATGAAGCACACATAGTGGTACAACTAAGAGCATAACTTACTGCTCATAATCATATCACAGAGCGAATGAGAAAATGAAATTCTGCGCTAGTGATCAAAAAGTCAACATGCTGTTAAAGCTTTTTAGTTTCTAAGTTATCTCATTCTTTTTCAGTGAAGGTAGGCTCAGTTTTATAGTCTAAGGGCAAAACTCTAATTAGCTATTTTGAAAATCTAAATGATGACATAAGTACTTGTGCTAAACATGTATCAAAAAATTCATGGAGAAGTTCCAAAAAACCCGGAACAAAAGCGAAGAGCAGTGAAAGTGTCAAGCACACTATAAATGATGGGGAATTTTAGGCGTCTGACGCTGTAACGCATCTGGAACTCAGCGTAAGATTTCCAATGAAGCAGGAACCACGGCAGCATCTGAACCTACAGTTTCATTCAGGGACATGACCTGTAGGTTAAAGGGCCCTATCTACCCAGTTAGGTGAAATGATTTATTCTACAAAGTACCCACAAATGACTGAGATATCAACTAGCTAAGTCGAGCCACTAGTTCTTGGTCAGTTAGTTCATTGGAACAGAGGAAGTCAGCCAAGTGTGGCATTTTTAATATCAGAAAGGTGATCAGCCTATAGGAAGCTCAATGTATGGGACAAAGCTACAATTATAAAGAGTAACATGGGTAGGTTCTGGAATAGGCTGACCAATGAATCCTTCTTACCTGAGTCAACACCAGACACCTTCACTGGGAAGGGCAAGACACCGATATCAGAGATACGGTATATATTATTCCCAGTGAGGTCAAAAATAAAGTAATAATGTACAAAAAACCTCGAAATTGCGTGACTGCCTCCACATAATTATGGGAAACCAGCCAGTGCTTCAAACGCCGTGACTAAATAATGACGTATCACTGCGTGTCTATATCGGTAAAAATAATCTATGATGAATTGAGGTGTCTTTGGCATAAAATTTGTCTCAACCCAAACAGCTGGTCTTGTAACTCGTATGAGATAGTTTAGTTCATCATATTGAGGAAGGTGGGTGGTGCATGCTGATTAGAAGCAGTAGTGGTAGTAGTTAAAAATTTGAATCTCTCCCAACCGTAGAAAGGCGACATGCAGTAAACATCTTGACAACTTGAGATCTAAAAAGATTTTAAACCCTTTCAAAAATTAGTAATGATTGTCTGGATCTAAGTATCATGTGGTGTTTCCACCCATAATAAATATCTTATCTTCAGCTTTTTCAGCGGTCCTATAGACCAATTGCAGACACATGAGGCTTCTTGTATCAGCACGCCTAACGTTACAAGATCTCTGAATGCAAACTCTAACTGACAATAAGATTTACTCTCAGATTAAAAGCATCAACAATATACTGCTCGCAACAACATGAGCCCGAGTACTCATACATAAATAATACAGTCAATCTTCTTTGATTGAACACTAGTCAGTAACTAGTGTAATGTGTCTAGTCCTATCTTCGGTGCAGACTGAATTCTATCAGTCATGTTTGCAATGTGGCCACCATGTTAGGTGGCTCGCCATTACGGTGCACTGTGAATTGTTGGTATTAGATGGTTGGAGGCAATCGGCAGGAAGCCTTGGACCTAGGTTTCGTGCTAGTTGGCACTCATCAGCAAGGCGTATTGCATCAGTTCCTTCAAGGTTGCAGATACGCCTTGCTGATGAGTGCCAACTAGCACGAAACCTAGGTCCAAGGCTTCCTGCCGATTGCCTCCAACCATCTAATACCAACAATTCACAGTGCACCGTAATGGCGAGCCACCTAACATGGTGGCCACATTGCAAACATGACTGATAGAATTCAGTCTGCACCGAAGATAGGACTAGACACATTACACTAGTTACTGACTAGTGTTCAATCAAAAATAGCCAACACAGTCCTACAGGAGGTCAGTCGCGAGCCTGAATAGCTCAGTGGTAACGTCTCTGACTGCAGCACTGGGTGACGCGGGTTCGAATCTCAGAAGGGACATCAGTTCCTTCAAGGTTGCAGATACGCCTTGCTGATGAGTGCCAACTAGCACGAAACCTAGGTCCAAGGCTTCCTGCCGATTGCCTCCAACCATCTAATACAGTCAATCTTCTGTTATATCCCTAAGAGTTTATGTAAAATAAATGTGATAGTACTGAAATGATTACATAGACTGCTAAAGCAACTGCATGCATAGCCCTCGACTAAGGTCAAAACGGGCAATCTTCCGCCGAAATCCCAAACATATGCAGTTTTGTATAAATGGATATATATTAAGGCCAAAATGGTTGAGGGTCCTGCCAGATTGACTGTTCTATTCAACAAACTGTATAAAATAATTAGGTGCAATTCTTCAATTATGAGGTTACCTGGAATTGAAATAGCAAGAGCACAATGTTTGAAGACGGGAAGAATCGAGATTAGCAAGATTCACATTCAAAAAATGTGCAGCAGTCCAAATTGATCCGGAAATGGCCTAATTCGCACGCATGTTTGAGATGGTATGTCAAGCACAATTTTAGTATCTGAAGGTACAATATTAGATGTAACAGAGGTAGTGGTATACATTTCATCCAAAGAAATTTAACTGTTTAAGTGCGCACAGTATTTGCAATATTGGAAATTTGATATAAAAATCATAAAATGCGTAATAATAAGCATTATACCTCAATAACACCAATTGTAATAACATTGATACTCTAAATATTGTGCATATATATATATAATTAATATGCCAATTACTAGTAACCCTATAACAGTACCTTAAGTGGGCTATTTCTTATCCATAACCAAGCAGTATCCGCAGTGTTAATTTAACAGTGTATTAGACCGATACATAGGAATACATAGAATATTAATTCCTTTATGTTGGAGCATATTAAGTATTTTTGCTTGGATATTTAGGCACAAATTATCATGCAAATTAGTAATAATCCTGAAGCAGAACACGTAATCAGATATCCCTCCTTTATGAATGGGCAGAATGTAATATCATTCTAAGGATTGAATAGGTCTTTCTTTCTACCCCTCTCAAAGACGTATTTTCACTGGCATAATACCACTATTTATGTTTTAATTCAGTTGAGCTGTTTCATGCAACGTTCGGCTTCTCTGAAACGGTAATTGATGATGGCCAGAGGTGGTAGTACTTGACTGACGTTTGAAGAAATGGTTGGTTATCGGCTGAACACGATTATCCGTAGAAAAAGAAATAAAATTTAGGGCACCTGCCCAAGAGTGTGGTGATGACTCCATCATTTAAAATTTTAGTGGCACTGTAATGATAAATGGTGTTCAAACAATCGAAGCAGCAGGAGATTATCGACATTTTAAAGTATGAAATTTTATCATTTGGGTCGTGCCAACAGAAAGTAATTTCTTTGTAAGAAACTTTTTTGATTATTTGCTGCTTATGAGACGCTCGAATATGGTGACAGTCCCTCAATCCTTTTCGCCGATACCCATTCATTGCGTCCCGGCATGTAATCTTGAAAATTACAGCCCAAAATTCTAAAATAAGCGTACGTGGGGACACAATCGATTCAGATTGTAGCGCGAGTTCGATTAATACTGCACTGCCACTCCGCAATACAGTTTTACCTACCAGCTCGTTAAATGGCTCAAAACCAGCGTCCGCTCGCGCAATAAATATGGGAGATATTCTATAAGAGATTTCTGAGTTTCGTAATTTAATCTGCCTAGTAAATGATATACAGAGGCAAACGAGTGAAGATCGGGTGAAGTAAAATCTACTTGAGTACTAACCTGCGTTAGTCTTAGACATCACAGGAAAGCGCTATGATGTTGAGTAGACAAAGTCCTTATCACACGTGGCTCAGAAAAACCCTGAGGATCTAGACCCACAGCCTCCTTCTTAGAGAAACACCTCAAAAATTGTTCCAGATAACTTAACTAAAGCAGAAGGCCAAGCTGATCATTTAGCCACCAAGACGATGAGGCCCATAACCTCGTCCCAATGGAGTACAGTTTACCATGTGAGGTCTACTTATGACCAACACGAAACAACTGCCATTCAAGCAAGGACAAAACAAGCCGGAAAGTAATGTTGTGGAGAACAAAATGTTCGATGAATAACATTTACATACACATAGGAGGACAGAATACAAGCCATATAAAGCCAACATCAAGTAAGAGTCAAAATGCTTTGTTATACACAAACGGGTAGGTTTAGAAGAAATGCATGCCATTTTTACAGACACCATCAGACATGGTAAAAGTCACAATCACGAAATATCATAAATTAGCACTTTTTCTAAAGTATAAATGGTTGAGTTACAGCACAAGAACGGATCCGTATAAGTGTTGAATTGTAAACCCTTCACTAAATTCACCACCAAGGTTAGGTGGCAACCCATCGCTTTATTTCTGGCTGATAGTTACGGTGAACCAGTGAACATCCTGTATTTGGATAAGTGCTACCTTCACACGTGATTAAAGCCATTTCAGGAACAGGAGAATGTCCTGAGAAACTGCAAAATGGTGTAAATGCAATTATGGATAATACGTTATTGAAGTACATTTTTGAGATATTTATATTTAGACAGCCGATAATAACATTACAGTCAAGACAAAAAGGGTCAGGTCATGCTGACTGGTGTGCTGTCATGAATTCAGTCAAGATTAACACCCCTTAAGAAACGACCAACAGATTTTGTAAAAATTTTATGTCCGTGTACTTCGGCAATGCGACAAGGTGACTTTTTCCAATCATCCGATACCTCCCTTTCTTTCCAAACTTACTTCAGTGGGAATGTGAGGATGTCCATTGAGGACCCAGGACCCGCTTGCAGTACTTCTGGAATAATTCCCTCCGAACCTGCTGCCTTTCCGGCCTTCAGTAGCTTTCTGGCAATCAACACTTGTTTTTGTTGGTGGATTGAAGGTCACTACCACTTCTGGGTCTGTTAGGGGTATTTTTGAACGAGTTGGTGGTATTTGTGGGTTAAAGAGTCCATTGCAGTAATCAAACCAAGGTTTCGCGTGTTTTCGTGTTCAGTAATTAGGTGTCATTCATTATCTTTCATTGGTTTCATTTGTGCCGGTTTCTCACCCGATGAAGACAACTTTGTTCAGTATAATGTTCTGAGGTCTTTCTTACGTTCATCTTGTTCTAGTTCAGTTGCCAGTGTCGCAGAATTATCCTTTTCCTTCCTAGCACCCTTCTTCCCTTCTTCATTCAATGCACTGCACATTGAACTCAGCCTCTTCTTTCGTCATCCATCTATTTATTGGCTAATATGTTTCACTAAACCTCATATTCCATGCATATGTCGACGGTAATCAGATGTTTTCAGTTCTTTCCTTTAAAAACACTTTCGAAGTGTTCCAGCGTTCTTTCACTAAGTTTTCCGTGGCGATACAACATGGAGTCCCTAATTTTCCCTGATAGACACAGTGAAGCTGACACACTCTCGTCCATCAGTTTCTAAATGTTGAACTTGGATTGTGATCTATCTCCAGCTTCTTTAGGAAGGTTCGGCTTGACCATGGAGGCTCTTCACACCAGTCAGTGTTCTGGGGATGAGATGGCGGCTTATGGGTCATCATGAAGAAGTCTAGAGAGTACTGCAGAGAACAGGATGGAATGAAGATATGCTTTTCCATTCGGAAACCAATGATAAATAATATAATATAACCTGCAACTCCTTTAATTTTCCGTTTCACTCGAATTTTTGGGAAAGACATCAGGTCACTACTGACATTTAACCAAGAAGGACTGACACAAACGTCAATTCTTCTTCCTCGACTAAAACTTGAGTATTGGATATTGGGTAGTGGCGGCCAATACTTTCGTGGTCTTGTCTCCAAGGTTAACTCCAAGGTTAGTTGTCTGTAGTATTATTTATATGTAAGTTGGTTCAAATGCAGTTGAACTTAAATTTCCCGAGATAAAATATTGCCGATATTGTGCTGACTGCACAACTGGTACGTACGTAATGCACCAGGTTGTTTCAAGAAGTTTAAAGGAGATATATCTTTTATTGTACCTTTTTGGGGGATTTTAGGGATATTTCCGGTTGGCTGTGGGTATTTTTATGTATTCCCTCGAATGGTTTGCATCTAACTGCCTCGAAATCCCCAAAAGATTTTACTTACGTAAACCATGGCAGCTTTGGTCTTCTTTATAGGTAATTGCCCACTCTTAAAAGTTGTGTGCTAGGTAAAGTGTTTTTATGTAGTTACCTCTGTGAAGGTTCTATTTTTCCAGTGAAGTCGTCAATTAAAGGCGATAAATTTTACTGTGAAAACTAGTGTATGCTTTTGATCGCATTACAGGGATAGCGTATAGGGTAGTAATTAATGAAAGTAAATCAACTTCTAGATCTCGGATTTATTGAGTGAGGATAGAAGACTTGAAGCTTATGTAAATATACTTCTAGCAAGTCTCTGGGTTTGTCAATCAAATACCCTCTTGTGGTAAAAGCAAACTAATGCTCCTTGTCCGAATATTGCGTGTAGGTGAAGATATATGGCAACTGAGGGATGCTGGTAGATTATTGTGTTGCTCAATCAATTAACGAGTTGAGATCTATTTAATACACCCTAGTTCAGGACTGAAACGTGCCTCATTCCGACTTCGTATGCTTATGGACCCTGGGATCACATACCTTATTGATTAATGTAGCTCCCCTGTGATTGTTCTCTTTCTTTTAAGTTAGGGTAATCGCCATCTGTAGGTTTCTGATGCAGTCACAATAACTGCTGCTGCTGCTGCTGGATACAACATAGAACTTGGCACCGAAGTGCAGCAGTTCCAGTTGCCACGTTCCAAATAGCACAGAAAGGTAGACAGGAAAATGAGAGAAGAGAATCAATAGAATTTAAATAAGTATAAGAGTGAAACAGAATGAGTAATGGTAGAAAGGAATATGAAGGTTAAAGAGACTGAATACATCTGCGCCATTGACAACGATTTTGAGCCATGTCACCTATTGTCTCTAGCCATTGATTCTTAGAGTCCCGAGAGCCCCAACCCGGAAGTCTGCATCTCCCTACCTGGCTCAGTGTAACTGTCAAGGATTTCATGGATTGATGCCATGTTTTTGTTTGGCCACCACTTACTCTTTTCCAACCTGCACCTATATCAGCTAGTAATGCCCGTCGGGGGGAGGCGATGGTTAGGCATGTGCAGCACGTGACCTAACCATCTCAATCTATGTAACTTCATAGTCACAATAACAATGGGTGAAAATTGCTCAAAATCACCAATGATTGTCACGAACCATTGTTTACAGTTTTAGAGTATTAAATATGGGTTCGCAATTAGTACAGATTCAACCGTGAAGAGCAGTACAGCTTAAAACCTTTACTATAAGAAACACTGACTCACACTTTGGATACTAAGTGTTTCCGTTTCACTTTTGAGTTGGGTTAGATTATTTAATGATTTTCGGAAAGAATCAAATTCATTTTTTTTCACCAAGTCTATCATACTTGGGGGAGCAGTTGTAGTTGGTTGTCACTAGATTTTGCCTTGAAGCTAAAATTATTTAAAGTGTTTTGAGATAAATTGAACTGTACACCTTTTTGGCGAGACAACGCAAAATGTTAAATATTTCTTACTACTCTTCTTTGGAAGGTGGTCCTGTTATTAACGCGATGTTAGTCCTTCTGACATTTTGTTCTGCATATGCTCCTTAAATAAAGAATGGAGTAGCTGCCTGGTTAAGTATAGCATTCTAGACTTGTCTTCATTTAAGTAGTTGAATGTCCTATGAAGTGACCACAACATTAAAAATATGTTAACTTTTCAGTACCATGATTATTGAAACTTCTTGATCCTTTTGTTTCAATCCACGACTTGCGAATACGTATATAGCATGTTGATAGCATTGTTTATGTTCAACATTCGCCACTATGTTTTCGCTGAAATAGATTTTCAAACTCCATCTTTTAGATTATTCAGTCAGCTCATCCAGATTAGTCTGTTGCATGGTAAATTTTAGCACGATTACCAAATGGTGATAACAATGGCCTAAATACTTGTGGTCGTGTATCAGCATGTCGGAAACAAAAGAGAGGAGTGTAAGAGTAATATTTCGAACGATAGCACTAATTACTTTATGCTCTGTAAAGGGTGAACACGTAATTGGTACATTTACCAGATGCCTCAGAAACTGTCTAGCTAACACCACGAAGTTAGAACAGCTTTCAACTGTTGCCAGATGCAGTCACAACTTTTACCTCATAAGCATGCTCCGAACACCGGGCTCTGTCATGTTTAGGTTTTATCCAGGTTACTGTACTCCCCATCAGCTGAAATGAATCATTAAGAGTTAGGATGTTGCAAGCAGTTCATGGATATCCAGTATTTGCTAGCCAGTTATCCTTCTAAGCTACAACAGCTTTAATCTTCACCTTCATGGCGGTTTGTAAACCTTCGTCTGTACTCCCCGGAAGATTATAGTTTTTTGATATTTGGGTGCAGTAGCAATTGTAGGAATTTTGTCGAGACCAGTCTGCTTAGAACAACACTCATGTAAACCTCCACATATTATGAGAAACCCGGTACGCATTAATGCACGATCAGAGTCCAAAGAAGTACTCCAGAAAAAGCGGTATTCTTGTATTCACCTACATCTTCGGTAGTTTTGTAGCGATGTGGTCCTTTCGAGTACATGTCCGAGTGAAAGTAGGAAGATGCTACACAGAGGATGACTATCCTGGGTACTGTCGCCGACAAGAAATAGCTTACAATCTGCGCAAAACTATAGAAGACGACCCGTGTTATCTTACCTACAACCATCTATTTCCAAATTATCACTTAAACAACTCTTCTCTAAGCCTAGACTCCTGACCTGTGCATTCAAGTCTCTAGTTATGATATCGGTCACGCGTAATTGGTTGAGAAGAGAACTGACTTGTTTGTGGAACTTAATCCTTTGGACTGTGGGCAGAAATGAAAATAAGACGAGGATTCTCTTCCCAGTTGCTTTTCACTCCAATGTAACCGAGCATTACAACGAAAGAATGACTGTTAGTAGGGATCCAATGGAGTAATGCAGATTCTCTCAAGTGCTTAGTGGGATACCGTTACCAGCTAACCTGGACGTCCATACCGCGAGGTCGTCAGATAAGGTCACATCGGACGTACTATTTGAGCTGATAGATAAAGCAGTTATCCAAATTTTTTTACTGGAACCTAGTATGTGGTTCTCTAAAGTACAGCATATATTAAAAGAGAGGATTTCTGGGGTTCTAACCGAATCCGTGGTGATCTCAGTACAATCGTGACATCGTTCGATGATATTGGGTCTCTTGTTCTACTGTCAGTGCAAACTTATAATTCAGGGGCAGTCCATTCAAATCCTGCCATAGACCACATTTTTATTTCACTTTCGGTCATCACCCATTACACCAATATTAGTTTGAAAATCCAAGGTTTTCATGAATAACCTCATCAAATATAAAAAATGATGAAAGTAAACCAATATAACTCATGTTGGACAATAGTAATAACATAATTAGAATGCATCGAACATTCAAATATATGGTTCATACGGTATCAGGTACAGTAAGTTGTTAAGTAGTGTAGTGCAGTTGAATTATCGTTCCTCATTTTGTGAGGCCTGAGATGCTGTTAGACGTTTAAACAAAAGGAGATGGTTTCCTTAAGCAACTGATTTCAAATTTCTCGACTTCTCTATTCTCCAAAGCACCAGGACAGGAGTCGCGTCCCCGTAGTTGCCGGGGAATAAAACAAGTTCATATGTCGCTCGTTCTTTTGGGATTTTGGAGCCTATGTACACCATAGGTTTGTATTCAAGATGATGAAACCCCTTTTTACGCCAATCTGGTAATAAGTACTGGATATTCGCACCAGCCTTTTTATTTTCTTAAGCGAATTCCCTGCGTAAAGACAGTCAAAAGAACTTACTTATTGGATGTTGGGAACGTGTCGGGAGACAGTGTCCACCCACCCTCAGAAGTACCTGGTCATTTAGGGTTCACTGTGCGTTATAGAATCATTCCTTCTTCTCTTATCATGCCTCAGTATGCCAGTTGATGCGCTAATGCTCACAATTTAGCAGTGATCTGTATATCTGTTTCTTATGTGTAGTATTTTACTCAAGTGTGATTTACATTGGTTAGTGTATCAGAGCCTCATACTAAAAAGGAAACCTTGGGTCGTTCATACTTTATTCTGTTTATGTGCTAAAGTGTCTTTTTAATTAGTTTAATTTTTGGAAAAAGTGTTTTCTTTGTTTTGTTCCAGGTACTAAATGGAATTGTAAAACTGAAAAAAACTTCGAATTCATAACAATACCAAAAGTACTTTGGTGTAACATTCAGTCAGTTTTTTCCATCCCAATCTAAAGGAGTAGATATGTCTGCTGAAAATGTCAATCATATGTGTACTCAAGGTAGTGTCTGTAAAACTATTCATATGACACAGATGGTTTAGATGTTGTTTCAACACAGAAAGTTAGCAAAGCAGCTCGTCGAAGAGAAAAACGCGCTGCTCTTCAGCGGGCTCAACAAACTGCTGCTCTAATGAATATACAAACAGATAAGTCAAATAGTCTCCGATCGATTGAAATGAAGAAGTTAGGAGAACAACTAGAAAAACGTCAGTTGAAGCTTTTTGAAGTGAGTATTGCAGCTGTGTTATAGTTTGTTTGCAGGAGACCAGCAAACAAATCAGTCGTATATTTATAGCTAAGTATTCTCCTTGTTTTTACGGTTTTCGTTATATTGAACTTTATTCGTTATATTTTTATCAATTCAGTTCATCTGTAATGGTAACGAAAATATCTGTTTATCTATAAGGAGTATAAAAACAAATAGTGTGCGTCTATCAAGATTGATTTGGAAAGTAAGCAAATAAAATTAACACTGAATAGAACACAGTGTTAAGTTCCCACTCTTTTAAACAATACAGAAATTGAAGGTAAACAGAAACAGAATGATTCCAAAGTATTGTAGTGATAGGAGAGAAAAAGTATAAATAGGCAAGATGAATAAAATGTTTTAAATTTTAGCGAATATAAATATTTAGCATATGATTTAATTCACTTTTGGTTTTCCCGTTGATTGATTGGGCGGAAGTGTTCGGCGTCTGTTGACATGTCAGCTCCTTGTGCGGATGCTTCGAAAATGCCTGAGGATCTAACTTGAGGTAATTTGGTGGATAGTGACTAGCAGTGGAATCCAGGATGCGCATTTCGTCCTATTTGTGACTCGTCATCCGGATGTACCTGCATTCCCCAGTTAGTGACGGTAAAGTCGAAGTTGAATGAAATAATAACTGACACCCGTTGCACAAGAGGTGGCTCCAGTGGCCCAAGTTGTCCAGTGGATAAAGCTTTGGTTTTTGAAACTATAGGTACAGGGTTCGAACATCAGTGGGAACACCATCACTCAGTAGGGAATGCTGGTACATCCGGATGACGAATCCCAAATAGAACGAATTTCGCATCCTAGATTCCACTGCTAGTCACCCATCGACCGAATTACTGTGAATATCAGTTTGTTTGCTAACTGTTGAGTTGTGCTTTACTAACCGATGATTAGTGATATATGCAAAACCCAGGATAGTGGCGTACTCTGTTCTAAATTGCAGAGCGCAACAGTTATAAATATGATTTTTAAAAGTGTTTTTGATTAATATTTTCGTCTTCGTGTGCCTCTTTCGTACTACTACTGTGATATTGACTGTAAAACAAAGAGCATGAGTATCCAAAGAGGTAACAGATAACTAGATTTATGCATATTCTGTCTAAATTTAGCTAAGATGGCTGGATTCAACGTAGAACTTGGCACCGAAGTGCAGCAGTTCGAGTTGCCACGTTCCAAAGAGCACACAAAGGTAGACAAGAAAATGAGTGAAGAGAATCAATAGAGTTTTGACAAGTATAAGAGTGAAACAGAGTGAGTAATGGTAGAAAGGAATATGAAAGATTACAGAGACTGAATACATCTGCGCCATTGACGACGATTTTGAGCCATGTCACCTATTGTCTCCAGCCATTGATTCTTAGGGCCCCGAGGGCCCCAAACAGGAAGTCTGCATCTCCCTACCTGACTCAGTTTAACTGTCAGGGATTTCATGGATTGATGCCACCACTTACTCTTTTCTAACCTGCACCTATATCAGCTAGTAATGCCCGTCGGGGGGAGGCGATGGCTAGGCATGCGCAGCACGTGACCTAGCCATCTCAATCTATGTAACTTTATAGCCTCTTCGATTGATTTCCCCTCTTTGCCCAACACTCTACGCTTAACGTCAACATTACTTACCTTATTATACCACCTAACGCGAGAAAGAGATCGTAAACATCTGTGGTCAAAAACAGACAATCTCTTCATGTCTTTCGCTCTCAATAGCCACGTCTCACCGCCATAGAGAAGGACGGAGCGAACTGCTGAGCAGTATACACGTCCCTTGGTTGATAGTCGGATGTCACGCCTACGCCAGAGACGGTGTAAGTTAACGAAAGCAGCTCGAGCTTTCTGGATCCGTGCTGAGATTTCGTCACCAATCAATCCGTTGGTGCTGATACAACTTCCCAAAAAGGTGAAGTGGTCAACATGTTCTATCACTTCACTCCCTATCACTAAGCTAAGAGTTGACGTAATCCAGTCCTGTAGCAGCATCTTACATTTTACAAGGGCGAATCGCAAAAATTAGCTAAGATGAAAATCTATCACCATACTAATTAATATTTCTCTTCTCTAGTACTTTGTCGATTCGTCAATTTTATAACATCCGTTTGTAGTTGACGCGACTACCTGTGATTCGGAGATTCTTGCTCACAAATTCCTACAATCAAACCACCGCCTTCCTCGTGAAGCACTGTTAGCTGACAAAGGATTAAGTTGGAAAAGAGTTGGGGATGGTGAAATCAAAACCTAATATCAATCTATAAAGTCTTTGACAGTTGGTTTGATCCATGTAGGGAGATGTAAAATGTCTAGTTGGGGACCTGGGAATGGTTAAAAACTATTGGTAATACAGCTAAAAATCGTTGTCATTTGTGCAGATGCATGCACTCTTTGTAATCCCCTAGATCCTCAAAACCCTCATGTTTTTCCATATTACTTTTATCTCTCATGTACATTTCTACTCATCACAGTCCTTATAAATTTCTTTGTTCTCTCTCCTTTATCTACCTTTGTGAGCGCTACATGGTGTGTTGCAATTTGGACTGTTGCACTATTGTACAAAGTTCTGTGTTGAAACTCAGTCAGTCAGTCAAGTGTTTGAAAATACACTAGTTGAGGTGAAATTTCATTGCACTTTCATCTGAAAATAAAAAATACGTAAATTAATTTCCTTTGAGATTAAAGTTAAGCAGCAAGCTATAGGCTAATTAGTTTATGAATGAACTGATGGGTGTGAGAGAAATTTTTATAGCAATAACTAATAAATATTTAGTGGAATTAATACTGAAGAAAAACAAAATCGCGGAATGAAAATGAATATATATATATATGTCGCCAGGTGAAAGCCAGTAGAGTGTGCAACGTTACCAGCAAGCTACGTCATATGGTACTGCCGTGGATTTCTGTTTTGGTGTCAAAAAGATGGAGTTAGTTAGTAGAAAGTTCTAGATCTATGGGGTTTTTAATAAAGACTGATATGAAAGGTGTATCTGCTTTCAGAAAATCATATTCTCTGTGAAATTTAAACTTGCGTCACTATTCACTGCCGGAATCAGAAGACGACAGAAGAGAAGGGCCAGGCAACAGATTGTTTATTGAGAAAGTCAAGAGATATTTGTAGATTTTTATGTACATTATTGTCAGCAGAGAACCAACGTCTTCTGATTGGTTGTTTTCTTGCTGAAAGTTATTCTGTACTGCTTGTGACCGTTTCTCAGAAAGTTAAGGCATATATCTGCGAATCCTATTTGCACACGTTAAGTCCTCTGTGATTGGTTGGTGAGTTCCTCAAGGTTAAGCTTTGTTATTGTTTTTCTCATGACCCCGATTCGGGACCTAACATTGACGTAAATTGCTGTCTACAATTTTGGCTTGCAGACAGCTCTCACTACAACTTTGCCACTCATCTACTCAGATCATATATATATATATATATATATATATATATATATATTACACACCATTTTATCACATACATTTTAAGGTTCCTTCAGATGGAGATTGTTTATATCAGTCAATAGCACATCAATTGAAAATTCGAAAGTATCCGCTTCACAGTTTGTTGGAAAAATCTGGATTGTCAAACGCTGAACAAGACATTAATAACTCTACGATGGATAATATCCATCAGTCAACAAGACAGTTAGTTGGAATTCTTCGTCATCTTGCCTCCGATTATATTCAGAGTAATATGGATGACTTCTTACCATTTTTGTCGAACTTGGATTCCGGTGAACCCATGAGTATAGGTGAGTGATATCCCCTTAATTACTACATTATCTTTATATACATATATATTTTTCTTGCTAAAAGTACGGTTTCTAAGTGAAATTGTGATCATTTCTCCTCTCGAACTGTGTAATTTGTAAACAATGAATTCGACTGGTTACATAATGCATAATTTGTATTTTGAAAAATAAGAAGAATGAATGGGTGATCAAATTGCTGAAACGAACTGTAGCGTGGGCTACTGATAGGATTTATCAGTAGTATATATATAAAGAGATGTTCATCGGTATATAAGCATCAAATAGCAGAGAGATAGATATAATGTCAGAGAAATCAAGAAGTAGCACAACACTGAAGAATCTACGAATGGTGCGTCGAAGACGAGGTCTACATAATTTGGCTATATAGAGATACCAAATTGCTAACAAACATTCCTTTACCAAGTCTTTCGTCTTCTACCGTCACAGGACCACATAAGAACAGATGAAGACGAGGTAGGCAGAATGATAAGACAGTTGAATTATTGACAACTCTTAAATGGTATAGGGATAGGGGGGGATTTTCACGTTGTACATTCATTTAAACATAGCCAAGGTGAAGACACAATTTTTCTTAAAATACCGGTTTGGCTTCTTCAGGTGGATTCTGATAGCTTCTGCTAAATTTAGAACTCGTAAAGTGAAATTAAAATTAGTGTGAATGTGATGGACTACGCTGAATGCTTTGTTAACGTCAACCCTTTGATCAGTATCTACAAGGTGTGCAAAATTAAGGCTACGAATAGTCTTTGTATATCCCTTCCTTAACCATACAGGATGGGATTGGAAAATCTGACAACAAATATGTCTAATTGTACACCCGATATAAATAGTTGTGCAGAAGCAATGAAACTGGTAAATGTCCATTTAGGAGGCTAAATTAGATGCTTAATTCATATTTTTTGAACACAAGTTTGGTTTTGTTGTCAAGAGATGGTGTAACTCTAGTGTGTTGAATACTCTTTTGACGACATTCTTTAAGCGTTTTATTATTACTTCATTAATGATTTCACCAAGAAAGCCTTGTAAATTTCCTCTAAGTAACATCAATGTATTCAGCACCAAATAAATTGTTCTGTAGAGTACAATATTGATTGACTAAACCTTTTGATTTGTGTTTGGTTGTCAGGTTTATTCGAACTCAGGTACTTCTAGCTCCCATGATTTCAATCACTAAAACATTTACTAACATCCTGAATCCAACTTGCAATATACTAACGTTTCATACTATACCTAATAAAAACGATCCATCAGTGTTCTATAAATCGTGATATTTACAGGATTTGATCATGTGCTGACATCGGTCGGTCAGTCGGTCGGTTTTTGACATAGAACTTTGCACATATGTGCGGCAGTTCAAGTCGCCACACTCCATGTAGCACACAAAGGAAGAGAAGAAAGTAGGAGAAATGCATAATATAGACAGTAAACAGAGGTGTGAGACAAAGGAATAGTAATAACAAAGAACAAAACAGTTCCATTGGAAATCATAAGTCACAAGGAGTGGATGCATCTGCGCCACTGAGAACGATTTTGAGCCATGTCACCAATTGTTTCCAACCATTGGTTTTTACCGTCCCGAGAACCCCAATCAGGAAGTCTACACCTTCCTACGTGGCTTAGACTAACTGTTGTAGATTTCATTGACTGGTGAAGCCATGTTTTGGTTTGACCACCGCTAGCTCTTTTCCAGCCTGACCCTATATCAGCTAACATTGCACGTCGAGGAAGGCGATGACTAGGCATACGTAGCACATGTCCTAACCATCTCAGTCGATGTAATTTCACAGTTTCGTCGACCGATTTCCCCGCCTTACCTAGAACTCGACGCCTAACCTCAATATTGCTCACCTTATTATACCACTTCACGCGGGAGATAGAACGCAGACACCTATGATCGAACACAGCTAATCTTTTCATCGGTGTGATGTATTTATCAAGATGCATAACGTCGATACGCTATGGATAAGATGCGATGGATATGGGGTTCATCATCACATACCGGCCTAAACCGGCGTTTACTTCATGAGCGCGACATAAATGATTCGATGAAGAACGATGTGTGTGTGCATTTTCTTCCACAGCTCTTCGTAGAGTTTAGTGATGTCTACCAGTGCATCGAAATCCAAATGGTTGACGGTGGACACATTTAATTTTCTGCTTTTAAAAAATAATAAAATTTTTCGGAGAGAGCTTTCTTAACTGACGTGGTTAGAAATGAATGAACTGAGAACTCAGATTGTGTAAATGTTAGAACAGCTCAGTAGAAATACAGAATGACAGCTGAGCCTGCTCAAGTGGATGCTTGTTAACACAAAACTTAAAAAAACTTTGAGAATCCATGTGTGACATATAAAAGTTCATTTGGTAGCATTTAGTTATTGTAGTATTGATCTTCTTATTTTAGATTTCATTGTATATTGGTGTCTGAAAGATACTGTATAAGCTGTTGGGTTCAAATCTTACTCGGAGGGCAACACCTAATATTATGCTTACATTTCCAGCTCTTTAGTCCTGCGAACCGTATTCTTTTCCTGCTAAGACTGACGAAGTATAATTACACATTAACATTTATTTTCATGATTTCTATTAACATGACAATCGAACATTTACTCCACTACTAGCCAGCATAATTAATACATAAACTATGACATTGACTGGCAGTTGCGCTATATATATCACGATTTGGCAGAAGTTCGCATTCACAGACTCTTGGATCGGATCCTAGTGTCTGAATGGTCTACGAGCTTGCCTTGTAACCGGAAGGTCCTGGGTTCTACCCCTTCCCCCGTGGATGCATACTGCGAAGAGTCTTAAACCTGGATGAAACAGCTGTCCAGTACTTCCAGGTTCCCCAGTGGGTCTCAATCAAATCCCTGGAAACCAACACTTGAAAATTGAAAAAAAAACTATCTGAGTTGATTGGTGTTTCTGTGAATCATCTCTTAATACATATTCCATTTCTTGTACAAACATTCATATCTTAAAACATTCAAACAATTCTTCTTTCCATTAGTGTAAACAAAGCAAGAAAAACAAATGTACCAGGACAATATAATACTCATCCGTATTATTTCATGGTTTGTTGTCAGCTGGCTAAAATCTGAACAGTACATAGAGAAATAAAATCCATAAGAGATCTAAACATACCTTTTACGATATGATATGGATTAAATGATAGAAACTCTAGGTAATAGAGGTCCGGAATGATGTTATTTGTTGAATTATTAAGAGTTTAAAGGATTCACTGTTTTATAAGATAGACGAATATTCTTGCAAAAAAACAGTTCGGGTAGAAACAAAGTGTAATTAGAAATAGTTTATAAATACAGTGGGTGACATAACTACAGAATATGTCTTTATAAAAGCATAAATAGTCAGTTCTTTTAATTCTTTATAATTTATCCAACTTACATCATTCCAGACTTATATTACTCTTAATTATTATTATTGTTCCCTTAGGTTCCGATTGAAACATAAGGCTTCAACAGCACGTCCCCCCTTTGTCATATTCTCTGTGATCCTCTTTATTTGGTCTGATAATTGTCTCTTCTGCTCGCACAACCTCCTCCATTTCACCCCCGAAAGCCCAACTCGTTGCCTCCCATTCGGGTTCCACTCAGAGGCCTAGTGTACGACGTAATACGACGGTTTCATCAACATGTGCCCAATCTATCTCCATATTCTTCTACATACTTGTGGAGCAATAGGTTCTTGGCTAGTTTTTTCCTATAGTTTCTTGTTGCTAATTCTTTCTGGCCATTTGATCTTCAATATGGAACGAAGACAGCTGTTGATGAAAGTCTGCCTCTAGCTGTTGGAAATGCTTTTCGTGACGCGTCAAGTTTTTGACCTCTATAGAAGAACTGACTGACTGACTTAACATTGGTTTTGAAAATCCGAATTTTTTTCTTTATGCTACTGAGTGCAGAAGATTTTCAAACTGATTTTAGATGGATGAATGTCTGCCTTGCCTTTCCAATTCTGTTTTTGGCATCCTCATCTATGCCACCTGTAGTTGAAACAATACTGCCTAGATGAGTAGAGGAAGTAACTGTATTACTCTAAGTTCACGTCAATTACCCCCCCCCCTTGATATCGCGTAAATGTATGTTCAAATCTTTTTTTATAATTTATGTTTCTTTTTTTATTGTTCAGATTGTAACTAGTTGAAAATTAGTCAGTCACCAAATGATAAAGTATAAGCTCTTTTTACCCTGGTACATTTGTCATTTTTGCCTTGTTCAACTTCATATCCTAATTTACATAGAAACATACAAGCACATATTTTAAAGATTGATATTTTCTTCTTCATAAATATACGAATCTCGAAATATATCTGAAAGTCTTTTGGTTTATAATACACTATGATTGTGAGATGTAGTCCACTAAGAATTGGAATAATAATGTCGGAGGTTGGACTGTTATTTTTTTTCTGTTGTTGAAGTATATCACACTGTAAATATTATGTTAAGAAATATTCTGCTTTCAAAACACTTTCTTTTTCATTGCTCTTTGTTATTTTTTAGCGGATTTTCAAAAGTATTGTGAAAATGTAAAAAATACATCAGTCTGGGGAGGACAAATTGAAGTGAGTGATGGTTTTGAAAAAAAAATTGTATTACCCATTTTCTTTTTTCTTAGTCTCTACTGTTTTAGGGTTTTAGATTCACTCAGTTCAAAGTTTGTAATGTAAAATACTTCTGTAAGGGTAGAACACAAGAGGCTTGGTAAAGGAATGCTTGTTTGGAATTGGTATCTCCATATAGTGAAATTAATTTAATTAAGTATCCGCTGAATTCAGAAATTATGTACACCTTATCTCTAAATCGTAATTTGCACAGACCTTCAGTGTTGTTGTGCTACTTCTACCCTTCGTATTATGTTTCCTTGTCTTTTTCTCGTGTCGCCCATGTTTTGCCGCAACGACGTATCATTTGCTCTCTTTGACGTCAAATCTATCTCTTTTATATACTACTGATGAATCTTATCAGTAGCGCACGTCACAATTCCTTATAGTTTGTGCTTATGGACTGTAGGATTTTAATAATTCTCATTAGTCAAGGTCTCTAATAAAATAATTTCATTTGATATACTACACAGTGATAAAGTATCATTTATTTACTCATAACTTTTTGCTGACAATCTGTCGCACATTACTTATCAAATAGGGTGTCCGAATTCTTTTCTTGTTTATTGGTCAAGCTACTTGATGCGACAAAGTTTAACTACCGAATTAAATTATGTCTTGCTTGAGGTCGTGATTTAAATTGCGTTTCGCTTTAGGTAGTCAACAAACGATCATACCACATAATCAGTTTTCAAATTGGCTTATTTTGCATCTTATGGGCACTTGGTGATGCTAACATTCATTACGTCGGCGAGCCTAATGATAAAATGTCTTAGATAAGGTATTAAAGTTCAAAAACTAGTTTCAACATAGAACTCTGCACAGATGTACAGCAGTTCGAGTTGCCACACTCCATGTATCACACAAAGCAAGAGAAGAGAGAGATAATAAACAGAAATATGAGGCAAAAAGAATAGTAATATGGAAGAACCATAGAATTTTATTGGATATGATAAATCACAAAGAGTGAATGCATCTGCACCAGCCATTGAGAATGATTTTGAGCCATATCACCGATTGTCTCCAGCCATTGGTTTTCACCATCCCGAGGACCCCAAGCAGCTAGCTAGTCTACACCTCCCTAATGGCTTAAACTAACTGTTGTAGATTTCATTGACTGATGAAGCCATGTTTTGGTTTGACCACCACTAGCTCTTTTCGAAATTGATCCTAAATCTGTCAGCTAACATTGCCCATTTGGAGGAAGGCATCGATGGCTAGGCATGCGTAACACATGTCCTAACCATCTTAATCGGTGTAACTTCACAACCTCGTCGATTGATTTCCCCTCCTTACCTAGCACTTGACGCCTAACCTCAAAGTTCAAAGAGCAAACCATTTCCATCCTATCCTTGTCTGCAAGTTTTACTGCAGAAATGTGAAGAGCAATATTTATTTAATCAAAGTCTATTGATTACCCATTAAGTTTTTGAGGTAGTTAAATAAAGCCATATTGATTCTCAGTGTCTCATAATAATTTTGCAAAATACATGTTCTAGTTTCATTGTGAAGCCACGCATTTTGTTGTTTTATACAATTGTGAAACAAAATCACAGTAACAACATTTAGTGAAGTAGATTTAGATTAGATATCAGTTCTATCATGATACATATTTTGATTAACAAGTGGGAGATATAAAGTTAGTGCAGGCGAATTAAGTTGACTAAGTTGTAAATATGTACTTGAATTTACTTAAATACCATTCTATTCACTGAATGAATATAGACTTAATACAACCTAAAAGGAATTTCCATTTGGTATTTTTTTTGTGTGGAAGTCTTGGTCAAACTCTTTCTATCTTCGTGTTCATTGTACCCCGTTACGCTCCCTTTTCTCTGGCCCTGTTTTGTCATCGATATTTTTTTTCACTGTGGTGTATACAAATCTGACATTTAAATTCCTAGCCTATGTAGTTACATATGGAGATATTGCACACTGGCTTAAGCACTAGGATTTCAGCTGGTGGATCCGGTTTCCCAATCCCATATCACTTACTTGTGCCTGGGTGGGTAGGTGGTTAATATCGCCAACTGTCACACATTAAGTATAGCTCATATTCTGTTACATAAGAAATCTCTTCTGGGTAACTGAGTTAGAACATTTATATGGCTCCAGTTGGTTTTCTTGTATGTTTTTATTGTCACTATGCAACAGAATACCAGTGTAATTTGTACCACAGCATAGCCTGCTTGAATAAATATGACTGTGTTAAAGTAGTATTTTCCATCCACGTAATTTTAAAACTATATTTTGTTCATTCTCAGTCAATAAAGTACTAATTCTCTTGAAAATGTAAAGCTTTTTTTTAAATAAGGATTACACTTTTGTTCATGTAGAGATGTATTTTGTTGGATCGGTGTTTTACTTCTTATAACTGATAACTATTTGTTTCCATCGTTGACTTGATATTGGCAATTTCTCTCCTTACATCTGAGATCAGTGCTATTTGGGAACAGGAAGTTATCTAAACAGAACTGTAAAAGGCAATCACCGTTATTTCTTCAGTATGTGGCTCTGCGGATGCCTCAGATATGCTTATCGGACTGGCTCGGCTTCCGGAATTCTGCTGTGAAGTCACCTTCAGTTATGATTATATCTGAGAGTTTTGCTTTTTGCAGCAGACTTGATAACTTTCAGTGAAATCCATCCTTTATTTCAACTGGAATGCAGTCAGTTGGTGCATAAACAGAGATTATGAAAGCGCATCGAATAATATTACAGTATTTCTCTAGTCTTACAAACGCATTCGATTGGAGAGCACACATACAACTGTAGAACAGGATACAATCAAGTTTTCTGGCCTAGCGCTCTGTTCTACTGCTACACCAGCAAGTTGACGCTAACTAGCTGAAAAATCTGCCACTCTTATGGTAAATTTTTTATCAGCAACTAAACTGACTCCATGTTAGTTTATTTATTGGATAAATTACATGATAAAACGGTATTACTTACTGTTTCGAAGACAACTGATTGTTCACAATCATATCAATAAATACAATTATATACTTACACAGTTTCCAAGTTTTGCATTAATATAAGTGTAGAACTTGGGCATTGTGGTGGAATATAATTGCATATTAGATAAGTTTATTTTAAATATCACACAACGATGCAGTATTAACAACTGGATGACGTTTCGAGCGTAAATTATTGCTCATAATCATATCAATTTATTCACACAGTTTCACAATTTGTCTTATCTATTTTTTCTCTCTTTCTGTCTCTCCAACTTCCCCTTGTTGTTTGTTGCCACTCTCTATATCTCTGGTATAGGCGTTGCGTCATTCCGACTGCAAGTATGCGGTGTTGAATCGATAAACAACGTTTCAGTAATTAACCTCCCCTCTCCACCTAACTGTATTGCTTTGCAATACTGTCACCCTGCCGCGCCCTATTTTGTGATTACATGCAAGTGAAGGCAATGCAATGGCTGATCTTTCTTCTAGGTTATTTAACTTAGCAGGGTCAATCATTCTAGGTCTAGCTAAATTTTTGTGTTCTAAGAATCTAGCAGGTCGGAGTCAACTAGATTATTGGAACAGTCATTACAGTGCATTCCAAGTTTTACACTTATATTAAACTGATTGAGTTATTTTATACCTAATGTATCCATTGAAGGTAATTGTTTCAAACTTTTTTTCCACGTTTCTCCGCATAGATTCGTGCTTTGTCTACAGTGCTTCAAATTCCTATTGAAATAATACAAGCTGAAGGTGTTTCTTTAGTCATTGGGGAGGAATTTTCTGAACCACCAATAATAATCATGTAAGTAGAACATTTTTCATCTTACAAATGTTAAACACATTCATTTTCTAATCAAGTCTCTTCTCACTAACAGTAGTATTTTTCACAGATATTTTCCTATCACTAAAATGATCATATCCTTTTTCTGTCATTTATGTACTGTTAGGCCATTAGATTTAAAAGTCCCCAATAAGTGTGTCAATTTCAATTAATAGATAAGGTTATAGTGTTTCTCTTTTATGTATTAATATCGTAATATTAGGTGGAGTCATCAGCGGTCCCGTCATTGGTCGTAATTAACCTATGAAATAAAGTACATGATTAAAGTATAGTACTTCTAGACATTATATCCTGTGGCTAGTTGTAATAACCTGTTCACTGCTCCATTCAAATCAATATCTGTGCATAAAATCCAAACATATTTTTTATTATAACCTTTCAAAGTACTCTAGATACCTTTAGGAGAGAAGGGATATTGATGCTTACACAAAGTACGATGTATATAAACGAAAGTTCTTATCCCTGAACTCTTATATTTTTTGTTCTGCTTAGATCAAAGACATATCAGAACATCAAAATGATCATTCAAATTACGAGATTTATTTCACGATCCGAATCGTAGTGTGATGATTGCTTAGCTAACTAGGGATCGTGAACGAATGATCGGACCGAAACATGACAGCGTGTCTGTCAAGTGGCATAGATGCTTGACTGCGAACTTTCAGCCAAGCGAGTCGACTTAGACAGCGAAGGTTAGCATTCAGTGTCGAGTGGTGAATGCTGTAGACCAATAATTTCGGGGGATTATTTACTGCAACACACTCAGTGTATTTCTACCCACAAGTCTGACAGTTATTGGTGACAACTTAATGTCACCAATAACTGAAATCTTGTAAATTTTCCATATAGATTGTTTTGTATTTCTAATGAAGTTGCTGATCAATCTCAACATAGAATTGAGTGTTACTGAGAAGAATATCAGGGTGCATCCGGATGAAAAAAATATTCTTGTTGTCTGGATATTAATAATCAAATAATTCCCATTGTAACATTAAGAGCACAATATTCAGAGAAGAGACTCTTTTCAACAAATTTATTATCAAGCTGTACAATCGTATGGTTTAAAAAAAACTATATTGGGCGAGGGAAACAAATCAAAGTTACAATTACATGAAATAATGACAGTATGAAATGCAATTAAAATATATTTGATTATAATGATAGTTAAATGTTAATTGACAAAACAATTAATATCATATAGAATAATACATAAGGTGTATAGATGTTGGAAAAAGGTTCATAAATATAGGACTGGTTGGGCAATATAAAACGTTACGTAACATGGTGTGAAATCTGATAAGATAGGATTCAACATTATAAAAAAAATTTTGATTTAGAATGACAAGTGAGACAAGTGGAAAACATTCAAAGTGAGAATAATAATAGTAATCGTAGTAATGAGTGGAATGTACATAGATTAACTAAGTAAACAAAATAAAATACAAAAAGAATAAATAAATGTCTATCCCTCTACCCCAAAGGCAGAAGTAGGGATTGTACGTACTTCTTTTGTACACAAAGTTCTAGCTTAAAGTCATGAATGACCAAGACCTCCGCTGTTTTTAGAAGTTTATAACGAAGAAAACGTAGCAAGTTAGCATGGATTCGATAGTTGATCTTAAAATCATGTTCAGGGTTGGTGGAGTGGTAGTGTGGTGAGAGCTGTCTGCTAGCCAAAATTGGTAGACAGCAATTTTCGTCAATGTTTACGTCCCAAATCTTGGTCATGAGAAAAAAACAAGAACAAAGACTAACTCGACAACCAATAACAGCAGACTTTGCGTGGGCGGATGCGATTAGCAGATATATGGTCTGACCTTCAAAGAAACGGCCACAAAGAGATGACAGAATAACTTCCAGTGAGAAAACGACCAATCAAAAGACTCTGTTTCTCTGCTAATAATAACGAATAATAATGTACATAAAAATATATAAATATCTCTTGTCTTCTGTCGTTACAATAGGATTCGATCAAGTATTCTAAAACAGAGCTTAGCACACCCTTCTTTTCTCCCGCGTAAAACCATGCTGGAATATGTTCTCGTATCCGTGTGGAAAGCATTCTCTGGTTACGGCCAATGTACCTTGTTTCACAAGATCAGATGAACTGATAGATGCACATGGAGGTGGTCAGACGAGGGAGCGTATCTTTTACAGAGGTGGAGAACAACTTACGTCTGGTGAACGTCATTTGTAACTTTGCAGCAATCGTATATATATATATATATATATATATATATATATATATACGATTGTACATCTTGATGATAAATTCGTTGAAAAGAGTGTCTTCTCTGAATATTGGGTTCTTAGTTTGGAAATTAGACACAAATATTACTTGTGCTCTGATGCTTCATTTATTACTGGTAATGAATAATTTCTTTTGTGCCTCCACCTACCTGCCAAGAGATATTTCGTATACATACTGCTCCAAGGTAAAAGCAAATTAAAATTTTTGAAGCCATTGTGTACACCACACAGTGTAGTTAAATTTGTTATGTGTTTACAGACACTTTTATAGTCGCATCGTACCATCAACCTCTTATCTGAAATCTCAGTATTATACATACAAAACATTCATGTGATCTTGATCAATTTGCACCGTTTTTTTAGTGCTGTCGAAATTTTCGTATGCCCACTAGTCCGTGAGTATCCTGGAAGACACTGCTCTCCGGTTCACTGCCTTCCTGTGAGAAATGACCATTGAAAATCTTATGAAGGCTCCAAGAATCGTACCATCATTGTTTTTGTGAAACTGCTGGTGTTCGGTGAAGACACTACATGAGGCATGTGGAAATTTAGTTGGAGGAGTCCTAAATAAAATGAGCAAGGCAGTATAGAAAGTTAGAATATCTCATCGCCTTAGGTTTACGTTATACATTCACGCCTGTTGACTGTTTTGTATTGATGGATATAATATTGATTTATTCTTAATATCTTTAACTGCATTGATTGCACTTTCTAATGTTCTTTCACAAATTCACACTTTCAGATATCATCGGTATGCATTTGCACTTGGAGAGCATTATAATTCTTGTATTCCGAAAGAAGTGACTTCGAATAATTCTTGGTGAAAAAAAAAGACACAGTGTGTTTGTACATAACACTGTAAATTATACTTACATTGATTTTTATTTTATCTCTTCTAGCAATATCTGTATTTCTCCGTGTTTTTTTCTTTTGTGTGTGTCTGATTTCTTATTGAATTAGGTATCAGTGGGTTGTAAAAAGTTATTAAAGTCTACAACAAAAGCGATAAAAATAAAACAGTTTTGTTAAGTTTTTCTGGTTTCGTCTGCGTATTTGTTTTCCTGCTAGAAATCAAAATATATGTTGTGTGGTCGGTGGTATAATTTAGCCTCTGAACACATCAGTCTGACAAACTCCCAATCCTTTCAACCGGTTTGCAATCAGCCGTCAGCAAAACTTCCGTAGTTTTGTGGACATACAAAACCGACTCCTTTGTTTAATCGAAAAAGGAATCAATTTGCATGATGCAATCGCTTAGGAAGGGTTATTGGTTCTCACATTTCTATCGTTACTCAGGTATCTCTCTTACAGTGTAACAGACTTCATCACTTTGTGTGCATGTTTGAAAGTAAATACCAGTGTTCTTGCTGTCAACAAAGTGTGCTGGCCTAAACCGTAGCGTCCAAGGCCATGGATACTTGGTGTGTTTATGAGATATTGATTGGCATTCACTTAGGGAAAATAGTTCAGTAAGATACGTTTCCTTTCATTTTGTTCTTCATAGCTGTACAATCACATACACTTTTCCTACAAGATAACAAAGTTATTCAGCCAGATGTAGTGACAAAAACGAAACTAAATGAAGATATTAATTTCTTAAACATGATAGAAAGAATCACGCGTACGACAAAATATGAGGATTAACAATGAAAAGAGTAGTAAGACGAAAAATATATAGCCTTAGAAATATGAAAGTAACACTCATGTAAATTATAAAACTGTCTTGTAGCTAAAAATGACAGTATAAGGTGAAAAGAAAGTCTAGTCTGTAATTGATACAATAACTCATAAGCCTTCTTTTATACACATGATTTTGGTTTCTCCATGAGTGGCTCTAACAGAGTCCCTAAAATTTGGTTTGCAGTAGTGATCTTCTGAGAACTTCTCATGGACAAACATGTCGTCAAGATAAGTTGGACACCTATGCGAAACTAAACTATCCACAATTATCTGCACCTATCTTTGAAATGCAATGAAGCATTGCAAAATCCAAAGGGATTTTCCAGGAGTTAATACTGTACAGTCGGCAATTCAGCTGCATTTTTTGCACAATCTTTCCGGTTCACTTTTACGTATCAGTATCTGGATGCAAGATATAGAGTAGGGAACTGCTGGGATTAGGTATGTCCATCTAGAGTTGTGTCAGTGAAAAGGATGGTGCCTCGTGATGCTATTCAGTTTTAGGTAGTCCACAAGAATTTGGGAGGGGCTATCCTCCTACTTCTTCACTGAAATCATAGGTGGTGTGTATGGAGAAGATAAGGGTATGATAATTCCCTTGTTGTTAGTGAAAAGGACTCCATCTGGGTGACTGAAGCATAGGGGGGGAATTCCAGTGTCAATACGGTGTTAGGTAACATAAGTGCTTTACAGGTTATTCCCTTCATCAAAAGCATCTGAAAACACTCATATTGGCCTCATCATTTTCAAAGAGAATGGTTTTTGAACAACGAATACTCTTCTCGATAACTTCATCACTAGGTTCTACAGTTATATATACATAATAGTGAATGAATTAGTGTTATGAACAACGTCACTGTTTAGGTAATATCGAATTAATAGTATCAAAAGATTACAGTTCAATGGCATCAACATAACAACAGACTGAATGTCAGAATAATTAGGAAGGACAATAATACAAATTCATGAACTTATAGTCTCTACTGAAGGCTCGGGCAGCAGATTCTTCAAAGCATTGAAGGATCATCCTAACTTGTCCACCAGGTACCAAGTAAATTGCCAAAAGCATCTACTTACCACATACTCCAAACGGGTGCTTTGTGTGCAGACAAAGCAAGTCCAGCCACTGTAATGGCCTAGCCTCCATTAGAGACCATAAATTCATGAATTTGTATTATTGTCCTTCCTAATTATTCTGACATTCAGTCTGTTGTTATGTTGATGCCATTGAACTGTAATCTTTTGATACTATTGATTCGATATTACCTAAACAATGACGTTGTTCATAACACTAATTCATTCACTATTATGTATATATAACTGTAGAACCTAGTGATGAAGTTATCGAGAAGAGTATTCGTTGGTCAAAAACCATTCTTTTGAAAATTTTAATGGGCATCTTTTTTATCACTTATCATTTCCTATGAATAATAACAGCAACGGACGGTTTGACAGAAACTCGACTGAGGATGGAGCTTAGGGTTGCATTTAAATAAAGGCATGTTGGTTGTTGGGGGTTACATAAAGACATAGAAGATGAATCATTGGCGACCTACAGGTGAGCGAACTCTGAGAAAATGGGGTTTAACGTGAGAAAGTTCGCCATAGGGATCTGACCTTATTTAGTCTGCATGTAGATAGGTAACCAGTGGGACACACTGGGATATCCAAAGTTAACCTATAGCTTCGAGAAGCTCTCCCTCCTATCTTACCACCGTTAACGTCCATCAGGAACCTGCGAACTAGTGTAGTAGTGGGTATTGTTAAAGATGCTGTAGGAACGAATTGTTGACAAGGTACATTGATGCACCAGCAATCAAGAGTATTTCGAAAATCACTCGGTCTTTTTGTCCCCATAATATTAATAGCTCACCGTTCGTGGACAAATAAAAAGAATGGGACTTACTCTGCTGCAGCCGGCCCTTTTTGTTCACATTGGTACACCTTGGTACCGAGTCATCTGAAGTAGTAACTTTTCGGAGGACTGCTGTTTCTAAATGTTTGTTTGTTATGTGCTAGTGCCACTGGTGTGACTGTTCAGTTGAGGCAGCGGCGAGTCCCTCTGAAACTGTACACATGGAGCTGAGGTGGGCGACAAAACGTGCATGAGCTGCATTCACTCTAGCTGCTGCATGTTCATGGATATCAGACCGAGCAGCCACATTCTGGAGAGCATAGGAGTAATCCATGTGGTTATCTCCAGGCAACTGTTGCCTACCAGGAAACTTCACCATATGGTCTTCAGGAACCAGTTGCAGATCGAAACACTCATCAAGGATACTCCACTTGTGCCTGTTGAAGTTCGTGCTGCTAAATCCAACAGATTCTTTTCTCACAAAGTCTTCATCTCATAAAACTCCGGGTATGTGATCATGGTGTTCACAATGAGGAGCTCGACGCAGGGAAGGCCGGAAAGACGTACTTTGTGTAGCGGATAGTTTAAGGTAAATTGAAAGACTGGAAATTTGTGGAGAGTGAGCAGACCAGTGGCAGTCGGTGAGCTTTTTTGTAGAAGGAGATTGTGTAGTTGAACATCTGAAGGCAAGACCACTTCCATTCGACCAGTTTGACACCTCGGATACCAATTTGTATTAATCTGGCTTTCACATAAGAAGGGAATGTAGAACACACGCTCGAATAGAATGTGTATTCAGTACGATTCCAAAAGTTAGAATGTGCGAGACAATCCATTACAAACAGCCAGTCATTTTGTCTACATCGTTATCAAGGGCAGAAGTGAAAAATAGGTGCCACATTCAAATAACATTGTACCAGCGAATCATGTGCTCCTATGAAAAGGTGGCATTCATAGTTTTTAGAATATATTTAGTGGATATGCGTATAATAGAAATGATATGTAATGACTGTGTCGCTAATATGTTGCAGAAAGAAGTCTCAGTTTTCCGTAGGATTGGCTATAGTAAAAAACGAGGGTCTGTATGAGTATCAGTTATAAGGTTCGTTATTAATGACGAACAATTGGCTCTGTGGTGAAACTAACCCAGTGATGACAGTTACACTACCCAGCATGGACGCCGCCCATAATCATCGTTGCAATTTTCATTCTACATTTAACTGAAACCCCACCTGAATCCCACCATGACCATAAACTTGGACAAGCGTGAAACTTGCAGCGGTAATTATGGAAAGAAATCATTTGTTATTTTGAGCCATCGGAATGGTTGATTCAGGCTCATGTGGCTGAACTTATCCCGCACACTCAACGCCATTGAATGAATAAGGTACTCGAAGGTCATTTTCGTCCATGTTAAATTGCTGTTAACTAAACTTTCGTTCACAATCCAGAAACAATCGAACACAATTTTATTAAAATATTTCACAAATAATTTCAACTCTGAATATGTCCAGTCTATCTATACTTACCTCTAGCCACTTTCAGTCCCAACAGTTGCTGTTCGTCTTCTGTTGGAGCATCTATCCCCGGGTATTCTCTTGAAAGGACATTAAGGACATAATATGGTGTTTTGTCCATACAAATTTTTGTGCTGTTACAATTGATATGGTTAAATGGCGCGCCTTTTGTGCGTGACGTAACTTTCATAAAAATTCATATTGGTTGGTTGATTACTTCCCCTTGGAAGTGATGAATCTTGATAAATTCATCGCATTTTCGTTGTGCGGATAGGTTCTTAATTTCCTCGCGATTCCATGCAAGTTTAATCCACCAGGGAATGTAATAAGTAGAATGAAACTGTTGTAGGTAGGTCCAAATGAAACCAACTAAATGATCTTGTGGGCTCTAAACAGAGTTTATTTAAGTACTGATGAATTTATGAAACTAAGATTGTTAGTTATTTCTTGGGTATATTCAACCCGGGTGTGGTTGTAATCTTTGATTTTATAAAGTAAAACCTTCAAGGGTTAGCTCTCTCATTGAATTCTGTCGTAAGATCAAGGTGCAATTGTAGCTCCAGGTGTCTCACCTAAATCATTATCACTCGGATAAATAATAAATCCGGTGAAGTTGAAGTATCATAGCCAAAGCCGAATTCTTTCAAAGTTTTACTTGAAAAACGGATCAGACACAGTGAATGCTAAGAAAGTCATTCCAAATCAAGCCACGCCTCACTTTTGGTACTTGGAGAGGGTAGATACAGTTTTCTACTTATTTATTAGGTACTTTCCTGCTAATCTGTTCTGTTATGTAGTGTTTTGGTTTCTAAGATTAAGGTTAAAATTAGGATTATGGATAAAGTTAGGAGTAGGTTAGAGAATAGTGTCTGAAACATCAGTGGGTCTCAAAGTAGCATGACCTACAGTCACTTGGGTGAATATCGCACATGGTACAATTTCTCTATAGCTCATCTCTGTGACAACTGGGAGA